CTAATGATCGCGACCCGGGACTTAACCACGGCTACGCTTACTTCGTGGAGGAGACAGGCTACAAGGACCATCTCCGGAAATACAGTGACCTCGTACAGGAGACAACCAGCACCTGCAGCAACCACGACGCCGTGAGACTCGTGAACTCAAAGGGCCGTGAGACGACAGACGCCACCGGTATTGTCACCATTGAATGTACGCGCCACGATATGAAGAGACCCTGTGCTGTCGGCGACCTCCAGAAGGGGGAAAGGTCAGTGAATGCTTGTCCCATGACCGTACATTCGTCCATTGAACTTCGTACAGATATGTCAACACTGATTACATCTTTCAGTCAAGCCTTAAAGGGAGCGATCATGTCGTTCTTGTCGTCTCGTATGATATCGCTTGCCAATGGTCCGTGCACTTCTGGGAGCGCATGAATAAGTATGACCCGCAGTGGGATGCGGCTGGTCGCCGATTCATTTTTCTCATACCTAAATTCCATCTCCCTGCTCATCAAGCCAGCTGTCGTGAGGACTACTCGTTCAATTACACTAAGTATGTAGGTCGCACCGATGGTGAAGCCGTGGAACGCGGATGGTCCGCCGTGAACGGCTTCTCGGGAAGCACCAGGGATATGGGTCCAGGGGCTCGCCGAGACATGTTGGATGACGTATTCGCCGATTACAACTGGCGGAAGATCACTCGGCTACGTGGGTTTGTTCTACACACTGCTATGAACGCATCTGACCCACCTTGGCAGCCAATTCCATTCTCACAAAGGTGAAGAACATCGTCGAACTTCGCAGTAATCAAGTGCTTGCGTTTCAGGCGTACGACGAGAAGGTCGACCCCGCACTGAAGGCGGCGTGGACCACGCAAGTGGAGGCCTGGGAGGCGTCTGATGGCGCGAGCCCGAATCCATTTGCCGTAACGCGTCGGCGTAAGTTTGTTCTACGAACTGTGCATGTCATTAACCCTGACACGACGACCTTGTAGCCATAACCATGGCGGCTGTTCGCTTGAAGCTGGCAGAGCTAGAAGCTGATGAGCTCAAGGCACGAACACAACGTAGAGACCAGAATGCGGCACCACACGCGACGCTCGACGACCTCATCTCTCCGTATGCGTTGATATCGCAAGGCCTGGAACACGAGGAGGAGCAGTAAGTCCCCCTTTTCTTCACACACAGTAGCATAGTCACGAACTCACGGAATCGAAGGCGCAGGCTCAAGGAAAAGAAGGCCGACCTCGGCTCGCGCGCCACAGACTTGCAGAAGGGCAATGTAGTTGTTGCCCGGAACGCTTTGCATCGCACGATTGAGGCTTGGCAGGCCGTCCAGCATCTGTACATGCCAACTGTGGCTGCACATCGCTCTCGGGACGCCAGCAGGTCCACTGCCTCCTCGCTGGCAGAGGACCTGCCCCTTTATCTTCCCTCGAATGTCATCGAACTACTGATGCCTGTCGATCGGAAGCTGCAGGACATCGAGTGGGAGCTTCGAGTGGGGCTCGCACACGATGCTCTTGAAGACATCCGTCGTCTCATCTGCGTTAAACGGAAACTACTCGAAGTCAAGGGTCGCTTCATCAGCGGCCAGCATCACAACACACGTGCGCGCGGTGTGATTACCCGGTGCGACAAGAAGATTACCCAGGCGCGAGCGAAGTACCATGCTTGCTACGAAGCCCTCGTGAGGCTTGCACCTGCACTGGACAAAACGCACTGGAGGAGAGACACCGGCTTACAGAAGTTGGACGACAACGACGTGCGGCATATGTCCGAGCCGGACCCGACAAAGGAAGATGAACAGACCGAGGGTACGCGGACGATCTCGTGGATATGGACAACGAAGGGTGCGCGGAGTGGCGATGACGACGAAGATGAACAGGAGAGTAAGTGTGCAACCGTTGAGAGCACTGCTGCCGATCCTACTAACTGCTTTGCAGTGCTACGAATCGAATGGTGCCAGGCCCGTGCACGCGCGCATAGGTTTACAGAAGAAGGCCAGCTCCTCGAGGAGGAGATGCGACGTGTAGTACAGTTTTACGAGTGGCAAGCGAGCTGGTGGAGGGCGCGGATGGATTCTTGGGAAGGCCGGTCAGCAGAACACCGAGAAGGGCTGGTTGCATACGCTCGCCGACAGGCTGACTTACGAGTGTCGATGAAAGCGTTATGTCAAAAGGCGTGGGCCAGTGGGCCTTTTTGGCTAAGTCAAGGCGCGAGATTATGATACTATGTCGACTTCGTTTATCAATTCAATGTGTTGGAGAACTACTGCTAAGGAGCTTGTAATTTCGGACATTGAGCGTTTTGCCCGAACGTGCACCCTCACCTTCGCCTTTGCCCTCGCACTTGTGCTTCTCACCTTCGCACCCACGCTCGCCCACCCACCTTTGCACTCTCGTCCTGGCGTTTATAAATTCAATGGGTTGGAAAACCACTGCTGAGGAGCTAGTAATTTCGGACATTGAGCGTTTCACCCTCACGTGCACCCTCACCTTTGCCCTTGCCCTCGCACTTGTGCTTCTCGCCCCGCGCTCGCCCACCCAACTTTGCACTCTCGTCCTGGCACTCTTCCACTTGGTCTCGCCCTCACGCCCTCGCCTTCGCCTGCTCACCATTGCCCTCGCCCTCGCACCCAACTGACTGGTCGTGCACCCGCTCCCAGACAAACATCTTCCTCTGAGACTTATACCGTGGCGGTCATCAATGGCGGCCCTGGCGACCCCTGCTTCTCCATCGTCCTCGCCCTCCTCGGCATTCCGCACGTTCTGTGGAAGCCATGGCGAGATGAATCCGTGACACTTTACAGCTCTCCAACTTGACCGTCATGGAGCTTGGTCGTCTGGCTGGTCCTGTGGGATTGGACCGACCTTCTTATTATTAATGTTGTCGTCAAAGGCAGTCGGTATCGATCTCGGTGCCACATACTCGTAAGTAGCATCTGCCTTCCGACATCGCTTCGATCTTCGCTCACTACTATCCTACGCCGTCCTCGAAGGCAGTCGGTATCGATCTTGGTACCTTATACTCGTAAGTAGCATCCGCCTTCCGACATCGCTTCGATCTTCGCTCACTACTATCCTATACCGTCCTCGAAGGCAGTCGGTATCGATCTCGGTACCACATACGCGTAAGTAGCAAACGCCTTCCGACATCGCTCCGACGTTCGCTCACTGCTGACTTACAAGATTTGCTCGAGTCGTCTTACATCATGCCATGATCGGTCAGTTCTGGATCCCTGTATGTTGCCGACTCACTACCCGCGTGCAGGATCGGCAATGGTGCACCTGGGTCAACAGGATATCGGGGTCAACACTGATGGGTGCACGATGGAGTGATATGGTCTTCACGCGGAGAACTCACCATCTGGTACGCGGTCTCAACTTTGCATACTCGGCGTCTGCTGATTAGCTATCGGAGTGACCAAGTAACCGTGTGGTGAGCGACCGAGTGACTGCGCGAGTGCAGCATGACCTACACTTGGTGTGCCGAGAGGCGAGGGGACGAGAGGCGGGCAGACAAGAGGCGGCAGACGAGAAGCGAGCGAAAGAAGCGGGGAGTCAAGACGCTGCGAGGTAGGAAGGTGGTGAGAGGGTGAAGTAGAGAAGAGAGAAATGAAGGCGCAATGACTGACTCACGGTAGGTCACCACTCGACATGCGGGGCATTGGAGGGCGGAACCTCGAGAAGGGAGGCAGGTATCAGAGGCGGGTACAGAGGCTGCGAGGCTGCGTTGCAACAGGGCTGTAAGGTGGGAGGCTGGGAGGACTTACGAGGCAGAACTAGGAGTGGTAAGGCGAGATGCTGACGTGGGGAGCGGCAGAGAGCAGGGCGAGAGAGTGGTATCGCGGGTACTTATATATTTGCAGGCGGGATCACAATGCATACCGGCCCAGGGAGCATATATGGTGTATGGGACGGCAATGTACAAGGGAGCGCGGGGCAATGTACAAGGGAGCGCGGGGCGATGTACATCGGAGCGCGAGGCGATGTACAAGGGGCGCGGGGCGATGTACAAGGGCTCGTGGGGTGATGTACAAGGGAGCACGGGGCGATGTACAAGGGAGCGCGGGGCGATGTAATTGGAGCGCGAGGCGATGTACAAGGGCCCGTGGGGTGATGTACCAGGGGCGCGGGGCGATGTACAAGGGGCTCGCGGCGCGGTGTACAAGGGGTGCGGGGCGGGAGCGCGGGGCGATGTACAAGAGAGCGTGAGGCGATCTACAAGGGAGCGTGAGGCCATGTACAAGGGGCGCGGGGCGATGTACAAGGGGCTCGCGGCGCGGTGTACAAGGGGCGTGCGGCGGGAGCGCGGGGCAATCATGTACAAGGGAGCGTGAGGCCATGTACAAGGGGTGCGGGGCGATGTAAAGGGGCGCGGGGCGATGTACAAGGGGCTCGCGGCGTTGTGTACAAGGGGCGCGCGGCAGGAGCGCGGGGCGATGTCCAAGAGAGTGTGAGTCGATGTACAAGGCGCGCGGGGCGATGTAAAGGGGCGCGGGGCGGGGGCGCGGGGCGAGCATGTACAAGGGAGCGTGAGGCCATGTACAAGGAGGGCGGGGCAATGTACAAGGGGCGTGCTGCGGGGGCGCGGGGCGATGTACAAGGGAGCGCGGGGCGATGTACAAGGGGCTCGCGGCGCGGTGTACAAGGGGCGCGGGGCGATTAGGGGGCACGGGGCGATGTACAAGGGGTGCGGTGCGATGTATACTAGTAAGGGGCGCGGCGCAATGGGCAATGGTGTCCTGCGGTCGTACATGGCGGGCAGTCCATCACGTATCAAGGCGGTGTATCAAGGCGGCGCCGTATATTTCTGGCCGTACTTCATACATCGTGCAATGTAATAAGACCAGCTTGATGCACGGCGGTAGCTGTTCGTGAAAGGAGGGTAATGTATTGCAGGGCGCAGACGGCTAATGTATGAGGACACATGGCTAGTAAGCGGCATCTATGTATCGCATTTGCACTCTACTTAGCAGTATATTATGTATGGGTCTGCCAGCTACAGGTGCCTAGACCTCTGTGAGAATCTGACCTGCAAGCCCGATGTATTCCGTTTGGAAGCACTATCGTCATCTTTCGCGCCACACGTGCTAGTAGATCGCACCATGCTCTCCGAGCTGAACGTCCTACAAAGGGCATCGGTCATAACCCTTCACGACCTCACATTCGTGGAATTTGGCGATCAAGGCCAGCCGCTATCGCCCCCACTGCTCCCGAAGCCTACTACCTTGTGGCCCAGCGCAAAGACCCTACGTCTAAGAAACATGGATCCTATGCCTGTCGTGGCGCTTTGTCCGAATCTAGCGTCTCTACACCTTGCGGCCGTGATGCTGTACCACGATGGTGGAGACTTCTATCCTGGTGATGTACACAACCCATACAGCATCACCGACATCCTGGAACCCCAAGTCGCAACGCGCCTGCGTGTCTTCGACGTCTTCGTCGACAACGAGGAGTCCCGACTGACCAAGACGATCGTCACGACCGTCCGCGCGACATATCCGCGCGTGCTCTCAACTCAATTCCACTATTGCGACATGGGTCTCTAGGGGGAGCTCGTGAGCCTCGCGAAGCGTCCCGATTCAAGGCTCCGCTATCTCGACGTGCTGTTGCACGACAACACCACTCTCGCGCGAAAATGGCTGGTACGTCTGGTTCTGCACATAGCTCCGCTCTCGTTCTGCTACCCACCTCATTCGTATTCTGTTTCTGCCACAGGACGAGTGCCTCCCGCAGTTCTCCGACTGTGGCATCCTCTGCGTACGCATCAGGCTCGTCGAGAGCATCGGCAACACCATAACCGAGCAAGAGTGGCAATCTCTCGAGGCCGATTCGGACGACTGGGACGCAGAGGGCGATTGGGAAGAGCTGCGGAACGCCGCTCCCGGGCTCATCTTGCAGGCAATTCCGTCCCTCTGCTATGTTTCCGTGTCGCCCGGTTACATGATGGAGGACCGGAACGAACCGGCCTTCGTGGGGCGCACGCAGTGGTGGCGCGTTCCGGACGACAATTCGGAAACAGGCTCTGAGGATAGACAAGCTGCGACCAGCCTGGTGAAACTCGACGCGGAAGAGGGCTGGGGAATTCACGAATACATGCGCAGCGAGGCGTTTCGAGAAAGGAACATGTACTTGATGCTCTCGTCGCCGACCGTCCACGATGGCGTCATGAACGTGCGAGTTAGGGTAAGTGTAGCGAAAATGTACACATAGCTTTCGTGGGACTTGTGAACGACATTGCCAAATCTTGGTCATGCCCAATGATAGAATGGTGTGGCCCAGGTTACTGTGCTTTGTCAGCCCTCTGGGAGTGGTAAATGGGTAAAAATAAGCTGGATTGAGGATTTGATCATTGAGATTTCTATCTTCCCTCTATGTTTGATGCTGAAGAACCATACTACATTTCTCTGTATACAATTGTGACAACAGTCTCACAATACTGGAGTTATGTTGTCCATACATGATGCAAATCCTGTAACAGTGCTGCCACCGACTTTCTTTCCCCTGACAACCATGGGACCATAATCCCCAGACTCATTCATCCCTTGCCTTCCGGTTACGGGATTGGGGTCTTGAGTGACTCCCAGATCTATGCTGCACAGCGGAAGGCAATGTGCTAGTAGTATAAATTAGCAAAGGCAGACTATTTCAACAGTGATCTCAAACTCACGGTACAACAACCCCATATTCAGTGATTGCGCGCTGAATGGCTTCTGTTGCTTCCCAGTGGTCTGTCTTTGGTGTAGGCAGTTTCAATGCCTTCTGATCAATCAGGCCATAGGCCATAGCAAACCAAGAGAACACAGCAAGTGCAGGGGCCTCATCACGTTTGTAATCCCGTGACATGAACAGCGTATTCTTGTTCTTCCCTTGGCCTCGTACAAAGAAAAAGGTTCTCCATCCTGTGGAGAGTATAGCCAGATTGCATTCATTATCAACCATCTGTGTCCAGACCTTGAAATTGTACATGAGTACTTTTGTGTCCATCATGCAAGTGTCAATGAATTACCTGGCATAGAATTCTTGTCTGAACATCTGATCTGTAGTTGTCACCCTCCAGTAAGGCCTCCTGAGCACTCTCAGGTGGCCAAAGGAATTTGACCGCCCATCCCTTTGCAGCTATTCTTGGTTCCCACACAAGCTGTCGCAGGATATGACTTGAGCTTGCTTCATCCACACCAGAAGTAAGAGTGTCAGAAAATGCAGACGGGGTCTTGAACTCCACAGTCAGGCCAACTATGAATTTCCCCTTGCGATCTTGTCCAATGAGAAAGACACCATCTGGTATCACACTTGAAGGTTTTGCTGCACAAAAGCACGGAAACTGGACATCCATAATGGAATGTGCATGTTGTGGTTCCAGCTCTGGCATGACATATTGTGTCTTGCCTTTGAAGGCATCCGGGCCATGTAGCTCCTTGATTTTTTTGATGGCCAGAATACCAGCTAGTGCTGGATGAAACAAGAGTCCAGTTGCCCAACGATCTGTGTCCACTTCTGCACTGATCATCCCTGGTGCATATGGAGATGTATACCAAGGATGTGCTGGGATAGTTTGCAATTGAGACTGCTCCAAAGATAGCACATCTATCTTTTGCAGATACTGTGCTGCATGTGGGATCACATTGTCAACCAGTTCATAATAGGGCACAATCTGTTTCAGGACATTGATTGTGTTCACAAGTGCCTTCTCTGTCTTGCTGAGTTCCTTTGTGTGTGGCTGTGTGGTGTTGTGCAGCAAGGGGGGATTCATTGGCAAATCAATCTTGTAGACCCCAAGCAAAGTGTTGATACCCGTTGAATTGTCCCACTTCCTGAGTGGTAGTCTTGCTTCATCTCGTTCTGAGGTTGTTGCTTTAAATGGTAAATCAACACCATCATTATGGGATCCAGGGCGTGTAGGCTGTACACCTCCAAGTTGCATCTTGCGGAAGCGCTCTAAATACTAGTGAATCAGCAACTCATGCTACCAATTGATATCAAGCTGTTGCTAATCACCAGTCATGTCTCTGGCAGACCGACTCTGCCGAGGGGTAGGCTCATCATCATTAGAGTCGCTAGAAGCCCCAGTATTGCTAGCATCGCGGCGATTGCCATGCCGCCGCAGCGGCGTCACTGGGCCGTCGGTACTTGAAGGCTGATGCATAGTAATCTGAGATTCGTGTGTTTTGGTACTGAGTTCTTGTATGCCCCGCCGACGTGAACTGATCACTGCTGGCGAATGTGAGGTATGTTGGGTTTGGTGCTAGATGTTCCCGGGTACCATGAGTCTTATATACATATCCTGCCTGGCGAGCGATTATTGTTGTACCACTACATCTCGTCGCGGTGAGTTGTGGTTGACTATTGCTGACAAGTTGTTGATGTTACGTCTTCGATTGTTGTACTATCTTTTGATCAAATCCATCAGTAGTACTGTAGTACTGTTATTGTGCTTGTCGCACAAAATTAATACGGTTCAACGCAGTTAATTCCCTGACATGTCAATTCCGGACACGCCCGACGGCAGCAATCGCAGACTTCGCAAATGTACCACCATGACCGTTGGCACTGGGGAGCGATTCATGAGCATGTTTGTTATTGACTAGTACGCGTTTGCACTAGTAGTTCACGGTTGCATGGTTGCATTTCAATGTACTATTGTTCACGTCCCTGAGCCCATGAGCGAGAACAACACAAACCTCGCGCTTATTGTTTTATTGTTCCTCACTCATTTTGTCCCTCAGTCAAGCGTCCGAGTCGCTAATATCGCTCCATGGGTTGATGTGGTGCCTATTGTCAACTTGAATCGCGACGTTCCGAGTCCTATTGTCTGATTGTTTCTCATTCGTTTCATCGCGACTCGTGTCGCTGATTCGTGTCCAACCCGAGGTTGAAGGCAAGATTGATGTGAAGCTTGTTGCCAATCGCGATACCCGGGAAACTAATTGTCTTTTAGTAAAGTTGCTGCTCATTCGTTTCATGATTCATCGCAAGCATCACTCGGAACGCGAGTTGAATGTAATGTTCATTGTAGATCATGATTATGATGTTCCGATGGCACCCGGATGAGCCGCGTTGTTTCGGAGACTGTCATCGTTACAGTTCTAATGCTGTTCACATGTCGGTTGTTCTGAGTAACTGGTTCTGCATTTTCACAAGCATAGCCAGTGCCAAGATAATCCGAGTCATCGTTCTGTTGCATACTCATCACTGTCTCCGAGTCGCCAGTAGGGCTATCCAATTGTCTATCCGTATGGCGTACGGTCTATAGCAAAAATAAGTACACCCACATAATAGTACACCCATACATATCATTGTTTGCGCGCGCCACCCACATCAGTATTCGCGCCACCCACATAACTAATCGCGCGCGCCGCCTCCCACATAACTCTTTGCGCGCGCGGCCACCCACATAATTTTTCGCGCGCGCGGCCACCCACATAATTCTTCGTGCGGCCTCACCCATCGTGCTTGTAGCTCGCTCTCGCCTCGCGCATCCAAGACAATAGTAGGTAAGTGATACATTGATGACTATACTACGCTGACTATAGTAGTACTACAGTCGGCATAGGCTCGACGCGCCACAGTCGCGCCGTTGCGCTGTCCCCGCGTCGCGTCGCGTCGTGTCCCGTCGCGTCCCCGGGCCCCGTCGCGTGCGTCCCGTCGGTCCGTCACTCGCGTCCGTCACCGTGCTCGACGTGCCACCGTCGCGCCGTCGCGCTGTCCCCGTGTCGCGGCCGCCGTCGCGCCCCTACTGCGCCCGCCCTTGGTCCGCCCGCGCTCGACGCGCCACCGCCGACGTGCCTCCACTCCCGCACACCGCCGCGTCCGTCACTACCCTCGCCACCATCCCCGCCTCGCGCCGCCTCGCTGCCACTGTGTCGGGCCCCGCCCCGCCGCGCTGTCGCTGCCACTTGCCGCCACTGTCCCCGCGTCGCGCTGTCGCCGCCACCTGCTGCCACTGTCCCCACCCGTCGTGCTTGTAGCCGCTTTCGCTTCGTCATCATTGCTAGTCGCAGCAGGTAAGTGACATATTGATTACTATACAACACTAACTACGTACTACGATCGGCACAGGTGTCACGCTCGAGGCTGCTGGTCACACCGGGGAACACCGAGTGTTGCGTTCGACGGCATGTTCAGCGCGCTCAACACCGAGGCTGCCGATCTTCCCTAGGCCCGCATCGGGAATGGGTGTGTGCCAGCACCCGGCGCGCTGCCTTTGTCGACCTGTGTTCCTAGTCATGCGGAGGTACACACCCTCCACCGCTTCCATTCTCGCGTTGTACTCATTCCACGCCGCCCAGAGGTCTGTGCCGTGCGGTACGTCAGTCTGCTCTCACACCTCTGACTCTCTTGCACCCCGCTAGGCACTACCATCGAGGCGTCTGTCCGCACCTCCATCCACCTTACCGTCCTCAAGCACGCCGCTCGCATCACCGTCGTCAAGGCGCCCCATTTCTCCTCTCCCGCTACCCTCATGGAGGTGCACGACTGTACCACCGGTGTCGATCTGCGTGAGTCGCGTTCGCGTCCCTGCGCCATGCGCACATTGTGTCTGTGGGCTCTTGTTGCGGTCGGATGTTCCTCTGATGCCTGGCCGCCCCTGCTGCCCTCTCTCCAGCGAGTGCAGCCTGGCAGCCGCGCCTCGTTGTCATCGCATGTGTCTCGTTGCAGCACGAATGATCTGAGGTGGGCCTGCACCGGGCGAGACACACTCCTTGCGCGGCCGACATGCCCAATTACGTCGTATGTGCCGCATGCGCCTCCGATTCCGGCGAGGACAAGTATTGACTCAACCACTTGACCTAGATCGGGATGATGATGCCCAAGAGCATCTTCACAAAGCCAGGCTCATCCTTGCGCTCTCGCCCTCGAGGCTTGCACGCTCTTCTCTTCCTGTCCCTCGCCCTTATTCTTGCGCTTTCCATCACCCTCTCACTTTCCCTCGTGCTCTCATACTTGTCGTCGCCCTCGCGCTCTCACAGTCTAACCCTTGCTCTCATGTGCTTATCCTCATACTCATCCTCGTGTGCGTAGCGAGGAAAACCTAAATACCTATGTCGTTTGCAGTCTTTGTCTCCTTGTTGCCGCACAACTATTGTGTGGTTCTGGACGAAATCCGCTGCTCATTGCACTCTCTGGACATGTAATGCAGCTTGCCTCTACTCTAGGGCATAAGCAGATGAGTACCTCGTCACTGCGCTCGTCACTGTGCCATGGACGAGCACTGGGACACGAGGGAGCCGTGCACGAAGACTCCCACAACGACTCTACTTGAGTCGGATTGAATAAGACATAAGTATTGATATCAACTTGTCGGCACTGCAAGGACTCACCGAAAGGCAGAGCCAAGCCTACTAGGCGTAAAAGGCATAATCACGCCTGAACTGATCTGCGACAGACTGGATGATGACATCCTCCTTCGACCAATCAGTCGAGTCGTGCTTCATCGCAAACGTCACCTGAAAGTGACAAGAGTAACAGAGTCCTGAGCGGCGGCCCATGTCATCACAAATGAAGCTCAGGAGCTCGTGATCAGACATCGCAGCGTCTGGGTGAAGCAGCTTGGATGCGAGTGCTTGATACCACGTCGCTGTCCATCTGGAGCCACATTGGGTCGGCGAATTGCAACTTGCACCTTGGATGTGCCGAGGAGGGCTCCAGGCAAGAGCTTTCCGGTGACGATCGATGCGGAGCCATAGTACGAAGATTCGCATGGCGTCAGTAGGAGCCTTGAAGTATGCGAAATGCTCCGAGTCCCATTCGCGAGGCCCCAGGCCGAGAACCAGTTTGAGGGCAGGGACAAGCCAGGGCTCAACTCCATAGGCGAGACAGCATGCAATTTTGGCGATTGGTCCCCATTCGGGATCGCCAGAAAGCGGGACAGCTTCCAGCTTCTCGATTGCAAAGAACCTTGCTCGGGTCATGTCCCACATTGTTGCGAGCTGGAGTATACCGACGAGTTGTCGTGTGGAGGGAGAAAATGGCTGTTGGGACTCTCCATCTGGCCTAAGTCAACGTGTTAGATGATCATGGCAACTTCAAGCAGCATTGAAACGAAGGCATACAGAACTGCACCACCCAGATAATCAATCAGAGCCTCGAATGCAATCACGTCAATACCCCAGAGGTAGAGCGGAGATGCCTCTGAAGTGCCCTCGGTCCGATGAGAAACACCAGCTGGCAATTCGAACATCCCACTGAAGACAGTAGAGTGGTTGGCGAAAGTGCCTGTGTACAGCCTGTACAGCGTCTTCCCGACCTAGACAATGTTGCATGTCAGTAGTATACAAGGGCCCAGAAGTCATATGCACTCACACCGATGAACAGATTGCCGTCGGGAACCCAGAAGCGGGATGAGCGAGTCATGGTCATGGTCATCTCTGTGCGCAATTTGATTGTGACCTTGCATGAATGCATTCAGAGTATGAGCATCTAGACTAACTGTACAGATGCAGCACTCACAGCTTCTGTGTTTCCCTCGCCGACAGTAGCGATCATGGCCAAGTCGCTACTCGTGCTCCTCGAGTTCGAGCCTTGTACCTGTGTCATGTGGACCAAGGTTCCCGCAGACAAAGCAGGCGAAGACATGAACGGCTGGTGTGATGCCATGAGAAGCTGCAAGACTGGTCCTGAGCGCAAAGCAGTGACGAGAGACAGGACACGAAGAGCTGCATAGCGAGCAGCCATCGCCTGTGGCACTATCGGCCATCGCCGAGGTGTTGCTTACAGCGTCGGCCTGCACATTGATGACAAACAGATGTCCTCACAGAGCTTCGCTCAACCATGCCACATTAAAAACTTGTTTGATTATGATAAGTAGAGTATTACGAGGTACGAAACGATGATCTGAACGAGACAAGGGTATTCCAAGTCAACGAGTACGAGTAGAGTGTCTGCAATCAGTGGAGTGCTCTAGGAGTGAAAGGATGAACGAAGGATGGCCTACAAATGCCAATGTACTTCAATACTACAAGAGAACGACAGAGCGAAGTGCGAAGAACGTCAATCTACTCGCCGAACAACAGAAGTCTGATTAAAATGGATATATGTAAAAGCCATGCTGAGATGCTTCATTCCTTGCAGAGTAGGGTGCAGACGATCCTCTAGCGGTCGGATAGTGGGCTTCAGTCAGTTTTGCACTCGATCTGGCTGATTGAAATACCTCATACCTTGCCGATGAGCCTAAGCCCAAGGGTCGCCAGCAATCACATCCCGAGTGATGAGTACTTGTGGCTGAGTCGCTGTTGCAGAGCGAGTGATCCGAGTTGCTTGCACAGGTGATGGACTTTGCTGTGTGAATGGGGGCTCGCCCAAGGTATTACCTGGATCCTCGTCGGACGAGCTGATCTCGATCGGGCCCTGCAATGTCCCAGTCGCAGCTGAGCTAGTTGAGCCCGAAGCGACTCCAGAGCCAGCTGCCAATTAAAAATCAACATTGCGACATCCGAAAGTGGACAGCAATTTCCTTACCAGCCGACGTCGATGCCCTTGGCTCTTTCAGGGTGAAGCTCGAGAAACTGCTCTCCATGTTATCGACAGCTCTCTTGAGCTTACCTGCAAGTGGATAAGTCAGTATATGGGCATCGTCGCCACACAAGACTCAGTCCAAGACACCTACGACTACTCTTTAGCTGAGACAATGGTTCGTCGTCACCCCACTCGCTAGCTGATTCTGTTGCAGTATCTGGAAAAGGCACGAGGTTGGAACAAACCCCAGCGAGCAGTTAACATTGGAGGAAACTCACTGTCGTCGTCACCCAACTCTGACCCAGCATCGCTACCCAACTCTGACCCAGCATCGCTACCTTCACTCTCAGGCTCACTGGTCGCACTGGCCTTGGCTTCCTCCTCGTCGCCATCTTCCACCACAGGGACATTGGGAGCAACATCCTGAGGGCGACACCACGACTTCCAGACCTTGGTCGGTACTGGCCGAGGTGTCACTGAACATTACATAGTGAGCACAGTGAGCGACTCGGACGATCAGACCATAGGGGCGACGTACCAAAGCACCAGGTTCGCTCAATCCAACTGCCATTGCGATTGTGAACAGCAGTGCAGAGGTCAACAAAGCTGAGGGGCTTCATGTCGTCAAGGAACACGACTGCCAGCCTCCGACCAGTCTTCTCAACCAGTTTCCAGTGGTGTGTCGTCTCCTCATAGGTCCCCTCTGCTTTCAGCCAGTCGTAGTAAGCAGGGAACAAAGACTTAAGGAGGTCGTCCACATCAAACCAGTCGGTGTTGGGCTTGATGAAGAGTTCGCCACCATCTGGAGCACCTGATTTAGCAAGTCCACATCGTTTGAACATCTTCATGTCGCTCGCAGAGAGCTTGTTGATGCGAATCTCGCCCTCGTTCTGCAGCAGATCAGAGATGAGAACCCATCGGTGACGACAACAAAGCGATGAAAGACACACATTTAACCCATGTGGCAGCAACAAGACTCGGCCAATGGGGTAGGGCTTTGCAACTGACTTTGCTGATGACGAAGACAAAGCCTAATGGCCGATTAGTGAGGCAATGTTGAAGAGGATCTGTAGCATACCTTTTGACCAGCAGTCGCAGATCCTGAAGCTGGCAGCTGAGCCTGTTACGACATGAGAAGCTGAAGACACAATAGCAGGCAGCTCACATACCTTTGCCTTGGACGAGCCAGAGCTCTTGGCGACACCCTTCCCTTTCTGTTTGAGACCAGCATTCGTCTCAAGTCGAGCAGTCTTGAACGATGCCTTTGGGCCCTTCGGAGCAGGTGCCTTTGCCGAGTATCGCTGCCGCTTGGGGTGGTGAGCGATCAACTCGTCGACAAGACTCTCTGTGTTGATAGGGGAGGTAGCCCTCCTCTTGTGCCGCTTAGACGAGGAGCTTGCCATGTGAGCGAAGAGCCTGATTGAAGACGACAGTACAGGGGAAGGGTGCAGAAGCATGAGGGATGGCGACAGCTTTGAATTTATACTCACCTGAGCGAAACCACGACTCGGGTGATACCCTCTTCACATCGGCAAATATTGCCTCAAGGTGATCGGCAACATGTAACATCCCAGCCAAGCTGAGCTGGCTCCAGAGACTGCACTGCATTGCCAAACACGAGGTGGCCGACCGAAGGTAGGGCTGAGAGGATTGAGATTCTGTTGGTGTCGGCCTACTACCCCGAGATAGATTCGTGTAAGTATAGTAATCATACATCGTCAGTGTTCATGCTATGATCAGAACCAGACGAGCTCGATGAGTCGCTCTCCAATGAGCTTGATGAGCCACTCTCCGATGAGCTGCTCCCCTTGCTGAGGATTTGGGTTAGAACCCAAACAGCCCTACACCATGCCTCGGCTCGGGGCAACCACAGCTCGTGAGGCAGCTCAACCCGAAGAGGTGGCTTTCTCTTCCCAACAACAAGATTCTCGTGCGTTGGATACCCATCCTGTTCCCACTCCTCTTCGCGAATGTTCATGTGCCGAGGAACAAAGCCAGTGTCAGTGACGCTGTCCAAGGTTACCCAGAAGGCATCTTCGTCCTCCTGTGATTCAAAGGGATTCTTGTGGCGAGCAACCTTGATAGCAGCATGTCGGATGTTCGATGCCTGGTTGGCGATGATCTGGGCGACTAGGTTATCGCCACCAGGTTCAGCTAGGGAAGTACCACCTTCACTAGGAATGCTGCTGCTATCGTCTTCGTCTTCAGGACCAGTTGAGCCCTCCTCTCTACCATCTGAGTCGGCCACTGACTCCTCGCTGCCAGATTCATCGGCCCATGCTCCACCTACATCTACTTCCTTGTCGCTGGCCTCTGCATCGCTATCGAGGTCACCCTCCAGTGGCTCGTCTTCATCGTCTGTATCGTTCGAATGACCTGCACCAGTCTGGCCTCGCCTGCGACCCCTCGGGGCCCCCTCTACACCGAGATACTCGGTGAGGATATCAGGGTCAATGTCGGCATATTCGTCCTCGTACATCCCAACAGTGACTTTGGCCAAGTGCCGAATATCCTGCGAAGTACTGTCAGATGCTTGTCCCTGTGCAAATCATGAGCATACCGATGGGGTTTGGTTTCGATGCTTCCCTGACAACTTATGCAGGTTCCAGTTCTGGACCCAGTTATCGGCATCGGTGTCGATGTCACTGAGGAAAAGCTCATGCAAGAGCCACAGATGTGCAGGATTGCCTGCATCGAGACCATGCATGCCTTCAAGACGAGTGAAGAAGACTCGCCATCGCCGGACAAAGCCTTCGCCAACGTCGACCCAGATTCGCTCGATCTTCTGGTTTCGGGTTGAGCTGTGTGCGAGCTCAACAGTAGTCATGTGGGGCGCACAGGTAGTACTTACGATCCAAACATGAAGGATGCTCGGTTTGGGCCCCTCCTCATGATCATGTATGACGACACCAAAATATTCTCGCCACCACGATCGCCGCGAACCCGAAGTGGCAAGCCATGGATTTGGACAGCTTCATCGAAGCGAATCAGGACAGTCTCTGGTCGGTTGTTGTTTGCTGCTCGCATCATGACGACCTGCATGTTGAGTCGGAATCAGCAATGGGCTGCAATGATGATACAGGAAAAGGCGAACCTCATCATCGCAACCGTCAATACCACCATGGAAGACAATACCCCATCGTATGAGCTTGTGATGCCCGTCGATATGCCAGAGGTGGTTTGGGCGAGGAACCGAGTAAACTCGGCGAGCGACAGCTTTCTTGTGCCGAAGGGCAGCACCTATCGCATCGACGCGGTGTAGTGAGTCGATGATTCGCTGCCTCTGAATTCGGAGCCATTGCGTGCGGAAATATGAATGGACGTGCCGGATGCCAGCATTCGGTCGCTCGACCTTGAAGGCGTGCACAAGTTGGTCTACCTGCTCGTCACTGAGAGGAGCATACGAGATGCTGATATCGTACTTTCGCATGTAGCGAGAGACGGTAGTCCAGTGAACACCAAGGGCATTTGCAGCCTGCTGGATGGTGATGCTCCGATATGGTGCAAACGTTTCTTCAAGCCACGCCTTCGAGATCACCTTCTTTGGGCGACCACGACGACCCGTCCGGGTAATAGTCACAGGGTTGGCGACAACAACATTGTGTCGCTCCCTGGCCAATCCATCAATGAAACCTGAATTGGCCAGACAAGGAGCCTGAGAGCTCACCGCTCCGTGTCAGCGTCGATGGCTGTCTGAACAGCCGATCGCATCCTCCCAATCTCAGCACATGCAGCCTCAATCCACTCCCATCCTCCTCTGCGCCGAAGCTCTGGTGCCATTGCCTTGACCAGCGGTACGACTTGTCGGTCTAGGGTATCCATGCAAACACCCAGTCGCACCCGATCAGCTTCATCCTGAAGTAGCAGGATCGCGATGTGGCCACACAGGTGAGACAGCCGCGTGTAAGCTGCGAGTACACTGTCGGACCAAGTGATGGGAACTCCACTTTGATACTGCGGGAGGTGCGGAAAGGTCGGCTGCGACATGAAGGGTGCAGCAGGTGGGTAGCAGCGGGCAATCAACCAGGCCCAAGGCGCGCCACCGCACAGTATTTGCACCTGTTTTGGTGGCCCGACAGTTACCGCAAATGACATTGTATTCGCTTTCAAAACTATACAAGGACATTTCACAACCCAGCAAAACCCCGCGCAGCCGAGCAGACAAGTGGGCGGTGTGGCGCGGGGGCAGTGGGACACGAGGGCAGTGGGATGCGCGGGCAGTGAGGCATGGGGACGAGGGCATGCGCAAACGAGGGGAGACTAGGCGAGGGCGCGCGCGGTGCGCGGAGGGCCTGCAAAGCGCCCGCGCGGCGGCCTGTGCAAGCGCCAGCAGGTGGCGGCGGCGGCATGGCAGGCGGGAGGGCAAGCGGTGCCGGAAATGCGGCGCGGGCGCAGCAGATGCGAGGGATTGGCGCGTAGCGCAGGGCAGGGGATGGTGGTGAGGGGCCGCGCTGGTCACGATGTTCGTCCACTCGCTGCCGGGTAGCTGCGTAGCCGAAGGAGGCTAGCCATCAGGGATGCGGCGATGATCGCGACGAGAGGCAGCGCACTCGATGCGGTTCTGCGCCTGGTCGAGGCAACCGCACGTTTAGCTCGTGACGTACACGAGCGAGTCCCTGTCGGTCTTGTCCGCACCCAGGTCCCAGAGCAGCGATCCCGCCAGCCCATTGGCCCCGGCACACTGCACCTTCGCCTTCGCGATACTTGGCGCACCCTACCCCGCGCACTCTCCCTTGGGCGAGTCGTGTGAGTGCGGCACCGTGGCGGTATGGTTGCTGCAGGCGGGCCCGCCCGAGAGTGGGAGGGTATCGTACACGTAGATGCCCGCCTGCATCGTTCCTGGGCCCGCGCCATTGTAGGGCGCACCGAGGCTGGCCGCAGAGAGGGGCACCTGCGCACTATGAGCGCGCATTCGCGAGAATAGGGGTGGTGCCACATACCCATGCTGATCTTGCTTGGGGTTGAACGAGAGGCTTCACTTGTTATTGTCCCCGCTGGTGCTTGCAAGGGGCGCATCGTAGGTGTTCGCGCAGTCGTTGAGCGCGGTGCAGAGGAGCGCAGCTTCGCGAGCTTGAGCAGGCACATCTGCGCAGCAAACCAATAAGAAAATGCCAACTCATTGCGGGCATCGTAGGACGCACCTGCATCAAGCACCCGCGCCAGCTGCTTCCAGTCCTATCCCACGAGTCTCCCCGGAGGTGCTTCTGCTCATCAGCGCGCGCGCCCGCGAGCGCGATCTCTGCAGTACTCGAAAACTGATCCGCAAACGCTTAGAGAGGCGCGCGGTCGCTCGGCGCCATGTTCGGCGGCTGGAAGTTTGCGCTGCAGGTACTCCTGCGCCCGCCGCAACCGTGTCAGCTCGAGGCACCAGGCGCGCGCAACGCATTAGGCACGCACCAGTTCATGAAGTACATCGTGAACTCCCTCGTATATCCCAGCAAATCAGGGTATGCGTGATCCTGGCGCAACGTTTCACTGCAGTAGCCGGTAGCACAGATGTACGCGGCTTGCGCGTATCTGCCGCCAGCGCGCTTGCTGATCGTCTGCGGCCCCGGGTCGCCCAGCACCGCGCAGTCTGCCGGGCACTGCGCCACCTGCGCCGGCCCAGCACACCAGAATGCGCTGAGCACGAGCAGCGCGGAGAGGAAAATGGAGCGAGCCGCATTGGGCAATCGAGGGCGAGGCGCCAGAGGCGGGAAAGGGCAAGGGATGGTGGCATCCAGACCTATCGAGTCGGTATTGGGCACGAGCATGGGCACCGATGGAGGGCAACCTTACCTGCCAGGCTTATAAGCTTCAAGTTGCCCGCTAGTTTCCGCGCTTGCGTTTCGTCGCAGTGGGTTCGGTGTAAAGCAGCTAGCAGGGAGATAGCAGTAGGGTCCAAGTCGCCTAGATTGGTTGGGCGGGAGAACACCCTTCGCCAGCACTTTGCGGATGCGACCACGAGAGCCCTACCCCTACGCAAACATCAGCGCAAAAGCACCAGTGGAGGGGTCTCAGCCAACGAGAAGGCGAGCAGTGCCAGATGTGGTGAGACCTGGGAGTGCTTCCTTTGGTGAACCGCGGATGCGACCACGAGAGCCTTACCCCTACGCAAACATCGACGCAGGTTCACCGCCAGAAGTCCTCCAGGCTGTTCGTGAGTTGGCACTGCTGCACCTGAGCGACTCAGAGTGAGGGTTGGGTAGCTGCGCGAGGCAAGAACCGCCGCCTTGCCAACAGGGTCATGTGACTAAAAGTGCTAGCCACCGGCGCACGGCACTGCACAGGAGCGAGCAGAGGCTCTGTGCAGTGCGCAATCGGATGTTACAGCTCGCTGGGAACTTGAAGTTAAGAAGACTGCTTGCCCAACACTCGACCGCGCCCTCGAGATCCTCTGGCTTTGTCGAAGGGCTCGGCTGCCGCTCGCCAGATCTTCATAGGACGCCCGAGGGGCGGGTGGGATATGCGACTTCAACTCTCAGATTATTCCGGTACTTCATACAGCACTACACGCGGGATTAGCATTACATAGCAGCAGCGGCAGAGTGCGCGAGTTCGTGCAAGCAACTAGTAGACCACAGTATACCGAAAGATTGCATTATTGCGCTCATCGCGCCGCCTGCCTCGAGCAGGTCCGCATACTATTACATGCCGGAAGCTGCATTGACCTCCACGCCAGCGCCGGAATTGGCACCAGCATCAGCCTCAGCGCCCGCGCCTTCAGAGCGCGAGTTGCCATCTGATCGAGTCGGTTGCAGGAGTACAACCGCGCTTCGCAGGTTGGCTGGCCGCGCAGCGAGGGCTTACCGGCTGTAGTCAGCAAATCGTGCGCACACCTGGTAACTCAGTACCCTCAGGTAGTGAATTGCGCCGGTCGTCCGTGGGTCTCGCGGGTCTTGCGGGTCTCCGTGGGTGTGGATATTGGCCAAGGGTCAGGCGAGCCAGGAGGTGACTAGGCAGGCGAGTGAGTGCGTGGGCGATTGTGCAGGTGGCGCAGTGATGCACTTGCGCGGCCTTGTATGCGCCGAGCATCATCGCATTGGGCGCAGAACCAGGCGCGGCAGTCTTCGCCCATTTGGGTTGGATCAGCAGGTGCACTGCAGGTGCCAGGCGGTTGCGGGGTGCACCGAGATATTGCGCTACCTCGCGGCCAGCTCGAAGGCTGGACGTGGCTTGGCGCGCCGAGAGACCGCCGAACGAGGGAATGGTGAGGGAGAGGCGCCGAGGGGAGCCCAAGTGCTTGAGAGCGGGGAAGGGCGAGGGACATCGCGTTCAGGAGACGCAGGAGCGTCAGGAGAAGGTGGACAAGTGCAGAGCTCGTGCGAGGATGAGGGTAGTGGGGCCGGGCGGGCTGCGGCACTTACTGCAGTAGGCTAGCCTCGCTCTTCCTCTTGTTTCAACCCCGCCCTCCTCGTCGAAGTCGTGTCGGTGGGTCGTTTGCGCCAGCTCTCGCGGCTGCTCGTGCTTGCACTCGGTGGCATCTCAGGGAGCCTCGAAGGGCTCGTTTGCGCTGGTTGCGCAGCAGCCTTGAGCTCGTGGTGCTTGCTCACCTGGGTATGCCAATACTCGTGCGGCGAGATGGCGCGAGTGGGCGTATCCTCGCGTTATGCGTGGGCCCAAGCGAGTTCCTTGTGTGGCGCGTCGGCGGCGGCTTGTTCGTCTTCGCTCTAGGCGCAAGCGCGGGCATGGCAATATCCGCTCACCGCGCCAACGGGGGACAAGCGGCTGCGCAGGCAGATGACCTTGCAGTCGGCTTGAGGCCCACATGATGATGGCGGTGTTTGACACATCGAGGGAGAGGCGGAAGCGGAGGATCGATGCGAGTCTCGAGAGCTTGCGAGAGTCGAGCTGCGAGTCGCGCGCTTGCTCGCTCGGGCGATGGTGTATTTCCCACGGACTGCCAGACACTGGCTGGGCAGGCTCAGCTGGCGCAACTGGTGCTCACGAGTCGCAGAGTGGCGTGAGCGGCGGGTATGGTGTGCGGGTACGGGTTGAGGGGGCGGGAACACATCGGGAAGAGGCGATGGGCACACCTTCAGCACAACGTCGACTACGCGCTGGCTCGTGAGCACGTTCGCTCAGCAGGCTGCCCTCGGGGATGGTGGCGGTGCCGGGCACGAGGCAGCCCGCGTTGAGCGGGATGTCCATGTTGAGCATCGCGCGCTAGATCACTGCCAAGTGCGCGACGCTGATCGGCGCACCCAGGTTCCCCTGCACCTCGCAGCCAGTGCCCGTGAAGTCGCACATGGCCGAGCCTGCCGCCTCGTTGACCGGCACCTTCAGTCGGATCTGGGAGGGGGCGGCGAGTATGCGGGATCTAAGCGGGGGATGCGGGCGCACTGGGGAGCCGCCGTCGAGGTAGTCGATCGCCTCGAGGATGTTCGTCCCTGCGCGCTTGGCAGTGTCCCGGAACAGGTTCCGGGCGGACTGCTCGGCATTGGACCAGATGTGGTGCATGTACTCCTGTGTGGCCTTGAGCCCGCAGTCATCCACAACTACCAAGAGATCAGCAACAGCGCGCCTCGACGAGTAGGACCACTTACTAGCCTGGATGAGCTGGATGCCCCTGTGGTTGGCTGTAATTTGCTGGATGCGTTCAGCAGTGAGTTTCCTGCCGAGCGAGCAGCGTCACAGCGCACTTGCAGCCTTCAGATCGCTCTCCACATCCTTGATGTTCCTGCACCCCGAGCTCCCAGGGTACTGCGCCAGCTTGTAGACCATGTATTCCACGAGCCCATCACCATCGCACACGCCGCCATCCACGATCTTGAAGCTCTCGATCTGCGCGCCCTCCTCGAGAATGTTCGTCGGCGCCGCGGCATCGAGCCGGGGAGGATGCCGCCGATGTCGGCGTGGTGCGCGCGCCACGCGGTGAAGAAGCTGATCTCGTGCGCCTTGGTGTCGAACGCGGGCGAGATGGTTGTAATGTCGGGCAGATGTGAGCCGCCCGCCCAGGGCGAGTTGGTCATGAGCACGTCACCAGGCTTGAGCGACTTGCCGTGCAGCTTCATCTGGTAGCGCACCGCGCTGCCGAGGTGATGAGGGCATCGCTCACTGGCAGGAGAAACTTGTAAGTGTACTCACAGACTCAATGGCCCCAAGTGAATGGGAATGAACGGCGCGTTCGCCACCAAGTCTCCGTCTGGGGCGAACAGCGCGCACAAGAAGTCCAGGCGCTCCTTGATGCTTGTGCTAATTGCCGCCTGCTGCAGCGATCGACCCATTGCCTCCGCCACGCTCATGAAGCGGTTGGCGAAGAGCGTGAGGAGGATTGAGTCGGCGGCCTTGTAGTTGGGCTGCGATTGGGAAGCAGTTGAAGAGGCCATGGGCAGGCAGCGAGGACGCCGATAGCTAGAGCGTGACTGGGGGCCTCCAATGTGTTGACACTTACGCGTGCCCTGGCCGAGTGATTGAGCGAGTCAGGGCTGCAGATTATGCAGCTGTCGCTGCCCCGCGGCGCGCCGTACTTGACATTAGCCTTCGATTGTAGCCACCCGCATGCAGAAAGCCGCGCGGCGGCGCGTTCAACGCGTTTGGGCGTTCGCGTGGTGGCTTGGGCGTGCCTGGCGCACGGCCTGGTATGAGACGCGGTCTGCGCTGGTCTGCGTCCCGGGCAGGTGTGGCGGTGTACGGCGGTGTCGGAGGCGATCGTTGAGATCCCAAGTCGCCGCGCGGCGGCGACGGCGGTTGCGCCCTTTGGCGTGAGTACGGCGACGTGACCACGTCATGGACGAGCCAAGACCGAGGTGTCGCTAGGTAGGAGTGGTTGGCAGGGAGGGTATCCGAGTGGTGGAGAGCGATCGGGGCCGGGGCCGCGCCCATTGAGGGTGCCGTGGTAGTGGGAGGACGGATGGATTGCCGCGGGTGGCTGGTGGTGGTAGGAACGACCCATGGCGAGCAGTCCGTCCATGGTGCCGCGCTGCTCGACACGCTTCATCTTTCTTCGGCGGAGCGTGTCGAACTCGGGAAGACACCCTGCGTTTTGCTGAAAACGTGAGCGCTATCGTGTGGAGGGCAAGCGAGCGAAAACGCACGAGTTCAGTGGGGTCACCGCCGACTGCACGGTACGTGCCGCACTTCTGGCTCAAGAAGTCGTCGGGGGCGCCCTCTCTGCGCGCCCGGTCGTAGCCAATCGACTCGCCTGGACATTCAAACGTCAGTCACTCTCGCGACGAAGTGGAGGAGCATGGAGCACGACGCACCCTTCGAGCAGCTGGGGAAGAACTTGAGCGCCGGGTGGCTCTGGACGCCGTACGTCTCGGCAAAGAAGTGCAGCGATGCAAGAGACCAGCTCGCCGTGCCAGCCGCCCAGCGCAGCGCCGTGATCCGTTGCGGGCGTTCGTCCTACAGTCACGTGCAGCGTGGCGTACGCGTCGATGTCTTGCTGACCGGGTTTGATATTAAAGCCTTGAGCTACCCCGGAGCTACCTCTGAGACCAACGCATGGCCAAAGGGGCCGCCGGCCGGCAAATGCGCCAATTCTTACACCCAGCCAGCTAGCGATGCCAGCGCTTCGCCGCGCTGCCTTGCGCACGGGCCGTTAGTTACGGAGAATATGTTACCTATTGGGCCACAGCCCATGAGTTAACCAGGAGTAGCGCGGCGCAGCCGATTGGAATGCGGGTGAGATGAAGAACGCAGCCACCGTCGAGAATGTCTGTCCTATGACGGCGGCGCGCAGCGACTTTCTTTCAGGGCACCCCCTCCCCTTTATACCCAGCCCAATATGCCAAAACAGAGCACACGTGCAAGCATTAAACAAACACGACCTCGCGAGTCGCGTCGGACACATGATGGCGTTTTATAACGCTAACGTGTTCCCACGTGATTGCTTCCATCGCGGCAAGGGTTGGCTTGGATAACGCCATCCACGGATATCCGTAGATATCATCCGTTTCCCCGCCTTGTCGTCGAGCCAGCGTGCCTGCGTTGCAGCGTCGGTCGGGCTCCGCGTGGAAGGACGCGGTCCGGCCGAGGTTCACGATGCTGAGGAGGCGCAGCGGGTGCGCGGTGTGCGGCGCAGTGAGGTTCGCGAGCGTGTCGCAGTCCTGCTCGCAATGCAGGTGCACCTCGGCGTTCCGGAAAACGTGCACGTGCGCGGAGCTGAACCAGGCGTGGCAGGTCAGGCGACGCGCTTCTAGGGCGGCGCAGTCGTTCCATAGATGGTCGATGGCGCGATCCCACAACTCGAGTGGTAAACACGGAGGCAACATGGCGAGCCTCAAGGCTAAGTCGCCCAAGGTGTGGGTTGGTCAGCATGTTGGCAGTCACAGAGCGACTGAAGCATTTGCGACTCACATGAAGGTTGTTTGGGATCAACAGACTAGGCTGGAGACGACGCTAGAGAAGAATAGCGAAACTCAGTAGGTCGGCTATGAAAGCGGTGATGAGTGCAAGTCATTCTGTGAAAGGATTACTCAACGAGGAAGCTGTATCAACAGCCTGTGTCGATGCACTACACCTGGACAGTCTGCTCGGGGACAATGGAATCGCTGAGGGCGACCGAGTGGCAGACAGTAAGGCGAAAGACAGGCTCAAGGAGGCGTCTGATAGCACCAACATTGTGCCAGTCTGAAGCGAAATGGACAAAGGACTGAGTCTGCAAGTGGACAAAGGAGACTCACAATTCGTGACAAAGGCATGGCCGAACACATGTCGATCGAACGTAAGACCGTGAAGACGCACGTCGTACAAGAGAGGCAATGGATTCAATAGTACTAGAGACTGCGAATATTGTAGTATGCCTACATCAACACATTATTAGCTATGATACTGCGCACGTCCCCCAACCTACATCATGAGCTCGTTGATTTTGTGTCGTGAAAGCAGAAGAAAGTCTAGTCGAAGTCCATCTCAGAGGGTCCCTGCGACTCCTTCGGAGCCTCGCCCTCCTGTGGAGGCTGCTGAGCATTCGGAGTCTCTGTACCGCTCTTCGGCGTCTCAGTGCCCGAGGGGGTCTCCGTCTTTGGCGGCAAGTTGGGCTTAGGCCGCGTAAGGATCGGCATCGCGAAGTAGATGATGTTGTCCTTCTTCTTGAGGACGTCCGCGGCGGTGAGGACGGGGTCGACGCCCTTGGGGCGCTCGGACTGGCGCGCGATCTGGTCCTCGAGCCACTGCTGGATCGTCGCGCAAGGCGTCTCGACTGCGGCTTGCCTGTCCTTGTCGTCGATGTGCGTGTCCTTCTTGTCCGAGGACGTCGCCTCGGACATGTACCGGTTGATCGTCTCGCGCAGCTGGCTTACCACCATCGACCGCTGCTTCGCCTCCTTGTACCGGCTCGTGATCGGGCCCCCGAGCTCCTTGAGCGCGCCGCGTCGCTCGACGTGCGCGGACTTGGTCGCGTCCTCACCCTCCTCGCTGTAGAGCCAGTCCGCGGCATCCTGTGGAGCCGATGCCTTGAGGAGCGCCTCCTTCTCCTGCGCCTTGACGTAGGCGACATAGCGCTCATTGAAACGACCGCGCATGATGTACACGTACTCCTCAAGAGCGTTTTTGCGGTCCTATAGGTAAGGTATTAGCATCGGCCCAAGAGCCTCACACATGTATGATGTCAGCATGCATGCCTCAGTGCCCATGCCAAGCTTGTCAGCCGCGTACATCTCGGCCTCCTGCTCCCTTCAACTTCTCAACGACAGAGGGGTCAACCGAAGGGAACATTGACCTTGTTGGAGACCTTCTTCTTCGGCTGCTGATCCGCACCCTCGGCGTCGACCTGCGTCGGCTCGTCCGCCTCCTCAACGACCTCGAGGTACGCTTGCTCAAAGGAAATGGCGCCGCGCAGGTTCAGACGCGTGTGCACGCGGACGGTCGAGTGGTCGCCGTTCGCGTTCGGGCCAGTGGGCAGTGTCGGAGGCGATCATTGAGATTCCAAGTGGCCGGACGGCGGCTCGGACACCGGTTGCGCCCTTGCTTCCTCACGATCCCAGTCGTGGTTCCTCTCATGGCGTGAGTACGGCGACGTCATGGACGAGTCAATACCGGCAATGTGTCGCAGGGATTGCGATTGCGGGTAGGAGTGGTTGACAGGGAGGGTATCCGAGTGGTGGAGAGCAATTGGGGCCGGGGCCGCGCCCATTGAGGGTGCCGTGGTAGTGGGAGGATGGATGGATTGCCGCGGGTGGCTGGTGATGGTGGGAACGACCCATGGCGAGCAGCCCGTCCATGGTGCCGCGCCGCTCGACGCGCTTCATCTTTCTTCGGCATCTGCACATCGCGCGCTGCTAGTTGCAGTGGGAAGGGGCGAGATGGTCGACTAGGAACGGTGGTGCACGCGCAGCATGAACATTTGCTGCGAAGGGTGGTGAGTAAGCAACTGAGAGTGCGGGCGACCTACGAGGGCACCCTGTCGATGATGGTCATCACCGGTCGTGGCCTCGAGGATCATTCCGCCGACGCTCATGGTGGGTCGGACGATCGGAAGCATCGACATAATGGACTTTAGACCGAGTCACCGTGGTCATGATGGTGGGTGCGCTAGGAAGCGGCAGGCTCGCTAGCTGCAGGATGGTCGGGCCTCGGGAGAGGCAGAAGGCTAGACAAGGTTGTCAGGCGGTGGCGGACAACTTGAAGAAGGCGCGAGGGCAGGCTCACCGATACACTGTATTGCCGCGCGTGACCAGTCGATTTACGCTCGCTGCGCATGCACTTTGCCAGAGAAGAACTGCCTCGGTAGGTGAGGCTCGAGAGAAGGTTAGGTTGCAGCTCGAGGGACGTGAAGTCTGGGGTGGCTCAGGATGAGCCGCGCCGCACTACTCTGAAGCGCTCAGCGCTCGGACTCGCCTGCGGACACCGTACGGGCCCAGCGCTGCGCTCCTGCACGCACCTTGCACCAAAGCGACAATGGCCCACAAAGCGCGACGAGCTGGCAAGCGCGAGCGAAAGAAAACATTCACTGTTCTCATTGCAAAGATCGCCACCGATCACCACGCCTTGTCTCTGCTTGCCCGCTCTGGCGATCCTCGTCCCCGCCTGGAGTTTGAGGCCATTCTCTACGCTCTCCTCGACTCTACCGGCCGACCTTCCCCTGCGGGCGACCTCTTCTCTGGCTTCATCCAATGGTGCGACAGTGCCACTCAACTTCCCGATGTGCTATTGCAGGCACTTGTTGACCGAAAGCGGAGTGTGGAGATACAGTACCGTATTCGGATGGAGTTTGTCGCGAGCATGGGATTGAAGCGTATGAAGGAGGCAGCTAAAGCGCAGTGGCTTTCCGAGAATGCCCATGTCGTCGTCTTGGATCGCCTTCGCGAGGCGTACCCCGAGTATCACCAGTGGATTGCTGAGACACCCGAGATAGAGCAACAATGGGGGCATCGTATTCGGAAGGGCAAGAAAGCTGACAAGCGGCACAAGCGGCACCCGCTTGTCCTTGAGGACCCCTCGCGACTTCGGTATGTCGTAAAGGAGGACGAGAGCGTTGTCTTCCGGGACAAGGAAACGGGGGATATCATCATGATGGTAATCCGCGACTTTTGCAAGGACCCTCGGGCCCTCAAGTTCGTGGATTGCAATGCTGCAGAGTCGGTTGACCTGAGGAAGTCAGTGAGGGTGAGTCGCCGCACAATCATCACTCCAGACGCGCGCTCACTGTTCATGGCAGTTGGAGGATCCGGGGAAGCTTGTTCTCCTCGGTTATACAGCTGGTTCCCGGAGCCACCCTCTGTTCGACTGGGCCCGAAACCTGCGCTCGAAGAAGCACACCCCTGAATTCCTGAAGGATCTCGACTTCCGACTCTCGTCCGCGTTCGCCTTGTTCTGGAACCTACTCCAGGTGCGCGTACCGAAAGAGGTGCTTGCACCCTTCGAGTCGTACCTTGCCGACAATTCGATGTGCCGGATGGATGGGAATTCGGGCAAGAGTACGGATTCACGTGGGATCTACATGGTGGATTTGGGCGATAAATACATTGAGTTCAACGATGCTGAGCTCGCACCGCCATCAGGTGTCGCAGGCTGCAACTATGCTCGGTAAGTGCTTCGCTTTGACTTGCTTCTGAATCACCCTCACACATCTGTCAGGGCGATTCACAGGGAGAAACAGGCCCAGAAGTGGGCCTTCTCGTGGACTACCTCTCGTCGGAAGGGCATGACAGGTGGTAGCTTCTATGAGGCTGTTTATGGCATCAAGGTGCTTCAAGCCCCTAACACGATGGTCGCCTGGATGCCCGAGCATGACCATGGCACAAGTTTGCTCGATTGGAGTCCAAACCGCAAGGACGATATCCCACCATTCGCCCAGACTGGTATCGCCCTTGTGACCAGCACTCGCCTCGCTAGCGCCTGGGAAAAGTACCGGAATACCCAGGACTTTGCACAGGCTGAGAAGGAGTGGGTAGGCACTATGGAGGCTGATGTTGACGAGAAGTGTGGGCGCGAGGGATGCACGTTCTGCTATGATGATCGTCCTCTATGTACTGACCAAGAGTGCCCGATTTGCATGTAATGGTCGTGGCATAGATTAGCACACTCGAATCATTGCAAATGGTTGTATATTGATCTAGCTATTGTACAGTATACATGTGATGGCATGGGCACAGCCCTCGAGTCGTCCTGAGCCTGGGCCTGAGAAACACTTACCTGGAACCCCACGCGCAAGCCCGCCTCGTCGTACCACCCCAGCGCCTCCGCCGCGTCCACGGAGAAGCAGCAGTCGACCTCGAGCACGCCCGCGCAGAGCCTCGCGCCCTGGCACTGCACCTTGAGTCGCGCCGCCATTTTGCATGTCGCCAGGGCCACGGGAGGTCGGCAGATTGTCACTAGAGCCAGAAGGGAGCCCTCAGTCGAGGGGTGAGATGCGAGGGCAGAGGATTGAAGGAGCCGGGGAGGATGGAAACCGCGGTCTTGTACCGCAAAGGCGCCATGTCATAGGGTGCCGCTAGCTGAGCATCTCACCTGAGTGAGTAACACGATCGACGATCGCAATCCGCGCGTCATAGGTCGGAAGCTCGCAGCGAGATCGCAACCGAAAGTGCGTACGTCAGTCGCTGAGTCCGACGATGGCGGGGCACCCAACTTCGATCGAGAGCGCAGGCCAGGACAGCACTCGGGTTCCGTAAGGGCGAGACTTGTGATCGAATGCGCAGCGTAGGGCCTGCGCAATGCCCCGCGTATATTATCCGTCGCAGGCTGAGCGGCGTAGCGACAGCAGCTGTGGGCGTAGCGTGGCAGGGACCGTGGCGGTTGTGGCTGACGCGAGCGCGGCGACACGTGGCAACGTGCAGCGAAGCGTAGGTGGTCGGCGACGGCGAATAGCGTGGCGGGATGGTGGCAGGGACAGTGAGGGACGCGTCGCGGGGACAGTGGCAGCAGGTGGCGGCGACAGCGCGGCGGGGCGGGGCCCGACACAGTGGCAGCGAGGCGGCGCGAGGCGGGGATGGTGGCGAGGGTAGTGACGGACGCGACGGTGTGCGGGAGTGGAGGCACGCCGACGGTAGCGCGTCGAGCGCGGGCGGACCAAGGGCGGGCGCAGTAGGTGCGCGACGGCGGCCGCGACACGGGGACAGCGCGACGGCGCGACTGTAGCGCGTCGAGCACGGTGACGGACGCGAGTGATGGACGGGACGCACGCGACGCGGGGACAGCGCAACGGCGCGACTGTGGCGCGTCGAGCCTATGCCGACTGTAGTACTACTATAGTCAGCGTAGTATAGTCATCAATGTATCACTTACCTACTATTGTCTTGGATGCGCGAGGCGAGAGCGAGCTACAAGCACGATGGGTGAGGCCGCACGAAGAATTATGTGGGTGGCCGCGCGCGCGAAAAATTATGTGGGTGGCCGCGCGCGCAAAGAGTTATGTGGGAGGCGGCGCGCGCGATTAGTTATGTGGGTGGCGCGAATACTGATGTGGGTGGCGCGCGCAAACAATGATATGTATGGGTGTACTATTATGTGGGTGTACTTATTTTTGCTATAGACCGTACGCCATATATCCGTAGGAATCCGAGCGCCGTAGAACCGTACCCATTACACTGCCTTGGACATCAGCTGCAGCCGAGTTCATGAGTCATCTCAATGCTTACTACAGATCACGAAATGTCGTTTCCCCGTTATATAAAGAAGCACAGGACGCCGTGTCGCATCTTGTCTTCAGTCTGACCTCTTTCTTGCTACCAGTTCACGCCTGCCGTCCTTCAAGTTCGTGTTTTACAGTCTTATCCACCTCTGTCTAACTTGCACAGATGAGCGCAGAAGACCGTGACGGCTACGCGCGACAGGCACTCGAATCACAGTACATGCATCGGGTTCACGTCCAGCCTGGAGGAAAAAAATACGAAGAAGTTCACGATGAAGCTGGCGCTATCATGATGTTGCATGATGTGATCGACATCTCTGATCGTTCGTTCCCGCAATATTTCTACAATTCAGATGCAACGAAGAATCTCTTATACGTACGCAAGTTAAAATCAAACGGAAGCCGAGTCGTCTGCAAGGTGGCTATAGCGACACTAGAGGGCGAGCGACGGTTGAGACACGAGGCGACGATCTATGAGGCCTCGTATACCACGACGCTTCATGGAACCGTGATGCCGATGTACTACGGGCTCTTTCGAGGAAAAGTGGACGGGCACCAACTAACGTGCATGGTATTGGAGTACTGCGGCGATTCACTGTCGAAGTCACTGCATCATGAGGACAGCACATTCAGGTATCAACGGCAATTCATATCACCGCATAGGATACTCATGTCACACTAATTCCAAAACCAGAGAAGCAGTCCTCAAAGCATATGAACAACTGCACACGGAACCTGTCCGCCTCGTCAAGGGCAATTACGAAGACTATGCTTACCAAGATATCATCCGTAGGCCGAATGGCCAGCCCTGCCTTATCGACTTCTCAAGGGCACGCCGGCACACTGGTAAATGCTACCGCTCCAAGCTCGAATTCAATACATCAAGATGGTCAGTTGAACATGAGCTCTGCGGAGATATACTTGCAGTCACCGACGATGCTGCTTTCTTCACAAGTGGTCAGTGTGTGCGTCATCTGCAATCGTTAAGGGTAGTTCTCACACATAATACTGCTTTGCAACTCTAGGATTACTCAACTTAATCGCACTACCAAAAAGGCAGCTAACTGTGACCTACCGAGAAGATGCGAAGCCGGAAGATTACTGGCCTGACATTGGGGCAGCATTGAGGGAGGAAGGATACACCGATGCCCAGGGACACGAGGTGATAAGGGAAGCTATCGAGCGTTACAAGGAAGAAGCTGTTAGGAGGAGGGAGTCCTTGGATACCAAGTAGAGGATTCGATACGCGACTCACAGATGCACGGCGTACGACCTCATTTCGGAGTCGTGATATAGGACTCAACTTTGCACTGTACGCTGTAACGAACTTCAGTTTTCTTGACGGCGAATGAGAAACGCATGGGAAACGTACTGCATGTACCACTAATTACGAAATTGACCCCTAGCCTAGTAGGAATTGCACGACAGTGCCCTGAGCGCATACTAGTAGTGCTAACACCGCCACGATATCTTGTAGCAGTCCGTGTCTTGAGTACAACTGAGCGATGCTATTTACCGGTGACGCAGACTTGCATGATTTAAACGCGAGCAACAGCCCGAGAACTTCCTGAGTCCTGACAATGCGGGTCGGTGAGGCGACGGTGCTTCGAGTTCCCGCTAAGTACACATGAGCAAGACAGCAGAACGTCTGTGGTTGCACGAGAACGATGTCGGGTGTCACGTGTAGTAGACACGCGTACACTGCGGCTAAAGAGAAAGATTCTCCGTCAAAAGCTTAGTACGTACCGGTATGAAGGGTGTCAATGCGACTTGAGCCAGTCTAGGATACACGGCCGGTAGTTGTACGCCAACGAACGTGCCTGCCATGTCTCATATTGCAGAGGAGATCAGTTCCTTTACATAATGGTCAACACAGACACATACCTGTGCACGGTCTGTGTAGACGGCGAAACACGCAACCTTGCTGCTGGTCCTCCGAGGTGAGTCCTTGATGTCTCAATCATCACTGGTATCGCTCCGCCTCGCTATGTCCCGGCTGGGCCTCCCTGCTCCGGGTGCACAGCTGAAGCTTCCAAAGGACTGGTTTCGCTACCGCCTAAATGCGCCTCTCGCTCTCGCTTTTGTCAGCTCTTTCCGTTCGAGCTCACACAGGCGACGGTGCTGGTTGGTGAACAACGTACGAACATCATCAACACACTTCTACTATGCACCTGGTGATCTGAATTTCGTTCGCTCTCTCGTCTCCCCGCGACTCGATGCGCGGATCACGCCTTCGCGACGTGAATAACGACCTTCCCAACGTGCTGCTGGCTCTCAAGATTCTCGTACGCCGCACGTAGGTCCTCGAACGCGAACACCTTGTCGACGACGGGCCTCACACCCGTTGCGTCGACTAGCCGGACGAGGTCTTCGAACCTGGCGGTCCGGCGCGCATGAGCGGGGGTCAAACATAACATGAGGGCCGCGTACTGTGTGCGAGAGCCGATGAGGATGCCGCGGACGAGCACGGTCTTGAGGACGAGATCACGGAGGTTCGGCAAGTCGCCGGCCTGCAAGGTACGGACGTCAGTGAGGACGGAACGGCTGCTAGGACGAATTGAGCGGACGCACCCCCGCAACGAAGCCGATGACATCCACCGTGCCCGCGTAGCGCGTGCTCGCTATCGACTTGTTGATCGTGCCCGGACCGCCGACCTCGATGACATGGTCCACACCGCGCCCGCCCGTCTGCACGCCGCCCACGGAGTGAGCCCCCACACCCACACAGCAGGTTTGCGCGCACTCACGATGCGAAGAACCTCCTGCTCCCAGTCGGGCGTCTTCTTGTAGTTGATGACATGCTTTGCGCCAAGCTTCTTCGCGACCTCGAGCTTATGGCCGGAGGAGGACGTCGCGATGACGGTCGCCCCGCTCGCAACGGCAATCTGGAGGGCGAAGATGGAGACGCCGCCAGTGCCGAGAACGAGAACGCTGTCGCCGGCCTTGAGCGGGTTCGTGCCGAGGAGGGCGTTGTATGCAGTCACTGCGGCACAACTGTGCACACAATTGAGGAAGAGGCCTTGCGACAGCACCACAGAAAGCGATACTCACGGGAGAGTGGATGCCTCGATGTATGACCAGCCGTCCGGAATCTTCACGAGTGACTAGGGACATGCATGAACATAACGCTCGTAGTGACATGACGCAGTACGTACGTGCGCAGGCAGGATCTTGTATTCGGTGAGGACGCCGTCGATGGGTCCACCGAGGCCGGTGCGCTTGATCTCGTCAGTGACGCTGCCTTGGATGTGGTCGGTAGCAAAGTTGGCGGAGACCTTGTCGCCGACGGCCCAGCCCTTGATGTCCGCGCCAACGGCGAGGATCTCCCCAGCCAGGTCAGAGCCGGGAATGGCATTGTCCTTCTGTCCGAGGTACTGGCTCCTTGCAACAATAAGGTCACGGAACTGCAAGAACGAACATAGAGTTTAGTGAAGGATGACTCTCGGAGGCGGGTGTATATCAAACAGACCTGGAGAGAGACGGCGTGAACTTTGACAAGGACTTCGGTCGCCTCTGGTGTGTGGATGGCAGCCTCCTTGAGCGTCGAACTGTCGAAGCCGTCCGGCTGCATGTCCGTCAGTACTGAGCGCAGTTAACACGTAGGATATGGACCTCGGGGAGACGGTACTCGCAGGTGGTTATTGGTATCGGCATTGCTGGCTGGCTGCAGAGACTGGCAGAGATTGTGTTGGGAGATGGACGGCGCTGGTTTTAATTTGGGACGGAGGTGGATCTGAAGTGGGTCAAAGGCTGTTCGAGCGATGTTCGGTCAATGGCGACATACCGTACCCCTCCCGCTCAACACTCTTCCGATCCCGTAAGTGCATCACGCAGCTTCGTCACCGCGGCCGACACCACCATACACGAGAACACCGCAACATAACACCCACATGACCATTCCCACACCGCGAGCACATCGCGTCGAGTCCTCTGCAAGCCGTCGCATATGCAAGCCGCATCGAGAGCCGTGTCGACGTGAGGGGAAGGTGGGCGACAGCCAGAAGATGACGGTCGTAAACAGAGCGGCGGTCCGGGGCTGAACGCAAGGTCTCGCCACAGACGCGTCCAGCACGTGACTACAGCATCCGTAGCAGCCAGAGTCCGATCCACTTAGACTTGCACCGTCTTACTTCAGGACTTCGCACTATCACTAGTCTCCATGGCATCTGACGGAGAGTTGGAGGAGCTTCGAGACATCGTCCTCAGAAAGGCGCTCTCCTCCCACTAGGTGCGTTCAAAATTGGCTGGAGCTCTGGAGCCCTGGAGCTTGGAGGTCGGAGGCGCCTGGAGGTCGGTGGCTGGACGCGAGGGTTGTCGGCAGTTGCCGCGAGCAGTCCTCCGATATCCTGCAGCGGTTCATGCTTATGTCATGCCAGTACAGTCACACCGTCTCTTGGAATGGATTTGAAACCCTACAACAGTTTGTGACCGTACAGTGCTGTTCATGACTTCCCCAAATGTATGTGTCGCTGTACTCGGCCGGGGCTAAGACTTGGATGAGGGCAAGGGATTGTATACGGTAGATGGACACATCTACAATAATTATGTAAGCATGTGGCAATGACCGTAAGTTAGTAGGTTCACGACCGCATCCGTTCAACGAAGCAAAGTATCGACATCCCTCACGCAAGTATGCGATGCGCTGAAGTCGATGATGACTACACAGCAAAGAACGGCGACTGCGATCTCGTGCACGACTGGTGCACAAACCCCGAGCCTCAGTCGCTCAGGTCACCCGTGTGTGACGCGTCGTTATGCGGGAATACGAGCGCTGGAGGAATTGCTCGCGGCAACTGCCGACAACCCTCGCGTCCAGCCACCGACCTCCAGGCGCCTCCGACCTCCAAGCTCCAGGGCTCCAGAGCTCCAGCCAATTTTGAACGCACCTACTGTATGTCCCGCCTCAACATTCAGGGCGCGGGCCGCGACGACTCGCAGGATACCCGGGTTCATATGCTTCACGACTTGATTGACATCACCGATCATTCGTACCCTAAACACCTACATACTTCAGATGACACGGACCTCATTCTGTACCTACACAAGTTGAAGTCGGCGAAGCGAGATGAGAGCGGGACAGTAATCTGCAAGATGGCTGTCTCGACCATTGGAGGAGTGAAGATCCTACAACACGAGGCTAAAATCTACGAAGCCCCAAATACGCAGCCACTGCATGGCAACATCATGCCGAAGTATTTCGGACTGTTTCAAGGAACAGTGGAGGGTCAGACCGTGACATGTATGGTGCTGGAATTTTGTGGAGAGGCGTTGACGGAGCGTCTGCGTGACCAGAAGGAATCATTCAGGTATTGACTCTACACGTCACGCTGAATTATACTGACGATTTCGACGATACCAACAGAAAAGCAGCGATCAGAGCGTTCCAGGAATTGCATTCAGAGCGAATCCACCTCGTCAAGGGGGATAGAGGAGACTACAAGCATCAAGATATCATTCGCAGGCCGGATGACACGCCTTGTCTTGTGGACTTCTCAAGGGCACGTCCGCATATTGGTCCATGTCATGACGCCGAAATCGAGTTCGAGGATTACAAGACTCCGACGCATTGGCCAACCTCAGATTTGGTTTGTGGAGAACTTCTCGCCGTCGCCGACGATGCGTGGGTTTTCGTAGGAGGTCAGTGTGTATCTTGACTAGCATGAACGATAACTGCTCACATCGAGCATTGTCCGTCACTCTAGATATGCTCAATATCCCAGAGCATTCGGCCCTATATACTACTACCAGGGCATTTCACTGGAGGAGCACTGGGAACGAAACAAAGAGGGGTTCGTGAGGTACACGAAGGAGGAGGCGCTCATGCTGTTAGAGCCGGTTATTAAGAAGTATGAGGAGATGCTCAAGAAGAGACGTATGGCTTTAGACAAAGTGGAGGAGGAGGAGGAGTCCTTTTAGCCACCGATCGCTGTCGCACGACAGCTCACAAATGTTTGATGCACGATCTCACGCGAGTGCGGTAGTGCATGTGCATAGCGTGATCCGCAAGTACCACGGTCGCTTAGGGTTTGCCACACCTCCCGCTTATCGTGCGCGAAGTCGGACTTGTGTGAGCGGACTCATCCTCGAGCGTGGCGGACTCCTCTGGGGGTAAGGACTTCGTGGAGCTTTTGAACGATTCTGAGCCGGATCAGGTGTCAGCGAGGAGCAGGAGACGTTCGTACTGTAGTAGAATGTGAGCGGGCGGGTAATAGAGAAGAGTAGCCGGGACGTACCGACCACTCGTGTATGAGCAATCGATACAGGGTATAGCAAACATACATGTAGGCCAACGTTACACTGCGACGGGTATGAGTACAACAATACATTCCTTCATTCATCTCTTCTGATCACGTCATTGGATCCGTCAGAAGTCGTCTTCGCCCTCGTCATCGTTCCACCCGACGGCCTCCAGCGCCGCCTCTCCTTCGTCGTACAGCTTGTCGAGCCCTGTCAACTCCTCGAGGAATTTCTGCTCGTTGAATGCCTTGAGGAGCATCTCGAAGCCCTGCGTCTCATATGCCTTGATGACCTATACTCAGAACGTAAGCACAAAGCCGGCCGCACGCACCGCCATTATGACCCACCGTCTCGCTGCACCCGGTGCACCTGTCGTAGGCAGCGCCAGTGATGGGCATGTTCCGGAACTGCGCGAGGAAGCCGCGCAGCTGGTGCGGGACAATGCCCAGCACGCCTTCGGAGCCCTGCGGAGGCTCGCTCCCTTGAGTCTGCGGCGGCGGGGCGGGCGCGTTGATGCTAGACGCCGATGTATAAGATAAGATTAGACCACGGTCAGAGGAAGCGGACGTACCCGTCGGGGTGCTGCAGGAGGGAGACGAGCAGCTCGACGGCGGTGGATGCGGCGATCGAAGCGAGGCCCGGTCGAGTGACGGTGCACATCTGGTCGAGGGTCCGATCCGTCAAGGACTGCATATACCCACGTCAATGAATCGTTGTCGACCGATACAACATGTCAAGAGAAAGTACGCACATCCGCAGGCGCAACGATGTCGTTGCAGTAGTAGCAGCCAAGTCGATCACCCTTCGCGAGCGACGCGCGCACACCGTGGCGCATGACGAGGAATGTGTCGAACCCGAGCGCGGCGTTCATGACGACCTTGCCCTTGGCTGCGCCCATCACGGTCGGGAGCCACCGGCTCTCGCGCGAGTCCATGAGGAGGAAGACGACGTCGTGCTCGTCCATGAGCTTCTCGAGCGCCGCCACGTCCTTCTTCGCCTGCTCGACGGACGCGGGCGGGATGGGATGGCCCGGCATGGGGATGCTCAGGTTGTGGCCGGAGGAGTTCTGTTGAGGGGGTCAGTGGTGAACGCAACGCGGGGATAAGCAACTCACAACGCCAGGGAAGATCTTCTTCAGCCGCTCAGCAGCGCATGCCGCCTTGGGCTTCCCGCCGTTCAGGCAGTCATCGAACTCGAACAGCGGTTGGCGGACAGGGTTCGAGAACGACACGCGGGCAGAGTCGACGAAGGTGATCTTGCGAACGCCCCATCCCTGTTGCACAGCAACGGTGTTAGCACCAGCCCGACGGACGACTCGGTGGACAGACCATCAGCGTGCGCGCCACATAGCACCCGAGCGTGCCCGCTCCCAGGAGGAGACACCGCGTATTCGCAACCTTCTCAAGGTCGAGCGCAGGCAGGATGCGCCATCGCATCAGCTTCAGATTGAGATCCACAGCCTGGTCCACCAACCTGTCGCGCGACACGCATGAGCGAACATCCTAGTTCATGTCTAGCCTGACGGTTTACCTCGTCGGATCCATCATGGGCGCCAAGTCCGCCACGCGCGGGCCCAGCTTGCCCTGCACGTTCTTCTCCCAACCCACCGCGGTCGGCTTCCACGTCTGCACCGCGACTTCGCCCGCGCCCTGGGACACAACGCCAAAGCGGCTCTTGAACGGCGCGCCATTAGGGCGCTCAGAGTCGCGCCAGCATAGAATACGGTACGATGGCACGGGGTGCAAGGTATGGAGGTAGGTCAGGAGGTTGCGGAGGCGACCAGCTGTACTCACAACTCTTTAACAACAATTATTTGGTGGAGGAAAAGTACTGGAACGTGCAGCGTGAGCTTATGTAGCTTGCAGTAACATGGAAGTTGAACTCTGCATTTATTATAGCGCGCAAGAGAGCGCTCATTCCCAACTTAGAGCACGGGATACCATCCCGTACTTGCCGGGATCGCTGTTCTGACCGGCGGGGACCGTCAGTGACCTCGACCAGACTTGAGAGCTTCAGTCTCCAACGCACCATCTAATATACGAAGAACTCGCCATGACGCGAACTCAATCCGGGTCCGAAGCTCTCCTCCACCATTTTATAGAACTTATTCCCCACTTCCGAAATGATGACTGGCATGTCGGCTTACAGGACTTGCTTGATGTCTCGCCTCAGGCTATGCAACCACCGATACTTATACACGTCTCACCGACGTCAAAATGCGAAGTATATATTTGCCTTTTGAAGAAGTCAATGGGTCAGATCGCCCAAGTCGTCTACAAGCTCACCTCGGACGAAGAAGGAAGAGGTCGCTTGCAACACGAAGCAGCCATCTATCAGCTTCCGCAGCTTGCGGCCATGCGTGGTCATCAGATACCCGAATTCCTCGGGTTTTTTGAAGCAGATGTGCGTGGCCTATGTACGGCATGTGTTGTGTTGGAGTACGGAGGCTGGGCGCTCGATGAAGAAGAATGTCCGTTAGAGGACCAATGCAGACCGTTTCGGTCCGTGTTCACCAGACGTTGCTGAGATTGCTTCCTTGAGCTAATTTTAAGATTGCAGAGTGGCTACTGTGCAGGCCTACGAAGAGTTGCATTTCGCGGGCATTCACAAGCACTGGCAAAATAGAGACGATCAATGGCAAGTCTTTGACAGGCACATCCTGATGAGGGACAACGGATACCCCTGTCTCGTCGACCTCACTCGTGCAAGGGAGCACGAATGCCTTGGAGTGTTCGTGGAATTCGACACTTATGAACCTGCATCAGGGACCCATATGTGTACTGAGTTGCGCCACGTAGGCGATCTCGCAGAAGCCTGGGTACCCGGTGAGGCTTCCGCCTACTATGCCCACTCTAGGATTTACCAGCAAGCAATGAATAGCCGTTCGTGGCCTCGTACTCTATACAGTATCAGTCGTCCTCTTGATCAAGAAATCGTGAAATCGGACGAATTGTGATCCGAATCGAGGAGAGCACCCACCGCCCGGCGCCGTGACCGGATGCTAAGGCTTGACAGTGACAGCTTCAGGGAGAGGGTGCAACAATGGTATCGCTCACATAGTTGTTCGATCGCTGCGTCGGAACATGTCTGCAGTTAGCTGGCATGGGTACAGTTGAGTGCATATTTCGGCGATCTCGCACTTCGGTCTGTTCTCGAGTTGTGCTGAGCATATTTAGTGTGCCCTGGTGCGTCTCTCACAACGCGCTAACCTGTTGAACGAAACATTACATGCGAACAAGCCGCGTCTGTGACTGTACTCACTGCGCCACCGTATCGTCGCTCAAGGGCAGAGCACGATTCAACGCCGCATTCAAGGTTCAAGTTCTGTAATATGCGAGCGTCCAATACGTGAGTGCCTCTCGTAGGTACTATTCGGAAATGCTGTACGTACCGGCATGAAGGGCGACTCGTAACGCGACCACGACTTGAGCATATGTAAAGGCCGTTCGTGGACCGTGGTACTACCATCGAAGAATGGGCCTATGCTCTGAGAGGCCTGCATCAAGTCCATGAATGCTCAACGCGGCCACGCACCTGCGGTATGTGGGAGGCGGCGAGCCACGCAACGACGGCTAGACGGCTGATGAATCTCGGTGGACACTGGAGTGACTGGACACTGGACAAGTACTGGACGTACAGTGTACTGGACAAGCGCGGGCCGGCTCGAGCCTGTGGTATGTGATTAGGTAAGCGTGTATCCCGGGCCGGAGGACCTTGCCGGGCGCTTGCTGCGGACGTCGACACCCAACATGCAATATTTGGATTCACCGCTCGCGCTCAACGTTCACGTTCAACGTCAACGTTCGACTGGCTCCCTCTTAGCTCTCTATGATCGCGCGAACAAGCACACGACTCCCTGTTGCCGTGGAACAGCGCATCACAAGGGCTGGACACGTCGAACACCATCATGGACGACTGCTTTCCCCGCCCGTCTTATGTATCACCGCCACCAGCTCCAGCGTATGTCTCTATCCGTTTCCTCGGTCACCGTGTCGCTCTGCCCGCTGATATAAGGGCCTATCGCATCTAGGACATGGGCGAGCATCAGATGAGAGAGCCTTCGCCCCACAGCTGACGCTTCTGGAGCCCTGGGTTCGCTAGCACATGAATATCAGTCCGTCGTCCTCGCAATGGCCAGCTCACTTCTTCCGTTCGAGCTTACACAAGCGATGTCGCTGGTTGGTGAGCACCCGAGCAGCCTGCGCGTTCGGAACTTACTGACAATCAATGTCGTGCCAGCCTGCCTTTCACGTCTTATCACGACCATGGCTCACGGTCCGCTGCATCTCGGTTTCCTCACCTCTACTCACGACCGACATGCGCTCCTGAAACTTTCCGCGGCCCGTTCTTGTTGTCGCGCTTTGGCAGTTCCTTTGACACTGTAAGCCGGCCTACATATCATGTAGAGTATCGTTCCTAACGACCGTGACTTTCTCCAGCCCGTCTTGTACGACCTATGCCGGCAGTGAACTCCTGTAAAAGCGCCACGAGGACAACACTTGGTCGTGCGACGTATCCTCCTCTGTCTATTGGAATCGCGACCTCAGCTCGGCTCGTCGAGGCGAAAGCGGGGGCAAGGGTGAAACCGAGGGCGAAGGCGAAAACGAGAGCAGACAAGAACGGAAACAGAGGCGAACCCGGCGTCCATCTACTTGCCTAAGCTCAAAGGCCCACGCCGAAACCACACGAGGTTCTAACCTCTGTACAACGATACGAACCCTGCCCCGGCGGAGATACCGACCCGCGCGCCAAAGCCACCTGTGCAAGTACAGCAATCCTCATTGGAGCAACCGGGGTTCAATTCGAACGTCGCGCCGGGCGTGGCATCATCCTTCCCTTCGCCAAATCAGCCGTAAAGCCACAGCAACCCAAGAAACCCATCCCGCGGCCGCTACCGCGGCTCCCGCAGCCCCCTCGGATATGCGTCGCAACTGGAGGTATCCATGTGAGGGTACAGACTCGGAGGTCAGGGGGAGGGTGCTTCTTGCGCTGCGTCGCTTGTACGTACATCATACATTCATATCGATGTTTCGCAAATTAGGGCAAGGTGATCTCGTGATCTCAAGCCACGTCTCTTCAGCTCGTTGAAAGTCTTATTATGTTCTCGATCCTCTGCATCGTCCTCAATAAATGTTTGACTCTGGCAAGATGGATTCACGAGACAGGCTGTCACGGAAGGCACTCAAGTATGGATGCATACGTCGCGCTCAGGCCGGGCGAGCGGATCTGGACAATTCATACTACGATGCCGGCTCCAGCTGCAAGACAATCCGAATGGCGCTTGATGCTCAGGCTAGTGCACTTAGCACTACATCAGTAAGTACATTAAGGCCTCGGCGCAGTTGTGACATGTGATCTCTACGTAAAGACTGTAGAGAAGCACGGAATGTGTTGTCACATCTTGTCTCTAGCGCGACATCTTGCTGCAACTTTTCACGTCTGCGATCCTTTGCATCACCGCCTCTCCAAACTCAACACAATGAGTGCACGAGACCGCGACCACTACTCGCGACGGGCACTCAGATCACGGTGCATGCATCGGGTTCGCGTCCAGCCTGGACGAGGTTACGAGAACATTTACAATGAAACTGGCGCTATGTTGCATGATTTGATCGACATTTACGACGATTCGTTCCCGGAATATCTATACGATTCGGACATAACGAATAATTTCGTATACCTATACAAGCTGAAGTCGAACGGAAGCCGAGTCGTCTGCAAGGTATTGGAGTACTGCGGGGAATCACTGTTGGGCTCACTGCGTCATGAGAAGAGATCGTTCAGGTATCGGCGCAATTCACATCACCGCATAGGATACTGACATCGCATTGATTCCACCACCAGAGAAGCAGTCCTTGAAGCGTACAGCAAACTGGACATGGAGCCTGTCCACCTCGTTAAGGGCAACCGCGAAGACTACGGTCCCAGCGAAATCATCCGTAGGCCGAATGGCCAGCCCTGCCTTATCGACTTTTCGAAGGCGCGCCAGCACATTGGTGAATGCCGCCGCTCCAAGATCAGATTCAACACTCCGAGATGGCCAATTTCACAACGCCTTTGCGGAGAGATACTTGCAGTCACCGACGATGCCGACTTCTTCACAAGTGGTCAGTCTATCTGACATCTGGGATCGATAAACGATCTCTCACATAGGATACTGATGTGCGGCTCTAGGGATGCTCGTATTAATCCCAAATAGGGCACTACCTCTGAGCTAACAAGCAGGTGCGAAGCCGGAAGACTACTGGCCTGTCATTGGGAAAGTGTTGACGACGCTAGGATATACCAAGGAGGACGGATGCGCGGTGATAGAAAACGCTATCGAGAATTATGAGGCAAACGTTGTTAGGAGGAGGGAGGCCCTAGATATCGCAGGGCGTGATGAGTAGAGAAGGATGTGATACGCGACTCACAAATGCATGATGTACGATCTCACATCGGCATAATATCACATAGGAGTCAATTTTTCGCTATACGCTGTCATGCACCTCAGTTATATTCACGGCGAATAGGAAGTATACGAGACACGTACTGCCAGCGTATGCCCGCTAACCACGACATCGACCCGTAGGAATTGCGCGACCGTGACAGTGCCCTAGTGCTAAGGTCACCACGATTTAGTAGCAGCCTGTGCCATGAGTACAATCGAGCGATGCTATTTACAGGCGAGGTAGACCTGCATGCTTGAGACGCGAGCAACAGGCCGAGAACTTCCTCAGTCCTGACGATGCAGGCCGGTGCCGAGGCGACGGTGCTTCAAGTTCCTGCTACAACACCTTCTTTAGCAGCTTACACCACACGGTCCACGAGCAAGGCGGCAGACAGTACGTAGTCGCAAACCACGAGGATGCGTGCCAGCTATGCTGTGAGAGCGACACTTAGTGGTCCCGGTCCGGGCTAGTGGAGATGGATGAGGGGGATGGGCGGAGAATTGACGAGGATCTGCGTAGCGAGGTGTTCCGAGAAGAGAACCTATGATCCGACGCCGGAGTTCTGTGGATAGTCAGTCTCGCGCGAACAACTCGCTTGTGATAGGGACGTATGATCGCAAAGTATAGACGTATGATTAGAATAGAGCTTTCAGACGCGTAGTAACGCTTGTAGCGGTACACAATAACATTGTAACAGACAGGAAGCCGCAATCAGTTTGCTGAGCTTCAGCTTCTGTCACTCGTGTCAAGGCATGACAGGCAGTACATATGGATAGAGGCGGCCCCGAATAGTGCTCGCATTGCGCTACAAAGCTTATCCTACACATAGGTTCTCGCCCACTTGCAAGTCTGTTCCGCATGTCAGTGCTTCAGCGCCGGTAGCAACCCCTGCACGCTTAACGGAGACACTCACCACACGAAGAGTCAAGCCACGGATTCAGCGCATGCATTTGCGCGTCGGTGATCCCGTAGGCTGATTCTATTTCGGAGCAGTAATCGCCGCTCACGACAGTGTACACCTTGTCACATGCTGGGGTGCACTGGATGCAATATGCCTAACAGGACACCATCAGTACGATGCAGGAGAAGAGGGTAGCTACATACAGCAAGCTGAAGATCTGGCAAGTACAGTGATCAACTAGAACAAGAGCCGCGGATGATAGAAGAACATACTGTTGCACGTCGATGATACCTCCGGATTCCAGCGCAGGAAGTCGCTCAGCGCTATGTCATACCTGCGAATGCGTCAGTGCGACTGTCGCAATCCCCAGTCAGTTAGAATCACTTTTCATCGATCGCGGTGCATGAATCGCCAGATTGTACAGTGTCTGGAGGAACAGTGAGATAGTACATCCATAGATAGATCGGGAGATACGCACAATACGCGGTGCAACTACGCACGGAGTCAACAATAAAATTCGCAGTGATACTCGCATTACTCACTTTGTCCAGCTCCCGCTCGCAATATTCGTGGGTGTCGCAACAGCTGATGTCGAGGTCATAGTCGCTGACGTAGTCATAGTCATTGTGGTTGTCTGCGTAGGTGATGTGCTCGGGCCGACACAAAGGACCTGACCAACTTCCAAATCGCAGTTAGAGTCCAACCAAGGATTGAGGGCCTGCAGCTCAGCTGCGGTGATGTCTTCGTTTGTCTCGATGAGACTGCAGTAGTCTCCGGAGGCAACAGTATAGAGCTTGGGACAAGCGTCACCTGTGGGATCCAATCAGTGAACCTGACATTGTGTAGGCATGCTTCGTCAAACCTCCGCCGCCCACGCAATACGCCTCGTCAAGCTCGATGGTCTCACAGGCTGTATCGAGCTATAATTGATCATGAGAGACAGGCGAAGAGGCACACCGTGTAGAGCACAATACCTCTGGATTCCATCGGAGCAGATCAGAGAAGGAGATATTTGCTGCAGCCTCCAGCGAGATGCACGTATCGCCGCTCTCTGCTGTCGCGTACGACGTACAGTTCGTGAATGAGCCGGCCGCAAGATTGCTAGGAGGACCAGTCGACGTTGAAGGCGGATAGATTGACAGAACACAGTAGCTGTGTTCGTCCATTAGTCACAGCGCCACAAGATGAACAGGTCGGACCGACCTCACTCCCAGTTGTAGCGTAGTACAGTCAGCACCTACACCAGGGTTGAGTTCCAAGAACTGAGCGCTCGTCAGCCCAAACTCGGCCTCAATGCTCGCGCAGCCATCGCCTGAAACAACGGTGTACCACTCTGCGCAATCGGGCGTGCTTTCCGAGTCCGCGTTTGATGGGCGGGTCGCGTTGTACAGGGTGTAGTTTCCCATGGGGAAAACCACGCAGATGCTTGTGTTTGCGACGGGCGCCGTGCTCTCGAGCTGAGGGTTCCACGTAACAAGCACAGATGTGTTCAGGCCAACCTCGGAAGCGATCGAGTCAAGAGTATCGTTGCTCTGTTCAGATCAAACGCATACGTTGAGATGGGAATTGAGGGACACTGAGGCATGGGAGATACCTGAACGTCATAGTAATACCCGCATTCTGAGATTTGAGATCGAATGTGAGCGTCAAAATGATGATAGTGGACTGGCATTGACCTAACGTGCGCGTCCCGTTGGCCACATCAGTGGGCACAGCCACACCCACTTGTTCGAGCGTCATCGTGTACCAGATAGGCGTGTAATTTGCAGTCGGCAAAGGGTCAAAGTTCATGGTACCAGTGCTGAAGTTGGTGGTGGGTATTGGCACTGTCGTCGAGGATGCCAATGGCGGGTACGGTGCAACTAAGAGAGTGTCAGTGACGAAGGTTCCTGAGATACGTTGGACAGGGCAGACCGCAGTAGTAGTACCTGGACAAACAAGTAAGAATTTGAATGACACAGGAAGAAGGTCATGCTGTCGTACCCAAGCCAAAGGTTCGTACAATTGGTGTTGACCTATAGCACTTTGTAGCTCCATCGTGAAATAGAAGTACACAAATGTGACTTACCTCAGGGTTGATCCTAAGAAAATCTGCAAGAGTGATGCCGTTGGCTATGACGATACTAGCAATCGTCGTCAGCATGGCAGGTACTTCCGGCGCAACGACACCGACCTATTACAATAGTCGCCTAGGAGTAACATGTCATGTGTGAGAAGACATTGAGCGGTACACCCATCAGTCCCGCACCTTCCTGCGTCAAGTACCACCTGCCACAGTTCGGCGTAGATCCCGGTCCCGTTGGGGAAGGGACAGGTGCCACGGTAGTTGGCGTCGGGCTTGGCTGTGCGGTCGTGGTCACTCCAACAGCGGGCCAACCTCCATTAGGGCTCATGCAGATCGTGTCCCCCACCAACGCCGGCATACTCTGGCAGTACGTCCCCAGTTCCGGATTGATCGAAATCAGCTGTACGGTGGTGATATTCGTACCCGTGAGTGAGCCGCTCTCTGCGGCGACGGAATCGCACGTGTCGTTCGTCTGCACGGTGTACAGAGTGCAGGTAGGCGGGATACAGAGCGTCGCTGGCGCGGCGATAGCGCAGGTGCCATCGATTAGTCCGGGGTTGTTGGACCTGATGTCGTTGGTGGAGACTTGATACTGAGCGCTGAGCGCCGCACAGGTCGTGTTCGCAGTGATAGTCACATTCTGGCCTGTGTAAACGCAGGTGGCGGACATTGGCGGCGGGCCGGTGATGCCGAAGGTGGCTGTAGGCGCAGCGGAGGCGGCCCCGGACGGGACCATAGTGACATTGTAGGAGTCGTATCCGCTAGAGCGACGCGTGAGTTATTATCCATGGCGAGCGAGAGAACACGTACGAGCCACATTGCTCAACAGCTTCAGAGAGTAGGTCTTGTAGTGGGTAAGAAAACGTTGTCGGGTTCGACAGGGTGATGTTCAGCGTCTCCAGGGTACAGAAGGTGCACAACTCGTCAGTTGGAAGTGAGAGCAGACCACCCGTTGCGTTGTATTCGTTGACAACAGGACCACAATACTGCGCGTCAGACGAGTCGTAGAGACATTGCAGCTCATATGCCCCCAGGACTGTATCAATGACGTATGTCGAGGGATACGTCGTGTTCGCCGAGTCTGTGAAAACATATCCAGCACAGTTGATTGCCACCGCAGAGCGATAGCCCGTTAATGCAGTGGTGCACGCGGACGTGCAAACGGCCTCGAGATCGGCAGTGTCTTGGAACAGGTAGTCATACGAACTGGAGTGAGTGAATCAGAGGAAGACATTCAATACGAAGTGACTCTGAGGGCGTACCTCATCAAGGGAACCGTAGAGTTACACTCAATAGTCGCCGTCAGCGCAGTGGCACAGGCAGACGGTGGCCCCGGGCTGGTCGGGAGCGAGTCCGAAGTGTAGAGCACGAAGGATGTGGTACTGTTATCGGCATATGTACTCGTCGCATTGTCCGGCGTGGTATCGAGTATACCGAGGTGCAGAGAAGAAGCGGCCGAGAGAGTCGACGCAGGTGTTGCCGACGACGGAGTAGCAGATGCACGTACAGACCTCAACTGGCCGAGGAGAAGGTCGTGGAAGAGAGCATCGTGCGCGTCACTGATTGACGAGAGCCTGTGTTTGAAAGACGATAGCCAGTCTGCGGTGACGCCGGTCGCGACGGCCACGGCGCGCAGAACCAACATAACGAAGGGTACGGGGTCCTCAATTGAGCAGACATGGACAGTCAACTAAGTACCTCTATAGACCAGGTCCAACGGACAGTGCGTGCAGCACCGGCCTTGAGCAATTTGCATCATCCAAGGGCGTGGCGCTGGTGTCATGGCTCAAGCTCTACTTGTCCAGACCGTACCATGTGGGCACGGTCAGGTAGTATCCGCGTGTGGACATAAACCAGCCTAAGAAGTAGGTCTATATCCTACTAGTTGGATGTGGTCATGACCCCGCCATATGGTGCCCAACATCCGATCCCTGTGCGGACACGTCTGTCAGCCTGGACGTCACACTCGGCGCGCGGGCATTACTACTCCGAGCGTGGAAACACTCACAGACCGCGAAGCCGATGTCTGTATGACAGTTAAGATACTATGCCAGCTTCTTTGCCAACGACAGATAGCGAATGCGCGGGTGAACAGAGCAAATTGCAATGAAAACGCGTCGGTCAAATCATGATGGATGGTCTGAGGATTCCGACGATGAGGAGAGCGAAGCGTAGAGTATTCTTGCTTACCATTCATTCGGAATACCTTGTAGAACATGACGGAAGCAGATACCGCCATAAAAGGCCATAGTCATGGAGGTCGAGGGAGGAGGAGGAGAGGAGGACAATTCAGCCGCAGTGCACACGTGACAACGACGCTGAGTCGTTCTTCATTTCCTCGCTTAGCGCTAGCGTTGTAAGTACCAACACGCTCATCACGGTCTACACATCACTGCCAGCTGCATGGACAAACCAGTGGACTCACGACTGTCAGCTGTAGAGCATATCGTTCCCAATGCGAGCACCGATTTACCTTTCGCTAATACTGCCTGTCCGCAACTTGAACAGATCCTCGTTAGGCTACATTTTGCAAGTCCTCACGTGCCGCCTCCACTCGGGTTTGCATGAGGCTAAATTGCCTTCGGCGTCGCCTATAGAGGAATCAAGGGGAACGCCTTCAATAGAGTCTGCGCGGCGTGAAGGGGTCGCCGCCGCTGTCATTGTCCGACAGCGACCGTGAGCCTAGGCGACATGCGAGTACCACAACCTTCATAGCTGCATAGGGATCGAATATCACGCGAAGTCGGGAAGGTGCCATGGCCTCATGAGCAAAGTACATAGATGCCCATTTCAGGCGACTTTCAAACTCACATTCGGATCAAACACCCAATCGAGCAGGAACAGCGGATGCTGTATCGAGTCGTCCAGCCCTCCAAGGATGATTCTAGTGTGTGTCTCTCCATAACCAGCACGCATTGTGTTCGCTGACTCGCCCCTCGACCGTATACGCATCGTGAGCGCCAATTAGCCATGAGCCCCGTACCTACCCAATGCGTCCCAAGTGTACATCGCCATCTGCATGACCTAAGTGCTGATTCTCCTGGCGCCTTCACTCGCTCGCGCAGCTTTATTGCTTCATGCGCCTAGCTTTGGCACGAGCTTCCCGACATCTATCATCAGAACGTCTGTGCTTTCTCTGGCCTGGATGGTTCTCAAATCATCCGCATGGACACGTCTGTCTTGTGATGAGCGTGCCCGGTGCCAATCTACGGTTGTAGCAGCGCCCACTCTACATAAAAGTGTAGTCAGGATGATCATGGGGGCTCGGCCGTCCTTTTCGTAAAGTTGACCCATTGACCTGCAGGGGCTCCATGCGAAATCTACAATACGCTGTCGGCGCCGGTACGTATGCATAGATGCTACTAGTACATTCAATGCACTCGCTCAGTTGGATTGCTAGTCCTCGCGGCGACTACCTCGGTCGTCTTCTCCCAAACCACCATCCCTCCGACTGGGCTTCCGGTCGGAAGTTGCACAGCCGACATCCCATGCGCCAACGGTACGTCCAATCGTAACATTTCTCGCACTAGCAAATCGTTGACGTGTATCCGCGTAGGTGCGTGCTGCAACGCCAACAGTGGGTTCTGCGGTTTCGGCCCTCAATTCTGCACTCCAATCACCACGCCCGGAGGCAACTGCACTTCGAACTGCGACGCTATCGTAGGTCATTTGCTTCACACTCCCGCTAGCTCTCATTCCCTCCTCAGGCCGAGTGCGGAAAGTTCGCAGCCGCAGAGAATCGAACTTGTCCTCTGAACGTGTGTTGCTCGCAGTACGGGTTCTGCGGAACAACATGTGCGTTCTCATCAACCTCACTACACTTACTTACCGGGATGGTAACACGAAATTGAACATGTCGTGATGTGTAGCGGATTTCTGTGAGACGGGCTGTCAGTACAATTGCAACCCTGTACCTCCTACCGGCGGTGGAAACGATGTCTTCGGCGGTGGCGCTACCCATCGGCGCATCGGTTATTACGAGGGCTGGGCCTCGTCCTCATCCTCTCGCCCATGCGACGTGTATCAGCCAGAGCAGATTGCTGCCGAAGTTCTGACGCACGGTCAGTGTAGAACATACCTCATTGACCGATCACTGACTGTATGTTGAACGTAGTGAACTTCGCATTTGCTCTGATATCGGACTCATTTCAGCTCACAGAGATGTCGCCCGGGGACATCGATCTCTGGGCTCGCACGACGTTGCTCAAAAAACGAAACTCGGCGCTGAAGGTGTTCCTCTCTGTCGGTGGCTGGTCTTTCAACGACCCGCCGACGTCGACTATCTTCAGCCAGCTCGTCGCTAGTGCTGAGAACACGAACACATTCATCAGTAGCGCCCTTGAGATCATGGAAGCATTCGGCTTTGACGGTCTCGGTCAGTGACCGTCTCCTCAAGTATAGGTTCAAACGATGTGCTGAGATAGATTCAGATATCGACTGGGAGTATCCCGCGGCGTACGATCGTGGTGGAAACCCTGCAGACAAGGACAACTACGTTACCTTCATGAGGGAGCTGAAGACCGCATTCGGCGACAGGTATGGGATCTCGTTCACGGCGCCCTCCTCATACTGGTCAGTATAAGATTGCATACTCCATACAATGTTTACTCATAGGTTGAGCGAACACCGGAACAGGTATCTACAGCACTTCAATGTCACCGGATTGCTCCAGTGGGCAGATTTCGTCAATGTCATGACATATGACTTGCATGGGGTGAGTTGCGACTTACCTGTCCGATACAACGTTCGCTAACCTTGTAGCCAGGTCTGGGACGGTGAGTAATGATACGCCGGCCATTCTTACGAGGATCTGAGCTTCCGTAGGGAAGGACCCATACATTGGATACATCGTACTTGCACACACCAACTTGACAGAAATCAAGAACACGCTGCAGCTCCTCCAGAATGTCGAGGTAGACTGGTCACAAGTCAACATCGGGTGAGTCCGCCCATCTACTGCTCGATTTCTGACACTCATGTACGTACTGCGTCAGGTTCGGCTTCTATGGACGCACCTTTGAATTGACTTCGGAAGAGTGCACAACACCTGAGGTATGTCTATCTGATATCTGGATGATATCACATGCATACTTGTGCTCAAGACCATCACAGTGCCCGTTTGTTGGTCCTGCTGATGCTGGCCCATGTACTCACAACGCAGGAACGTTGTCGTGGGCTGAGATCCAGGTAATCACAACAGGTTGTGTTCTCAATATAGTGGTAACATGCATGCTATACAGGGCATCATTAGCAGCAATGATCTACAACCGGTTCTTGACGAAGACGCGGCGGTCAAGTACGTTGTGTGGGACGACAGGCAATGGGTACGTGTCTAAGCTCCCACGGCATTATACTTCGCAAAACGTCAGATTGACACCATCACAAGGTGTCGTATGACGACGACGAGACGTTCAGGCTCAAACTGGACTACCTCAACGCGATCGTCGGTGGTTCGTTCATCTGGTCGGTTGATCAAGATGACGCGCAATATACGGCTCTCACCGCACTGTACCCCGACATCAATATCAACAATGCGAGCTCGACTCAGACGAATCAATGCAAGTACACGGGATGTGGCGAGAGCTGTCCACCCGACTATACACCGATGACTACGGTCACTACCCCGCCAACCGGATTGCACTGCACGAAGAAAGCACGTGCTAGCCTATGCTGCCCGACAGCTGCGGTACCTCAGAATTGCCAGTGGCGTGGAGGTGGAGGTACGCTCGTACTGCTTTGCAATTTACAGTGGTTGAATGAAGGCCCTATGCAACCAGGCACCACCTGTCATGGACAATGCAACGTCGGAGAGATCACGCTCGCTCTGGATCCCGCAGGTAATTCGAAATGGCCTACATGTGTGAAGGGTGTGTATCCAGAACTTCGAAGCATACACCGAATCTGACTCATAGTCATGCTATTGCACAGGACAGCAAGCATACTGCTGCTCTTCGGGGTCATCAGCCCCGCTCGAATGCTATGCGTCGGCTTGCGGAGAGACACTCTCAGAGTGCCCTAGCGGGTACTCTGGTCTGACATTCGTCAAGCAAGGAAGCACGGTACATCTCCCGCGATTATCTTCTCAGGAACTGCATTTATACGTTAGCTGCTTGGATCAATGTAGGACGACGGTTATTGCGAGGAAGAGCACGATGACTCAAACATCCGAGTGAAGCATACCTGCCCAACGGTTTGCTCCTCCAACGATAAACCAGTCTGCTGTGCATCGGAAAGCAGTGAGTCACGGTATCTGCACTTTGCTCGAGCTGTCTGATGCTAATTGCTTGAACGCCGATGGCCGCAGGTTACAACAGCTGTCATTGGGTCGGAACACCCCCGGCATGCACAGATGCTACTTGTGCTGTCGGGGAAGTCAGTGTGTGTGAGTACCAAAGATATGAGTCGTGTGAGTTGCTCCCAAAGGGAGATTGCCTTGCATTAGTCCAGGATATACAAGGCGATGCCAGCTCAACTTGCAAAGGCAAAGCACGTCGGAATTACTGCTGCACACCTCCCACGAGCGAAGAATTCTTGCCCGTTCCCGAAGATTGGGTCATACCGCTTGGCGAAGGATACGGTGCTGATCAGCCCGCTTCGTTCACTGCAGATTTCGATGATAACACCGTGAGCACATTGACCCTTCACCCTGTCTCTCACATAACAAACGGTTTATACCGTAGGGCCCTTCAGATCCGACGGGAGAAGGCACCGGCACCACGGGAATAGGAGACGATGGTCAAGAGAATGACTCCCCGGTTAGCGAAGCATCGTTGTGTATAGCTTACGCTCGCCGCCTGACTCCTAGCATGACAGTTCGGCGAAGTATTCATCACGTCACCGAATGCTCAATCCGTGTCAAGCCTAGATGTCCAAAGTGACTGGGTGCTCGTCGGCTGTGACAGCCAAAGTGATCAGCCACAAAGCATCCTCGCGTATTGCTCCATGGTAATGGATGACGACAACGCAGGCTGCGGGCATGTCTTTATTGGACAGGCCCAGCATACAATCGTCTGTACCACTATAATTGTTCATTTGGTGCACACTGACTCGGATGCATTTGCAGGTTCGAATGCCCTCAACCTGTGGTGCCGGTCCTTACGCCCGCGTCGTCTCTCTGCAAGCGCATGACGACCAGAGCGCACTGCCAGCTGAACATCAGACTGTTCTTCCTTTGAACGAGAAGGTATATGTGCTCTCATTTGACTATCAATTTGATGTCATCCCGGAGGAAAATGGCCCTGTCTAGTAAGCTCATCATAGTGTCCGTGTATATGAATTACTGCTGACAGCCGATGCCCCATAGCATGCGCGCGGATATAACGGATATACCTGGTTACTGGGACGAAATGAGTATGTATTGCACATGTATGCAGGATACATTCTGACATGTTTTGCTTCAGTTGACAGGTCAGGGCCGGATGCAACGATTGACTCATTACGCAGGCTGCTCACGGATGCTTTAGTGCACCTGATAATTCGCCGACTGACCGCAAACGAGACGTGCACTATAAGCGCAATTTCCACCAGCCGGTCGAGTACGAGAAGCGTTGGTTCGGAGGCTTCACGGAGTGGCTCCAGCGCCTTAACACCATAACGAACGGGAACAGCATTTCGCGTAACTTCCACTGGTCAGACACCTACACGATCTATCATGCAGAGGTAAACACCCGCCATCTCAATAGCAGTCGCGATAATACTGACTATCCCTTAATTTAGGAGTCATGTCCGAACTTTCAATCGAGTTTGGACATTTCGGTATCAGGTAATGCCCAAATAAACTCCCAGTTCGGCTATTATCTCGAGGTATGCTCCTTCATAATTGAAGTGGGTAAATACTGACCCTCACCCGCGCGTCGTTGTTAGGCCACTGTAGTCCCGCCAGCCATACAACAGGCTTACATCCACGTCAATGCTGGCGCATCCGCTTCCGCAATGTTCACTATGACCGGGCTTGCGAAAGCGGAATGGAGCTCGGACCAGTACGAGCTTATCAGTTTCGGCTTCCCGGGGCTGTACTACCCTGGGCTGTTGACCCTTGGACCGAGTCTGCATCTATACGGCCAGCTCTCCGGTGAAGTGTCACTGTATGGGCAATTGTCGACGAGTGTTGGGTATTCATTCCCGGTAAGGCTGCGTCTGCATGGCGTTCGGAGTCACGCTGACACGCGTACTACTGCTCTAGAGCCTCAACTATGCCATAGGGTCTACGACAGACGAGCCTACTCTGGGATCCGACTTGACGGGATCAACGGCCAACAACAATGGCTATAACTACAGTGTGTCGCATTCTGTGTTTTCCCCTTCACTCGCTGAGACTAAGCTAGACTTCGGGTATAACGTCGAGTTGAGTGGCGGGCTTACGGCCTACCTCACCCCAAGCCTTGAACTAGGGCTCACCGTGCTCGGAGGGGCTGTCATGGACGCAACGGTGTGTACTGCTAATCAACCGGCAGGTCGCCACTCATAGCAACTGTTCTACAGGCTTACGTCCAGGCGGAGCTATATGCTGGGTTGTACCTCAATGGTAGTGTATCACAGTCGGTGAGTTTCCCATATGATTACTGGCCACGCAGTACCATGTTGAAACCATAACAGCAAGCACCGCAAGTCTGTATTCAGCCCCAGTACGGTGTCAACTTACACGGCGGGCTCAAAGGTGCAGTGGTGTTCTGGCACGACCAATGGGACGTACGTATGCCCTCCCTCCTCGACTCTTTGTTCGGATACTGATGTCCTACCCTAGCACACCTTCTATCAAAACTCGTTTGATTTTGGCGGCGTTTGCTATGCCTCCATGTCGGAATCTAGCAGGCGCGAATATCCTTTCCACAACGTCACCGATTCAGCTGCTGTCGGGAGCAGATTGCCGTTACAGCATGAGGGTTCTCGCGCGTTCTACTCAGGATGGGAGCGCACAGGCGACGCTCAGCAGAAGCCGGAAGTCGCAGAGCCACCGATGTTACCTGCAGAGCTCAAATCGACGACTCTGAGCCACGAGCGCGCGTCTTCTAACTTGGAGCGACGGGATACCATCCCGTACTTGCCAGGATCGCTGTTCTGCCCAGCGGAGACCAGTGATCTCGACCAGACGACGTCGAATGGAGGTCAGTCTTGTCCTTCGCCTTCGTGATAACACAGCACTGAATATATCCTAGAGGACTGCATCTGCTATAGTGACTCAAACTTGGCTCCGACTAACCAGCTGATCGACGTCTTAGCACGTCGGCATGTGCTTGTAGACGACTCTGACCCGGTGGCCGGAAATCTTTCAGTCCACGGTGACGGAGTCTTCGATAATGGGACACATTCGTTCGCTCGCCGTGCTCAAATACTGGTCGAACAAGCCCCGTTGAGAGCGTGTCAAAATGTGTTTGTAAGACATTGAGATTGTCTTGTTCTTGGTCGCCGCTAACCAATTCGCTTGTAAGGTGCGCATCCCAGACTATTCCAAGACAAATGTCATTGCGTACTATGACCATGATGATCCCGGTGGTCTTGATCCTACGATCGGGTCATATACGCAACTGCCGCTGAACCTGGGGGGAAAGCTCGTCACGGTGAGTCCGCATATGACCGCGGGTAAGTCTCACGGTATTGACGATGGTGTACTTAGCAAAATAACAACCCCATCTATGCGCGCGAGCATGTTTACGAGCAAAGCTTGTCTTCGTTGTTTGTCGATTATCTTTCGCTGCAGCCCAACCTCTGGCAGAGTCAAGCCGGCCTCAACAACCCCAACGACAGTGTCGACTTCTGCACCTGGGTAGTAAGCAACCTCGTCGACGTCCCGGCGTACTCGCCTCAAGGGTCCAGATCGCTCTTCACACAATTGGGTAACTGCTACCCCAGCACTGTGAGTGGTGTCAGCACCGTCGGTCTTCAAGGAATTACGAACAGCATGCCTATCCTGTATGTGGTCCATCTGCAGTACCAAGCAATATGCTGACCTTGCTCCTCTTAGCGAGCAAACGACAAATAAGATTAAAAACACTGTGTTCTACGACGGAGAGCGGCAGTTGTACACTCCCTTAAAGATGATCCCCATTCAGGACGACACAGTGTTCCGCGGATACTGTCCACAGAAGCAAGTCGCGGTTCTGCGAGCGGCTGCGGGCATCCCTTCCTATCTCAACCAGGCAAGCACTCCTGACTTATGATCATATATTGTCTTCTGAATGTGAGTCCGTCCAAAGTGGGAAGTCCGCCAAGAGGTCTGTCTCTGGATTCGATGTCTGTAGTGAGCTCTTCGTGGCTCACGATGGTTCCATGTTTTTCCAGTTTCTGAAGGCAAATACCTGCGTGCGCACGGCTTGGGCAAACTGGTATGCTACCTACTTGGCTTCCACGACGGTCGATGGTGTGGTTTGATCCTCGCTACAAGCTGTGGTCTGTGCTGACCTTGTGCTAGCACCGAACAGGGATCAAATCAACATCCCAAATGTTTACGATAACTGGAGTGAGTCATGATTCAGTGTTTCGGGAGTATTGTTCTGAACAAATTCCGCTAGTTGCGTCCATCGTGAAGAACATCAAGCCGTTTTTGACGAGCCAGCTTAATTTGCTTGTTGAAGACTACAATGACGTTGTGAACGGTCAAGCCGGCGGAGCTCCTCTGATCGACATTGTACGTATCTAACGATGAACTTGAGGGCTCACATTCTGACGGGCGTATGTTTGTAGTCCTTCTATGTCTTGATGGACAACAATCAAATTCTGAACAAGCAAGGGGACACTCTCGACACGCCGGCCACCGTCTACACGCGCCAGCAACCCGTCAGCAAGCAAGACATCATGGACCAGATCATCAATAACGTACCCGATATCATGCTGGTCAATCTTTTGCCGACACATTGAATACCGAAGATCGACATGGCGCTCCAGAGGAAGTCGAACCGTCTTACTCATTTGTTTCTTGCAGCAATCAGGTCTCGTATCGCGCTCTTAACGCAGCGTAGGCCCACTATATCTTTGGGTTGGCTTGTCTCATCCATGTATACGCCGATGTTGCAACTAATGATGAATCCAAGCACATGCAGGCTCTAGGAAATCCGGGGAATGATGAGTGAAGTGCGGCTCGACATCAAGCTTGCAGACATATGCTTACATCTGATTGTCCCCGCAGATGAGACCGCGATCCGTGTGCGCCGTACACGCATTACGCATCAGTGAGATTTAGTAGAACGAACCAGGGTGGATCGCGTTTGGTACGCACGCTGTATCAATATGACTGTTGCTTCGCATGACTCGGCCAGCCTGAGTGCCCTGAGAATCAGAGATCGCGTATGCGCTTCGAGGGGCATGGGAAGCATTCAATATTCAATACTGACGCAAACGATATCCGAGTGGGACACTAGCCTGAGTAGCCTCAAGGCATTAGACACGAGCCGCCTCTGACCGTAGCCTTGGTGCGAACTGTCGCAAGTTCGGGGGTCCGAGTGACGGAGTACCAGTACGCCAGCTCCTACTTACCACTCAAGTGCGGGAGCCCAATTGCTTCATACCGATTGTTCAACGTTCAACGGGTTAACGTTCGTCGTCCAAACGTTCACTGTTCTCTGAGTCGGACTCAGACTCAGACTCTCAGCGAGTTCTATCACGTGCGTAAGCATGTATTGGCCCGATGCTCGCGTGGGCAACACGGCTGAGACTCCTTTCTATGAAGGGCTTTATCGGACAAAAATCGAGGGGCCTAGTAACGTACCTATGCGTCCAGCCCAGATCCGGAAGGACCGTACAGGACAGTACGGGCTAGTACGGGATCGCTCAAGATCGGTCAGGATCTTGCCAGATTCCGACCGATCTTGAGCGATCCTATCGTTACTTGCCGCTTTCCATACTATCCTGTACGATCCTGTTAGTTCCTGAATGAGCCTGACCCATCACGTCCTGTCTGATACTGTCCGATAATGTATGTGCCTGTGAGTTCTCGTCCCATCCTGTCATAATGTGTAGGATCCTGTCATATCCTGCCTGCCACGTCCTCTCTTGTATGCTCCCCTTCCGTCCCGTCCCGCTCGGTCCCGTTCATGTACCGTTATGATCAGTAGGTCAATCGTTCACTATGACCTAGTGATATTGTCCAATAAATGATTTTGTCCAAGTGGGCCACAGTACTACGTAATGCCATAGGTGCGAGCCTGAGTATCCGGAGGCCCGTGTGAATCCCACTGTCGCGTGAGCGCCCAAGCGCATCGAGGTTGTCTAGGCTGTCTCAGTCTCGCCCACCACTCCTTCTCGCTCTACTAGCACCCACCCGCGACGTCGACAGCATCCCGAGGCCGCCGTCACACGCACACCCGCCAGCAAGGAACAGGCCGGGCGTCGCCGCATGCGCGACCTGTAAATCCCGTCTCTCTCCTTCCTGACACCGCCTCCCTCGCACCTGTGGCCACTCACACCGCTCCTTGATACACCCTGCGAGTGCGTCGACAAGCGACGGGCTCGTGACGTGGCACAGACGACGCGCAAACGCGTCCGCGCGGTCGGCCGGCCGCGCGTTCAAACATCGCGCCTCCGACGGTGGTCGACTGGCAAACTCCAGCGATGCGCCAAGTGCATCGCTGGAGCGGTGGGAGGTTAGCGAGGCGCAGCACGGCCAGTAGTGCCGCAAACAAGGTGCGTGGTCGCTCCCCGTCCGTTCTGGCTCACTCATCAACCCTAGTACCCTCCGTGCCTCGTCCGCCACCTCAGGCATGCGCAACTCGGGCCCGTTAGCATGCGAGGGATCCACTGACGTACCGCCGCCACCAACCGCATGCCGCCGCCAGCCTGCTGCTCCCACCATCGTCACCCCTCCCTTCGCGCGCCAGTTGCGCACCCACTAACAACACCGCCCGCGATCTGCACTCCGACTCGAAGTCGTCTCGCGCCGACCTTCAACGTGCAACGTTCCTCCTCCCATGTCTTCCGACACGTCAACCTCTCCGCGATGTACATCTCAAGGTCTGCAAAGAGATGCAACCCCTCCCTGCACTTCGCAGCTGCCTCGCCACAGCCGACGCGCCAAAGGAAGATCGCCGTACCCACGCCTACGCTCGATGCGAAGACGGGCGAGTCTCCGGCGATGCGCTACACAAGCAACGGGCTCACGCCAACGTTCCCTGAGGACCTGCAAACTCACACTGTCATGCTGCGACGTGCGTGAATACTTACGCCGTCATGATGCGTGAATACTGGCAAGCCTGGGTACGTACACACCAGCTTGAAACGGCCGCCCAGACTGCGGGGCCCGAACCCGTCGCGATTATGAACGTCGTGAGGCCTCAAGAAAACGACTCACCAACTTGAGTTCAACGGGGGCAAGGCTGGACTGCCACGGTATGTTTCGTAAGTGCCCTTACCTGCTGCAGCCTGATGATGCTCCAGCTATATATAAGTAACATACAAATTCACAAAACCTGTATGTATATAGTATATATACTGTATATGTACAGTTTATGTAGTACAATCTACTGCTGTCATAGTCATTTCCCATCATCATGAATCAAAGTACATGCTAAGGTTCAAGACAATGGATAATGCTTGTACAGCCTGAATATGGCTATCTATACCAGACGGTAGTTGATTGTATATGTAACAAAGTGTTACCAACACCCAGACTTTAGTTGGTCCTAAACAAGGACAAACCTTCCCTATTGTCCTTATGTAGTTAGCTCAGGGCTATGTAGTTACTGACAGGTGGTAATTGGTTGGATATGTGACAGGGGTTACTAATCACCTAGAGATTAGTTGGTCCTGATCAAGGACAAACTATTTCCTATTGTCCTTGTAGTTAATGACAAGGCTTACATATATGTATAATATTTTACTGGCCTTCAGTAATGTGTATGACTAGGAGAGTATTGACTAGTTGTCTTAACTAGTCTCCGCTATGACTTGTATGCTAGTTCTCTTGTATTGACACTAGTATTATTAACTAGTGACCTATTGCTAACCCAGCTGGATAGTATGACTTGACTTTTTGTGTACTAATTCTCTTGGTTAGTATCTCAGATTGACTGTTTAATCAGACAGTCAGAGCCTCATGTAGGCTTTAGAGAGATAAGCAGAGTTATATTGATCAGTCAGACCATTGTTTCCCAAAGCTGAACATGCAAAGAACAATGACCTTTCTTTGTCTTATTGAGCCTGGTCTCTTGTTTGTCCTGAATCCTTTTGATCTTACTCCTTTGTTGTTCTCTTAATTGAAATCACTCAAAATGGTTGCCATAGTTCATTGCATAGACTCCAAGAATCAATGAATGAGCCCTCAATTCACTACTCCAGTGCCCTCCATGCTACCCATCTCAACCTTTGAGTCAAAGACAGTGTCATCTTCATTGCTGCAAGTGCTAGTACATCTCTGTTAGTGTGGTTCTTTGCACATCAGTCGGTACTATATTGCTGACCTTTAGCAATATAGGTGAATATGAGAGTATCAACTAGTTGTTTTAACCAGTCTTTGTATTGATTTTGTCACTAGTCCTTGTGACTAGTCTTGTATTGTATTGACACTAGTCTGATTGACCAGTGAACTTATTGCTTTCCCAGATGGTTAGTATTGTGTGTTCACTTTGCTTGCTTGTAACCGGATTCCCATTATACCGCAATCATTATACAACACCAGGCTTACATTACTTCAGACAGTCAGAATCTCAGTACACTGTCCTTTATGTACCTTGCCCATCAACAATACTACCTTTATTTACTGTGTGCACATGCATGTAACCTTCAAGTTGTGTGTTTCCCAGCCCACCCCAATGAGAAGACAAACCCAGGTGTCGCGGAGCTAGGTCTATGATAAGTTACATAAGCAAGGCCACACAGAAAGTCCGATCCACGGGGACATGCATTCCCGGAACGCGGAATGTCACGCACTGTGACGTTCAGTGATGTTCCTAGGGAGCGCAACTGCCGCTTTGCTGACTCCTATTTCACTCAGAGCCCCATTGAGAATAATGTTGTCAACATATAAAGTTACTAGTATCTACCTTTCAGCTTTGAGATGTGGCTAGCGGAGCGTGTTGTATCATCTGTGATTGTTGAGGGTGACCGTGACGGATTTAACGATGTTACCGGAATAGGCAACTATTGCTCGGCCACATCTTGCCTCAGGCCTCAGGCCTCAGCCTCGCCGCTGGTTCGTAGTAGCCAGTGCTGCACTGTATCTCATGCTATATCGAGCATGCAGACAATGTTAAAATGCTGTCAATATATTGGAGTGTAGGCTTCAATAATCCTGGCCTTAGCGTACTATGTCGGAATCAGTTTCACGGAATTCTGTATGCATTCCTCTAAGTGCTCTGTGTGACAGAGCCGAAGTTGTGAAATTGCTGCAGAAATATCCAGTGGACACAGCTACGACCGTGGTCGTTTTTTCAATGATCAATAGGTGGTAAGAACTTTACAGAGTGATTAGTTAAGATTTGACATACTGTCAGTAGTGGCCTTCAACTACGCTTTGAGCTCTTGTCACGATGTGATGCGTTCCCCAATGTCGCAGAGCTAGGTCTGATGCGACTAGAAACAGAACTTGAAACAGAAATACTTGACCTCAAGGTGTTGGACCGAGGTCAACAACAGTCTAGACAGCGTAAGACGCAATGACTAGCAACTCCAAGTTAGTTACATTGCACTCTACTTAGTACAATGTGAAGTGCTTACCTAGCAACTCCAAGAGGATGAGCTGGAGTGCTAGGCAGCGTACAGGGCCCTATATATACTGGCTAGGTTTAGGGCAGGTCTATCTACGCTGGACCCGAGAACTGAGGTCATGTGTACGTATGAGTCAGAACGAGTCAGAACGAGTCAGGTGGCTAGGCGCTGCCGCAGGGCACATGATAAGTTACATAAGCAAGGGAGAACGTCCGATCGACTGGGAGGTACGTTCCCGGAACGCGTTCCGGGAACACTCTTGCGGAACGGCCTTGGGGAACGCGTCACATCGTGACGAGAGCTCAAAGCGTAGTTGAGGCCACTACTGACAGTATGTCAAATCTTAACTAATCACTCTGTGAAGTTCTTACCACCTATTGATCATTGAAAAAACGACCACGGTCGTAGCTGTGTCCACTGGATATTTCCGCAGCGATTTCACAACTTCGGCTCTGTCACACAGAGCACTTAGAGGAATGCATACAGAAATTTCGTGGGACTACAAATTGAAACTGATTCCGACATACTAGTACGCTAAGGCCAGGATTATTGAAGCCTACACTCCAATATATTGACAGCATTTTAACATTGTCTGCATGCTCGATATAGCATGAAATACAGTGCAGTACTGGCTACTACAAACCAGCGGCGAGGCTGAGGCCTGAGGCAAGATGTGGCCGAGCAATAGTTGCCTATTCCGGTAACATTAAATCCGTCACCCTCAACAATCACGATTCACAGATGATACAACACGCTCCGCTAGCCGCATCTCAAAGCTGAAAGGTAGATACTAGTAATTTTATATGTTGACAACATTATTCTCAATGGGGCTCTGAGTGAAATAGGAGTCGGCAAAGCGGCGGTTGCGCTCCCTAGGAACGTCACTGAATGTCACAGCGCGTGACGTTCCGCGTTCCGCGTTACGCGTTCCGGGAACACATGTCCCCGTGGATCGGACTTTCTGAAGCAAGGCCATATGATGAGAAAGTCACAAGACGAACCCTAGCACGTGATGTGTCACGTGACTAGTCAGAAGGCCGTTCCAGGCGAAGTCTATCGTACAGCGTATCGTACAAGTCCATAGAAAATGAGCAAAATAGGATAAAACAAGGCAAAAATACGGGGCCTCCGTGTCATACCATGACACCAGGCTGACTATACTTATCATTGATTCTGTTTTACTGTTTGATCCACTCACAGTGGCTCACTGCTCTGAACATATATTATAGGTAGTATAATAGTACATTGTTCTTTGATACAAAATATGATACCTTCAGCTCTATTGCTCCAGATCTTACCATGCTGGGGGTTGCTAGCAGCTAGATATGGAGCAGAGCATCTTGTACTCATTCTGTTGAAGTGGACATTGGCAAGGCACAGGAACATTAATCACTACAAAGGAGTTTGTCAAACTATTTTCCCCCAAACTTATACATGTAAAGAACAGTGACAAATTTGTCTTATTGAACAAGCTTCCTTGTGATATTACTCCTTTGTTGTGCCTTGAAGTTGAATCAAAACAGAAATGACCATAGTCCAGTGTGTGGGTCTAATGATCATGTACACATTTAAATGAGACCTTCAATTGCCTCACTACTGTTCTCCATACTGTCCATCTTGAACTCCATGTTGAAAACAATGTTGCCTTCATTGCTGTGAATGTTAATATATTCTGTTAGTGCTATTTTTCTCATGTCAATCAGTAGTATAATCCTGATACTAGTGAATGATGGTTTATTTGCTTATTCTAGTTGAATGAGATGCCACAAATGTCAACATGTAGCATCACTTAGTAACATGATGTGCCAGCAGTTGTCTAAATTCAATCACACTAATAATACTCAGACCTAACCCTTGCCTATGAGTAGGCTTGAACATGCCAATCTCATCTACTTTATCAAATGTGCTGTTCTACTCACTTACACCCATGTCAATTTGATGATTGATTCCCAAGATACTCAATCCACCAGCTGATGCAATGCCTTCAGAATCACTGATGTACCATGGGTATGTGCTATGATCATTTTCAGAAAGACATGATCATTTCAGGATATCAAATATCATCAATTATATATCTGTATGCAACCTGAGCAACTTCATGAGCATGGTCAATAGCCTAATGAATTATCAGAAGCCTATGCTAGTCCTCAACCCATCAGTCTGGAGGCCACTGTAGTTCACACAACTGGATTATACTCCCTAGTTATGCTGTAAGCACCATGCACTAGAGCTCAACAAGGCAAATCAAAAGGTGTATAAATTGAAGCAATAGGATAAGATTTGAGTGATTCTCTGCAAGTGATCACTAGTGTGCAATGTGCAATGATTTCTATTTTTGGTGCCACAACACAACATTTGCAAACAGCAATGATACAGGACAGGACAAGACAGGAAGGTACAGGACAGGAAGGTACAGGACAGGAAGGTACAGGACAGGACAGGACAGGACAGGACAGGACAGGACAGGACAGGACAGGACAGGACAGGACAGGACAGGACAGGACAGGACAGGACAGGACAGGACAGGACAGGACAGGACAGGACAGGATGTACCAGCAGCCACAGGATCTGGAGAGATCCTGTAGAATCCTGTAGAATCCTGTAGAATCCTGTAGAATCCTGTAGAATCCTGTAAGATCTGGGATGTGCCTGTGAGCCATTGAAGAGCTGTGGAGCATTTTTGTCCAGTATTCACATCTGGGATTTCACCATAAATGAACAGACAGGACAGGAATTAACATGAGGGGACAGTAAGGGACAGGACATACCGGGACAGGACAGTACCAGACGGTACAGGATTCGAAGTGTTCCTACAGGATCGTACCAGATCGTACCAGATCGTACCGGATCAGGCAAGCTCCTGGACAATCCTATCTTATCTGTCCGGTTTCCGTGATTTCCTGAGCAAACCGGAGTGAGCTCCAGAGATCCGGTAGGATCCGGTAAGATCTTTTGAGTTCTGATATGATCCGACAAGATATGCCCCGGATGGCCTCAGTAGTTCGAATTTTGTCCCATACGGGCCTTGATACCTTTCCACCTTCACCGCTGCCATCTCCTCACAGCTATTGAAGGGTTCTACGCTCTGGTCCTCGTCTTAAATTGCCTAGCTACATGTGAAACACCTCTCGGGAGTATATAGGCCAGTAGGATTACCCCCACGCCGTTCTCGTCTCGTCCTAATAGTAATACCAGTAGCTTTCCATGGACCCGGAATCGAAAGAGGGTATCCTAGACAGTTACTTCAGAAATGCGCTCAATGCCCATTGCATGTCCCGTCTCGACGTTCAGCCTGTGGGCTGTGATGACTCGCAGGACGTCCAAAATCCTATGCTTCACGACTTGATCGACACCACCGACAATTCGTACCCTCGACATATCCATACCTCATGCGAGACAGACGTCATGCTGTATCTGCACAGATTGAAGTCGGCGGAGACGAACGGCGGGATAGTGGTCTGCAAGATGGCTATGGCGACCATTCAGGGAGAGGAAAACTTACAACACGAGGCTGAAATCTACGAGGCCCCTTACACGGAGCCGCTTCGTGGCAACATCATGCCGAACTACTTTGGACTGTTTCGAGGAGTGGTGGACGAACAGACCGTCACATGTATGGTGCTGGAATTTTGTGGGGAGGCAGTGTCGGGCAGTCTGCATGAGCAAAAGGAATCATTCAGGTATTGGCTCGCTGTCTGCAATCGCTAGGATGATTCTGATGATGATGCCAACAGAAAGGCAGTAATCGAAGCGTACCTGGAATTACATTCAGAACGCATTCAGCTCGTCAAAGGGGGCAGAGAAGACTACAAGACTCGAGACATAATCCGCAGGTCGGATGGCACGCCTTGTCTCGTGGACTTTTCAGAGGCGTGTCGGCATATCGGCGGTCCATGTGTTACCTCAGAACTCGAGTACAGTGATTACAAGACTCCGCATGAATGGCCTCGTTCGGATTTGGAATGTGGAGAGCTGCTTGCTGTTTTCGGCGACGCATGGGTTTTCGTGTCAGGTTAGTGTATATTTCTGCTGAATGGACGACAACTGCTCACATTGAAGATCGCTCCTCACTCAACTAAAGCTCGACTAGAAATCCGAAGTGCGTCAATGTTTATACATTACGACAAGGACGCGTCGGCGCAGGACTACTGGGACACATACGGACGGGCATTCAAGGCCCAGGGGTACAGCAGGGAGGACGGGCTTGCGCTGATACAGCAGGCCTGTCAGAAGCATGAAGATCATCTCGAAAGGAGACTCAGGATTTTAGACGAAGTGGAGCGTGTAAACCAGTAAAGAATGTACCAGTGTAGCAAGCTATTAGGAATCACTGCCTTCGGCTTTCACATCCAAGTAGCAGACGCTTAGTACACAATGATTGAATCATGCTGCAGATTGCAAATGTGTATGATTGCTGTACCAGTACGCCCGCTCCCACCCAATTGAGTGCGGGTGTTCAAACGTTCAATATTTCATCGTTCACTGTCTCTGACTCTCAGCTCTATCACGTGCGCATGGCCCGACGCGTGGGCAACCGCGGCTGAGGCTCCTTCATCCGTCCTCCTCTTCCTCCTCCACCGCTGCCATCTCCTCCCACATCTCTACGCCTCGATTCGCGTCGTTGAATACTCAGCTCTAATAGTAACTGAACTACCTGGGCAAATTCCATGCCAATAGTCCAGTTCACACCCTTCTCGTCTCTCGTTCAGCCCGCATTCTGGCACGCGCTCACAGACTTCAAGATCGATGTCCTCCGGCTCTCTGACGACTCTGTGACAATTCATGGCTCCTATGCTACCGGGCGATCCGTGAAGGATCGCGAGTCTGGCGCCGAGATAGCGCTCGGATGTAATCTGTCTGTTGGTGGCGAGTCGTTCTCGAAGACAGACAGGTGAGTGGCGCCGTTATGGGTTGAAGGTTATCGCTAGAACGGACGCGCGACCCGCGTTGTTCATAGGGCACCTGCGCACTCGGCACAGGTTACCGGTGTATTCAAGAATTACAACACCATCGAGGAGTTCAAGGCAGCAGACAAGACCGCGCTCTTCGCCCAGGTCACCGACGAGGTGTGTATCTGTTCGCGTTATGTCTTTTCTCCAGTACCGGCAGACACCACCAGTGTCTGTATGCCGCTGGCACGAAACATGAGCACATGAGAAGCGGGACTCCGTACGAAGTCCAGTCCTAAATCGAAGTCTTCTTGTCATGCCGAGCGACCTGAAAGGTCCTACGAATTGGAGGCGGAATAATCAGTGAAATGCTGTTGGTTACGCGATATATTGACGTGGAGGAGGAAGAGGACGGGGGTCCATGTGAGTATGGCTAGACTGCTGAGACCTGTGATCTCTACCGTCTACTGTATGCCACATGACCTCGAGGTGCGACCTTCACCGCCTAACAGTCCGAGCACAAATGTTGCTCGTTACTTTGACACTTCCCGTGTATTGAATTGATACATGATCAATTCACATTCTTTGATTCCGTAGTTGAGTTGTCCATCGCAAGCTCACGTCGTCACTAGATATGGAAGAGTATCACCGTCGACCATTCGACGGCACAGCTCAACCGCTTCTTGCTTATCACCTTCGCGGATCTCAAGAAATATAAGTACTACTACTGGTTCGCCTTCCCTGCTTTCGTGGCCAAGCCTGCATGGGAGATCCAGGGAGACTGGAGGGCCGCCTCAGACGAGTTCAACGATTCCTTCGTGCGTTCCTCGTTCCTTCGCCCCTTCTTCATGTCCCTTTTGACGGCCCGGTCGTAGCTCTCCGCAATCGAGGCAACGCAACTAGCATCTCCCCGCGCCTTCTTCCTCGTCCGACCAAAGACTGGCAGTGACGAGCCCGAGATCGCACCCGTCGAAGAATACACACAATTCTTCGCCAACGTCGCTCCCGAGCAGCGCACCATTGCCTTCCTCGACCCCTCCGCGACGCCCTCCAACCCCGGCTGGCCCCTGCGCAACCTCCTGACCTACCTCCATACCTTGCACCCCGCGCCATCGTACCGTATTCTATGCTGGCGCGACTCTGAGCGCCCGAATGGCGCGCCGTTCAAAAGCCGCTTTGGCGTTGTGTCCCAGGGTGCGGGCGAAGTCGCGGTGCAGACGGAGAAGCCGACCGCGGTGGGCTGGGAGAAGAACGTGCAGGGCAAACTTGGTCCGCGTGTGGCGGACTTGGCGCCCATGATGGATCCGACGAGGTAAGCCGGCAGTCTAGGCATGAACTGGGATGTTCGCTCATGCGCGTCGCGCGACAGGTTGGCGGACCAGGCTGTGGATCTCAACCTGAAGCTGATGCGATGGCGCATCCTGCCTGCGCTCGACCTTGAGAAGGTTGCGAACACGCGGTGTCTCCTCCTGGGAGCGGGCACGCTCGGGTGCTATGTGGCGCGCACGCTGATGGTCTGTCCACCTAGTAATCCCTTGGACACGTGCTGACACCGCTTTTGTGCAACAGGGATGGGGCGTTCGCAAGATCACCTTTGTTGACTCTGCCCGCGTGTCGTTCTCGAACCCTGTCCGCCAACCGCTGTTCGAGTTCGATGACTGCCTGAACGGCGGGAAGCCCAAGGCGGCATGCGCTGCTGAGCGGCTGAAGAAGATCTTCCCTGGCGTTGTGAGTTGCTTATCCCCGCGTTGCGTTCACCACTGACCCCCTCAACAGAACTCCTCCGGCCACAACCTGAGCATCCCCATGCCGGGCCATCCCATCCCGCCCGCGTCCGTCGAGCAGGCGAAGAAGGACGTGGCGGCGCTCGAGAAGCTCATGGACGAGCACGACGTCGTCTTCCTCCTCATGGACTCGCGCGAGAGCCGGTGGCTCCCGACCGTGATGGGCGCAGCCAAGGGCAAGGTCGTCATGAACGCCGCGCTCGGGTTCGACACATTCCTCGTCATGCGCCACGGTGTGCGCGCGTCGCTCGCGAAGGGTGATCGACTTGGCTGCTACTACTGCAACGACATCGTTGCGCCTGCGGATGTGCGTACTTTCTCTTGACATGTTGTATCGGTCGACAACGATTCATTGACGTGGGTATATGCAGTCCTTGACGGATCGGACCCTCGACCAGATGTGCACCGTCACTCGACCGGGCCTCGCTTCGATCGCCGCATCCACCGCCGTCGAGCTGCTCGTCTCCCTCCTGCAGCACCCCGACGGGTACGTCCGCTTCCTCTGACCGTGGTCTAATCTTATCTTATACATCGGCGTCCAGCATCAACGCGCCCGCCCCGCCGCCGCAGACTCAAGGGAGCGAGCCTCCGCAGGGCTCCGAAGGCGTGCTGGGCATTGTCCCGCACCAGCTGCGCGGCTTCCTCGCGCAGTTCCGGAACATGCCCATAACTGGCGCTGCCTACGACAGGTGCACCGGGTGCAGCGAGACGGTGGGTCATAATGGCGGTGCGTGCTGCCGGCTTTGTGCTTACGTTCTGAGTATAGGTCATCAAGGCATACGAGACGCAGGGATTCGAGATGCTCCTCAAGGCATTCAACGAGCAGAAATTCCTCGAGGAGTTGACAGGGCTCGACAAGCTGTACGACGAAGGAGAGGCGGCGCTGGAGGCCGTCGGGTGGAACGATGACGAGGGCGAAGATGACTTCTGACGGATCCAATGACGTGATTACGAAGAGATGAATGAAGGAATGTATTGTTGTACTCATACCCGTCGCAGTGTAACGTTGGCCTACATGTATGCTTGCTATACCCTGTATCGATTGCTTTGCGTCCTTGTCGTGGAATATAGATGCGAATAGATGCAACGGGATATATACCATGTGACACAAGAATGAGCAGTCGGCATCGATGCTTCTGCAAGTCCGTACAACAAGAACGCGCGCTGCCGTGTCTAACTATACAGTCCTGCTCCGACTGAGAGGCTTGTCCCCCGACAGACTTCCAAAGAAGCGTGGACCTTCGAAAGCGGTCATGGCGTCGCTATCGAAGGTGCTCAATTGGCCATCGACGATCACCTCCCTTGTTACCAGGATATCGAGCGCCACCAAAGTGTGCCTGCGTTTCCTCCCAAGTAGTGAGAAGAAGCTTGTCAATCAAGGCCCGGGAAGGAACGCGTCAGGATCCGTGAATCTCGACGCAGCTGCAGGCGTACCTAGACGACGGGGAAGTCACGTCTGTGTGCGCAGTATCGCGCTCGCCGTGGATCAGGTCTTCGCTGATGCTGATGCCAGGAGGTTTCTCCCAGAGCCATGAGATCGCCCGGTGCTTCTCCCTCAGGTGTTGGCGGACGTTGAGTCTAGCCGAATGTCAGCGCTTCGCTCCGTGCAGAGCGGATTGACATACACAGCAAGAAGTGCATTGACATACACTGGCGCCATGATTCACTGTTATGTAGTCCGCTTCAGAGTCAATGACTGTACTTACCGGTACATGACGGCTCATGCAGGTGAAACATATCCACGATCATATGGATGTCGTGCCATTGTGGAATATACTGGTCAGACCAAGGTTTGTGAACGCTGGTCCATATATCGTTGAGGTCCCACTCACCGTGATGAATTGTACAAATTGGACGACACTACAATGATACTGGATTAGCGCGATCCGTATGACCTCCGGGGAACAACGCACACAACGAGCAGTCCGCGATTGACTGTGTAGATGATTAATCTGGAAAGCACGGTATGGGCACTATCAAATGGTCATTTCAGCTCATCGTGATGTGGGGATGGAGCAGCAAGAGCATACCCGTCGGCGGTGTGGGACTTTGCGCCCTGCAAAATGAGACATAGTGAAACGGTGATATAGAGATCAGTAAGGAGTGCGGCGATAGCTTGAACGCTGCCCGATGGCTGTCACAAGCATAGTCGTCAGCAATGCAGCCATTTTCGCAGTCAGTACTGGCAGATGCATACTATCACAGCGGAGAGGCGTATAGATATACTTATGTTGATACTGCAGGTTTTATTAAGTTCAGTACCATACGCAAAGTGATGTTCTCTGATAGCCGCTTACGTAGATTCATAGGCGAAGACTAAGCATACAAAAAGCAATCAGTATTCCCCATTCATTCCGAAACATGACGATCCACAAACCGAAGCCTGCCGCTATATAGTACGCAGAGATGTTGTTAGTAGACTCCTGCGAGCAGACGAAAAAACGTTTACCTGCAGAGAGCACCGTGAAAGTGACCTATGATCGTGAATCAGCATGTGTCACTAGTGACAGGTGAATTTCATACGGCAATGGATGTCAGCACAAGTTGACCGCTCTTCTGTGCCATGACTGCAAACCTGTTTTGTGAGCGTCATCATACACCGCTTCGGGGCTGACTTACGCTTCCAGATGTTGTGAATGAAGAAGCTGATGGGGACGTGAGTGAAGAGAGCCTCGAGTGAGCATCTCAGCGACTGGCCATTGTACAAGCAGAATCACAATGGTCTGAGGGTTTCATGTCACATCTGTCTCGCTAGCTGGTGATATATCTACTCACCGAAACGATGCAATGCGCTATCTGTCAAACGTGTAGCAAGAGCTCCGGAGCAATGCGCATAATGACACAAGTGACGCACTGTGATTTTTCTGAACGATGATAGCAGACAAGTTGAGCTTCCGTGTTCAATCATTAAGCACAACACAAGTCCTTACCCTTGTAACTCCTCAAGAGCGGTTGCGTTGGCATGATTCCGAACCAAGTGCCACCATTCGTCCTACAGTGTTCCACAGGTCAGACCATTCTGACAGAGCCTGGCTACGCTACTGACGTTGGTCACGAGCATTGCTCTGATCGTATCCAAGGCCCTATATGTGCGTTATGATGATTAATCCATGGGGACGGCAATTGGATGACCACTGACCATAGTACAATAACCTGTCCTCAATGGTACCCCGTCAGCCGTAGCGACCGTGTGCCTTTCCCAGAGTCGCACACACCATAATCTTGAGCCCAATGCTGTCGCCTGGGTAGTTCCATAAATAATACAATGTCTGAGCGAGCGTGAACCCGTATACGCTTGCCACCAAGTCAGCAAGCGGTGGAGAGCCCGTGAAGCAAAGTCAGGCTAAACGTACATCATAGAGAAGATGATCTCGACGAACACCCCTCCTATGGCGGAAGTATCGGGGGATCCATGATTTCCGCCCATAGTGAGAATGAGAGGAAGAAGAGGAGACGAGGCGTAGTAGGCATGCATACGTATATATCGACACACTTCAGATTATCAGCTTGTCACGACTGTTGCGTGGCGCGTTGCTTATCTTCGGACAGAACGCAAGAACAGCCAGACGTATGAAACACAGCTCTTCAACAGTCGAGCAGCTCTGCAGATACGGGTGGCTAGAGTGGCAGATCAATCACTTCGAGACGACAGTGGCACTGCGCTTACTAGATGGGTTGCGGCAGAGCTCTCATCTCTTCTGCATGGGTATCAGGTCACGTATTGAATGTGTCCTCAGAGGGCTCGTCTATGACTCTTTTGTAGGGCATCTGGTGAACGTAAACACCAACCGTAATTACCATTAGCAGCACGCAAAGCCCATGAGCCTCGAAGGACGGCAGCGCTAGGTTTGACACTGGTGCTGTACCGTTGCTCGATGGGAGTTGACGTTGCGCGAACCGAGTAATGCATTCATACACTGAGCTTGATCGATGACCGATCAATCACATATGCCTGTTGCCTGCTATGTGGGTTCGACATTGAGCATGCATATGTGATTTGACGCGGCTTACCTTCCGGCATTCCAGCGCAGGCACGCGCTCGTCGATTCTTCAGCTGCTACGTGTCCGGATTTATTGACATACCCAGCGAGCTTCGAGTAATGTGCGACATCCTGTCGCCGAAAGAAAAGCACACCGACTTCCTGATCCATCTGGTGAGAGCATCATCCTCTGGTATGGCTGCATCACATCTATTTCTCACAGAAAAATGGGTACATACGATATCGAGCCACGGCATCGCCTTCTTGCGATGCTTCCGAAAGACATTACAGGCAGGGTCCCTGACAACGTGCGAGCCCGATATGAAGGAATGAGCAAATGGAGTGCCTGCACAGATTGAGCTCTTGTCAGGCGTGGAGGGAGGGATGACATACCGTGCGGACCTTCACAGCCGCACCGGGGCACTTTCCGTGATGCCGAGGAGATAAGTATAGCTCATCAAAACGGGGCTTACCGTGAATACATACACTCACCGCACGAGGATATTTCTTGGACTACATCTTTCCTCAGGAGGCTGTATACACGCGGAGCGACTCCAGAATGGCATAAGGAGACAATCATTCGTCTCTAGCCTGTCAGTACACGACGCCAGCCTAGGAACGAGTGTAGACACTGTGAGCGTATGCTTATTAGTGTATAGTCCAAGTATAGTCAAGGATTTGTGGAAGCAGGACTCACTATCAGCAAGTCGGTATTGCGGTATAACGGAATCTTGAACCAGTCTTGAGCGCACGGACTGAGTACTGTTCAGTGTTACAGTACTTACCCAGAGTCCCAGACTCCGAATCATCGCCCGGATCGGCAGATTCCGGCTGCTCTCCAGATCCTGATCGTACCAAACTTCTTCGCGTAGCGCCTTGGCAGTGTGTTACGCTTTGTCAACTAAACAATGTGCGCTGCATCTGAAGCGCAAATGTGATTACACTTGAAGCCGTGTTTATGACCAGTAAGCGAAGCAACAGTATTCGACGGGGGCGCCGGATGCCGAGGGGATGAAATCTAAAAAATCATAACACGGACGACTTCCATCTTGTCATCGCTGGAATTGTCACTCATGATGTATTCACATACTCCGTCTAATGACGAGGCTCAGCCTGGATGTAATGGCCAATTCACGAGGGCAAGGCCTGCAGGAGAGTGGGACCGTGGGTACATGAAACTTGTACTTACTCGTGTTCCACACGTACCCGTCTGGATGTCCACTATCCTCCGAGTGATCACTGTTATTGTCGGGAATTCCGTAGAAGTGCCATCGCAGTTCAGATTACATGGTAAGTTTCAAGCAGTCGAAGTTGAGTTAGCGAGCGCCGAGCGGGATTGGTATTAAGGCTCCGCCAGCTGCTTTCGGCATTAGCCGACCGACAGGGAGCTCGGCACCGTCACGACAGTCATATATAGCAACCTACGCAGTGCCTTCAGTCTTCAGAACAATACAACACCATTCAAGTGTCGTCGACCTGCTGTAACCGACAGCGACTGAGTACCTCGACCCTCAACTTCTAACCGGAGATTGAAGACATTGAGGAGATGAATGCGGGCTTGATAATCAGTATTAGTGCGTATACGCTCCATCAAGCCTACTGCTACAGACTTATGTTACAGGTCGGACTAGCGAACATTGAGCCCAATGTACGTCCGAAAGAGTTGGCTGCAAGATCTGCTCAATTGCCTACTGATGTGCAAAGTACCGAGCAAGGTGGGCGATTCACTTTGCGAGCCTCGTATACCGGCTGTCTGACATGATTGCATAGATACTTCTCTGCGCCACGAGCCGGTGCATCTACACAGTTCAGATGGAGCAATATTTTCATCCCCATTCTGTTTTGTGTCCGCAGCCCTCATGGACTAGTATCCGTTCATAGGCGACCTCTATATCCGTGATGCTTCGCCGGCTCTTATTACGAGGAGCATCCTCGGGTTGATCGAGAGCATTCTTGATGCACTGGGTGGGAATGCATCTCATTTCTATCTCCCTTAGCACTTCACGTCGTATGCTCACACGTCCCGGCATACCTCAGGCCGGAGGTCGACTCCAGTGTCCATCACCGCGAGAGGGCCGAGTCGCAGTAAGCGGGCTCGTCACTGCGAACAGGACATGGCTCCAGCAGCCTTACGACAGACGTAACGTAATTCCACGCTTGGTGAGTATTCGTGTCTTCGATTCGAAGGGATAACTCCGCTGGGTAGGTTAACGTACAACGGTACCCCCGTGGTCTATGCAACTTACACTTACCGATTGATAGGTCTGCAATGGGTCGTATCCGTTGCTCCTGGTGAACACTCTCGCACACGGACTGTGCATAGCATACCTGGGCCTCGGCCTCACGACACAAGTCCCGGTAAGCACTAGTGACAATCTGTTCGCTGGCAATTTTCCGCCGTCTGACATCCTGGTGTTCGGTCCACAAGGGAGCTTATACATGCTCACACTCGCAGAACCTCGTCCCCGTGACTTATAGACATGCATTTGTCACCCAACGGACACCTACTGTGTCCCTGCTCCTCGCGTTCGACTGCTTCCCGGAGGAGCACACCGCTCCTGCATCTTGATCGAGAGAAGGGAAGCGCAGAGACAGTTGTTCTCGGGATCAAGCGTGTGCGGTGGCCGGAGCATCTGGTAGCCCGGAATTGCTATATTTCTCACTCATCCTGCAGCGTATGAGGCCCCCTCCCATTGCCAACCAATCCGCACCTTGCCAGGAGCGAGGCCGCCGTGATACGCTCGAGAGGATCTGTCTCACCTCCGGAAGCAACTTGTTCTCAGCTGCCGCGCCAGCGAGCGCGTGCATAGGTTATAAACAAGGTGGCGAAGTTGGCTTGCTCGCGTCGACTCGTGCTGACGCTCATTGCCAACATGATCACTAGCGAAGACATGAACGCGACCGATGCGTTCACGTCTACTGTGGTCGGGATGCTCCTCTGCTTCATGTAAATGCAGGATTCGTATGTTCTCCCGGTGCCTCCTCTGACCTTTCCCAATAGTTTCTTCGGAGGAACCCTGGGGCAAACCATTCACTACTTTCTCCAGTTTCCTCGCGATGGGCGTGTCTTAAAGGGTCTGGTAAGCATATGAGTGATACTCTCCTTCATTGACTCACCGACTTGGCACATCCACAGGTAACCATTCTTTTGTGAGTCATGGACACTCGCCGTGTGCGAAAGCGCAACTCAACAACAGTGTTATGCGTCGGAAGACTCTTGGACAGCGTGAAAGCGTTTCTCCACGCTCAGGTTCTCTAGTCCTCTCTCAGTCTGAGCGTATCTCACCATAAACCATAGTTACTGTGGTATTGGTTCGCCAACCACCACTCCGATGCCTCCATCTTGTTGCTGCTTCCCATGTGAGTATTCACCGCCTGTATACAACCATATCATACTAATGAACACATTTATTGCAGGTCGTATACGGTATGTATCCCTTGACTTGCTAGTACTCTTGTGCTGAACGGCGGCAAGGTTCACTTCATTATATCCGTGAGCCCGCCGTTGTTCTTATCTCCACGGACAGCGTCTAAATATCTAGTAGACGTCATGCGTCTTCCTCGTTCAAGGGTGAGCTATGATTCACTCTTCATCATCTCATATTCTTACCCTCGACAGTCTCTACATCCGTAATATATGGGCATGTAAGTGTCCATCGTACACAGTTACACACCAGAACTGAACACTACATAGTGTTAAGTGGTCGCTGGTACCAGAACTACGTCGCAGGAGTAGGGGTGAGTGTCTCTTGCAGTTCAGACCCTATTACTCACGACGTACAGATTGCGCTTGCCATCATCTCCCTGGGTGTGTACTGCATTTGTACTCGTAGTCGAGCATCCCTAACCCATGAAATCCAGCATGCGGACTCGGTGAGCCCTTACCGGACACCGTGTGGAAGCGATTTTTCACTGAATCTGCTATTTTCGAAGTCGCAGCTCACGATATGTCCGTTCTTCTGCCTACGTGACACTTGCAGACACATAACGTTGCTGTCTCTTTCTCTTCAGACTCACGAGTATCAACGACGTCGAAGCCATCCAACGTGTCGAGGTATGACATCGCTCGATCTACCGTCCGCGTGATCTTGACCGCCCTTTCCTTTCATGTCAGGTATCAGGCAGAATCGAGGGATACACGGCCGTCGCTGTCGATGTATACATCACCGCCGCGCTCTGTTTCATCTTCCATCGTGCTCGGACGGGGTACGAACCGTGAGTGTCTGTCCCTGCGCAACATACGTGCGATCCATGACGAGACCACATAGCACGGAAAATATCATTTTCAAGCTTATGGCGTTCACCATCAATCGCGGCATCTTGCTCTTGTAAGACACCAGTTGGGTCATGTTGGAATTCATGCTCACCATCTAATCGTAGTGTCATCCAATTGCTCGTGATAGTCACAGTAAGTGCGCTCTCTCGCTAGTTCACTCTCTCGGCCTGAAACTCACCTGGCGCCACAGTACAAGCCCAACGGTACGCAGGCGCTTGATGGCATCTACTGCTTTGCCGGCACCCGTCAGTCGTTCAGTCCAAGTTACACGACAATTAGCTGATATAAAGCCCCACTTCTCCAGTGAACGTCAATTGTGCCCTCGCATCGTGTGTATCTACAGAAAGCTAGTCAGATCCACGTATCTAACTACATCTTCAGGCTGAACAGCCGTTCCGGCAGAGGTGACCTGATCACTAGTCAGCTGAGCAGCTTCGATGCTCCTTCCGGGTCGTTCACAGCCGGGTACGTGAACATATGCAAATTCTGACTGACTAAATCGCTCATATTTCGCTCAACGATATACAGAGACGACTCAGTGGACGACTCAGTGCCCAAGCAGCTACGAGACGATGCAAGTAAGGAGAAGTAAGCGCTAGGCATACAGTAGAGCGCAGCAGATTCTAGACATTCAGCATGTAAGATCACAGGACGCGAGCATGTTGTACATAGGTGATGACGGCTCATCGCTATTCATTGTAAACCACCGGCTAGACCAGCAGTATCGATCGCCTCGATATCAGCCGTAGTCAGTTCTGTGCAAGGCGAGCAGGTCAAAGTCGCGTGAGCGTGCGTAGATGACATCAGCTTGAAGACACAACTAGGACATACCGAGGTCGCCAGCTTTGAGATAGCCTTGTAGCCGCTCCTTCTTCGTACTCGATCTGTCACGCAGAAGACGGTAAGGAAGAGCCGCGGAACAGTCAGAAGCATAACATACGTGACAATAACAACGCCCTTGGCCTTTGCCCACGCGAGGAGTACATGTTCAGGTTCTGCACCAAGGCGCTGGCAGATGCCACGGAGAGGTGCGTCGAGCGGTCCTCCAGAACGACGTGTGATCGGGCTGAATTGTGCATCTAGCCGTCGAGTCCAACGGTAGACACTAGGTGACGCGAGACGCACATTAGGACTCTATAAGCCTCTGACACTATGCCGTGTCTCATGCCGAACGCGACAATGGGCGCTTGGTGAGCAAGGACGTAGGGGTGGAAGAGAATCTGCGGCAGATGTGAACTATGATGGCTTCGTCAGGTCCCGAAGTCCTTGTGTTTCGACTCGCCTGGTTCGCGACAGGTTTGATCCTCGCGGATGCGAGCAGGGTACGCAGTTCTTGCACGTTGAAGTTGCTCACTCCGATGCTCCTAACCGTTCATTGGTGAGCGACAAGCAAACAAAGGTGAGTTGGACCTCTTCACTTGGCAAGCCCGCCTTCCTTGATCTTCTCCATCTTGGCCCACATAGTCGGGATGTCGGGGACGGCAAGATCAGGGCCATGAATGAGGTAGAGATCGACGTACTCAACGCCCAGCTACGGTCACGATGAGTCATCTCATTTGGCGGACGAGCCGCGTCGGTTGCATGTGAAGGCTTACGAAGTCGCAGCTGTTGCGAATAGAGGTCTCGATGTCCGCCCGACCAGAGTACTTCGTCGTGATGTAGACGTCTCCGCGCTTGAGCCCGCTTGCCCTCAAGGCAGCACCAGCCTCCTTCTCATTCCTGTATACCTGCGCAGAGTCTGTGCCCCTGCATTAACACGAGCCTGCAACTGTTGAGGTATGAGATCCAAACCGATATGCGTGAAGCCGACTTCGAGAGCTTGGTTGACCCTGTCGATTGTAGTCTGACCATTTCCGAGCTTCCACGTTCCGAACGCGATACTCGGAATCTCGGTTCCTGGGAGTCGCTTGTGTCAGCCTCAATCAACCACGCAATACGCTGTCTCTTACACACCATCATTCAGCTTGATCGCATCCCAAGGCATACTGGCAAGAGCAGTCGTCTGAGAGGGCTGACGAAGCACAGTAGCCTGGGTTACACCGTTCTATCATTGAGCATGACCAAGATTTGGCAATGTCGTTCACAAGTCCCACGAAAACTATAAATACACTTTCGCCACACTCTCCCAACTCGCACGTTCGTGACGTCGGCGTGGAAGGTCGGCGACGGATGCATCGACTATATGTTCCCTTCTTGAAACGCCTCGCTGCGCATGTATGCGTGAATTCGCCAGCCCTCTCCCGCGTCGATTTGCACCAGGCCGGTCGTAGCTTGGCCATCCTCAGAGGCTGTCTCCGAGTTGCCGCTCGGAACGCGCCACCACTGCGTCCACCCCACGAAAGCCGGCTCGTCATGCCCGTTCCGGTCCTCCATCATGTAACCGGGCGACACGGAAACATAGCGGAGGGACGGAATTGCATGCAAGATGAGCTCGGGAGCGGTGTCCCGGAGCTCTTCCCAATCGCTCTCTGCGTCCCAGTCGTCCGAGTGGGCCTCGAGAGATTGCCACTCCTGCTCGGTTATGGTGTTGCCGATGCTCTCGACGAGCCTGATGCGTACGCAGAGGATGCCGCAGTCGGAGAACTGCGGGAGGCACTCGTCCTGTGGCAGAAACAGGACGCAAATGAGGTGGGTAGCAGAACGAGAGCGGTGCTGCCAGACGTACCAGCCACTTCTGCGCGAGGGTGGTGTTTTCGTGCAAGAGCACGTCGAGATAGCGGAGCCTCGAATCGGGACGCTTCGCGAGGCTCGCGAGCTGCCCCCAGAGACCCGTGTCGCAATAGTGGAATTGAGTTGAGAACGCGCGCGGATATGTCGCGCGGACGATCGTGACGATCGTCTTGGTCAGTCGGGACTCCTCGTTGTCGACGAAGACGTCGAAGACACGCAGGCGCGCTGTAACTTGAGGTTCCAGGGTATCGGTGATGCTGTATGGGTTGTGCACGTCACTGGGGTAGAAGTCCCCGCCATCGTGGCACAGCATCACAGCCGCAAGGTGCAGACACGCTAGATTCGGACAAAGCGCCACGACGGGCATAGGATCCATGTTTCTGAGACGTAGGGTCTTTGCACTGGGCCACAAGGCAGTAGGCTTCGGGAGCGGTGGGGGCGATAGCGGCTGGCCTTGATCGCCAAATTCCACGAATGTGAAGTCGTGAAGGGTTATGACCGATGCCCTTTGTAGGACGTTCAGCTCGGAGAGCATGGTGCGATCTACTAGCACGTGTGGCGCGAAAGATGACGATAGTGCTTCCAAACGGAATACATCGGGCTTGCAGGTCAGATTCTTACACAGGTCTAGGCCTTCCTCGTCGACACTCCGCAGGTCGAGTTCGCGCAGATCACGGAGAGACGCGATGGCATCGCCGAGTATATATCCATTGGGGTCGGCCAGATGTTCTTCGACAGACGTAACCACGAGAGTCTGCAGGTTCCGCACCCGTTCGAGGACGTCGGCAAGCGGGGTGTAGCCGTCGGGAGGCTCGTACAGGACATTCGAATCATGAATGGTGAGCTTCCGCAAACACTGCAGACGGTACCCATCGTCTTCATCGAGCATGAACTTGCGAAACCGGACGCTTGCGACCGGCGCTGTGAGCTGTAGGGAAGAAAGGATGCGTCTTCTCGCAGCTGTGCTCACAACGCGGGACGTCAACGCTAGCTTTGCGGCGTCACGTTGTGGAAGCCATGCAACGATGATCCCGAGGATGTCGTCGTTCAGGGATAGAATATTGGCACCCGGTGCCATCCTCGCAGATGTCACGCTGCGGTGAATGAATCAGGACGTCACCTCAGAGCGTTCTGAGTATTGGTGAAAACGTACCTGACGGTCCGCCCTAATCTCCAAGAGTTCGCGACAAAGACTCCAGAAACGCCAACGTGTGATATAGGTTCGTGTCGCTCCGGAAATGCTGGTGAAATGTCGTCAGTTCCAGTCTGTGCGACAAACTGAAACCATTCCCACTTACTCAACCTGTATACAATCAGACGCCAGGACGGCGACCAAACAGCAACAGAGAAACTCGCCGCAGAGCTCAAAGTTCACGGTGACCTGTGCGAGCAGTTCAACACGCTCCATTTTGAGGCGAGATGAAGGCGCCAGCGCCCACGAACGGGTATCGCGGCGAAAAAGGTGCAGGATGCTCATGCGTTGCCTAAACGACTGCGAAAAACCGGCCGTAGAGCAGCTCACGAACTTCGATAGCTAGTAGTACCATCGTAATATTGAATGCGTGGCACGAACTTAGATATGAGGCATTCGTCGTGCCGCAGCCACATGTGGCGTTCGCTTACATAATACAGGCATCCTTTGTCCCAAGCCGTTGTTAGGCGCCAGGCCACAGAAGTACGCGACCATATGAATGCACTCATCCAATGCGGCTTCCTTGACATTCACGAACTACATCCTGCTCACACCCTGATTCAAGCTATATTCAAGACTTGCCCCGCATGGAGGCAGCTCCTACCACCAGCTTCCGCCGCATCTCGCCTCACATCGTCGAAGTGAACCCGCGTCGCATCAGCCAGTTCCACACAACTTGGGAGATGGTCCTCGCGATGTATGGCGCGATAGTCGGTGCGTAGATTGCATACATCGCTGAAAGCGACCCCATCTCACACTTCGGCCGACGGTTAGCGCATCAGGGCTACTACGTCGCGGGTTTCATACACAGGAACGTGTGCGAGGCAAACATCTGGATCTTCGAGAGGCAGACGGACGAGGGACAGCGGCATGTCGCCGGGATGCTGCTCGATGTCGATCGTTGCGACAGCTACAAGCGATTCAGGCGGGCTGAGCGGCGACCTCAGAGCAGCAACGAGGAGGAGGAGGTCGACTAAACGGCCCGCGTGGTACCGCTGGGATGAGAAGAGTGAAGTAAGTGACGGGCTACTCTGTGTTGTATTAGTCGTGATTCATTGTTCCACCTACAGTGTATCACCGCTGTGTGGTTGTATTGTGAACTTACCAGTCGTCACGTAACGCTGGCGTCGAGCGTCATCCTTCTAACTTAGCAGTGTTCAGGTCATCATCGCGACGAACTGCGGGTGTACATATCAGTGTTGAAGATATATGCGTACGTGCTTATGGGTCTTTTGCACGCCCGCGAACTCCCTCTGTTGACAATAGGAGCTGCTACTGTCCTTGAGCCCAACAACCATGATACAAACTTCCCGGAAGCGCACTTCGTTCGCGTGGCTATAGCATCGCGAACAAGATATAGACCCCCGTGGCCTTTTACGGAGCATCATTCATATTGAGCTGGTATGCTCCTCCTGACGATGATGCAGACCGCAGTCCACTCGCGGTGAAGGTCGACTTCCAAGCCTCACCTTCGGCGATAGTGGGCGCCTTACTGAGTGTCGTTTACAACCACGGCTGGCTCCCGCCACGAATGCTTTGACTGGTTGATGTCAGCTTTAATCACGTCAGCAGTGCAGACCGTATGCTGACCCGAACGAATGCTGACCCTGGATCCTGTTCAGAATCGGCGCAGCAGAAGTGCCTTAGCGGACCATCGCCCCATCCATCCATCGACGGCTCGCCGAGGACTCGCCCCTGAGCCACCGCATGAAGAATGGACGCATTTACCTCCGTTGTTGACCCTGCCCCTAGCAGATGGCGCCAGCGGGTTGTCTGAGATCGGCGCAAGGGGGAGGTCGACAAGGTGCGAGACTGCTTCAGCATCATCTACGTCGTCGCGCATCCCCATGCTTGCTGAACTATCCTTGTAACGATCCAGTGCTCGCGGAGGAATTCGCCACTCATGGCATGCTGTATAGCACGCCGCCCGGCTCGGGGTGAGAATATATCGCTGCAGCCTACCTCCCCGCGTTACCGGAGGCGCAGATCGGCAGTTCCTGCCCGCCTAGGTTCATCGGTATGGCGGGGCGGACACTATTGTTCTTTGCTCAAAGGCGAAGGCGACGTACGACGACTCGCGTGCCTTGGAGATGGAGATAGCAAGTCTTCATCCTCTTCAATATGTACTGGGAGCGGACGAGGCACAAGAGAGGAATATGGAGTTCCTTGCGAAGCGAGTATGGACCCCACTCAGGTCCCAGGTACTCGCTTCACCTGTATCATTCCCAAGACGTTGTAGTATTCATAAGAAGCCGCCGACGCAGTCGAACACTTAGCCGTGCAGCTTCCCCGACTGAGTATCAACAGATGTTACACGAAACTACATGAATTCCCTGCACGTCACACCATGAGCAAGTACATGGATGGAGAGTGAACGTAGGCTACTTACTTTTCAAGTCGTAGCGTCTTCGCGAACGCATCGCTGCGCAGGTGCCCGTCGATCCGCAAACCCTCCGTTTCGTCTATCTGAACCAGTGTTGGGGCACCGTTCTCCACGGATTGAGCGCCTTCCGGGCATGCCGTCGCATCTCCATTGACAACCTTCCACCACCGCGACGGGCCCACAAAGACTGGCTTGGAACCCAGGCGGGTCCACGAGATCATGTACCCCCATGAGACGGAGACATAGCGGAGGGATGGGATGGCCGCAGCGACCAAGTGTGGGGCTACGTCGCGTAGATATCTCCATGTACTGTCCACTTGCCAATTGTCCGAGCTGAGCCCAAGGCTACGATAATCCTCCCCCGAATGCTGAAATGGAGCCGGTTGAGGAGCCTGATGCGCACACTCAGGATGCCGCAGTTGACAAACAGTGGCAGACACTCAGTCTGTAGTACCAGTACGAGGCATTAGACTATGGTTTCGAGGGCAGGAGAGACGGTGATAGAATGGAACGTACAAGCCATTTGTACACTAACATGATGTTGTCATGCAGTAGCACGTCAAGGTACTATCCTCTTCGCAGATACTGATGTTGAACTTCAACTATTTCAGGTGTTATCACACGGGATAGGACTTATCCTTACCCGTTATGGACTTATGTTCTACTATGCTACATATTACGTACATTCTTGATGGACTTGATCCAGACCTGTAGCACATGACTTGTTCTAGACCTGTATGGAACATTCCACATGGTTCCATCATATTCCATCACATTCCTTGATCACATCATTGATCTAGGCCTGTCCAGTCCTTTCCAGTGCCTTCCAGCATGTTCTATCTATAGTGCCATATCACATCATCCTGATGTATTCGCTCATTGCACTATATTGCATCATCATGACACGACGTGTGTACGCCTTACTCATCCTGCTACAGGCTTACACATAACGCTTACTTACGCTTACTGTACGATCATGTGATGACTCTCTCATGTGTATATATACTGGGCTGGATGCCCCTGTAAATGTATCGGTCTCTCCTCTTGTCTTACGCCTGCTGAGTCTTCCCTCTCAGTCTCTTGAGACCTTGCAAGCCCTCCATTGACTGCTGTCCTTAACTGGTCTTGTAGTCTGTTAAGTGTTGCCTTCACACTAGCCACTCCCTTTTCACTCCTTGTTCAACAACTGACCGCTGAATTATACCTTCATCGCTGTCAATGCCCTTGGATCGCACGGTTTCCGAACACCTGCCCGACTTTGCACCGAATACCATCGTATTCTGTCAAGCGTACACAACGAGCGACATGCGTAAGCGTACACGAAAATCTAAGTACGACTTCAGACATTCAACCTCATAAATGCTCAATCCAACTCGTCGATCTCCATCGACCTCGCAAACAGCTCATCCTCGAACTCGCGAGCCAACAGCTCCTCCAACTCGTCCAAGCTGCGTGGCGGCTTGGGGAGCGGGCGGGGAGGAAGAGGTCGTGGCTTCGGCTTCGGCTGCGGCGTTGGTGGCAGCGGGCGGGGAGGACCCCTGGGCATCACATCGCGGGTCCAGAAGATGTCCTCGTCGTCGAACGAATGTTCAAAGAGGGAGTCCTCGTCAAAGTCACGTTCCTCGAACTCGGAGTCGCTCAGACTCCGAGGCGGCTTGGGGAGAGGGCGCGGGGGAAGTGGGCGCGGCTTCGGCTTCGGCTGCGGCGTTGGCGGCAGCGGGCGGGGAGGGCCCCTGGGCATCACATCGCGAGCCCAGAAGTCGTCCGCCAGACTGCGCTCGTACAGCGACTCATCATCTGCTGCGCGGGACCAGCTGTGTAAATCCGAGTCAGTAAAACACAACGAAGATAGAACGAAGGCTCTCACAGGCTGATGGGCAGTGCCAAAGCCGGTGCCGCGGTCGCAGCGGCGACAAGGACAGAGAAAACGGTTGAGTAGCGCATGGTGAATGTGGTTCGTTAAGACGTGCGTGACAAAAAGAACGGCAGTCGTGCAAAAAGCGGGGCTAGTATGCACGGTCAACTTCTGCGGCCGCGATACCAGAGCACTGCTGTACTCACCAACCAGTACCCTCACTTGAGTTGAGCTCGAATGGAAAGAATGAGCTGAGGATCGTTGGGAGAGAGCGTACCTCTTTTATACGCCGGACGTCCCAGCGCTCGCAACGTCTGCGGGATGTGTTATATTGATTTCTGATCTGCATCCCGCACAAGCGTTAATCACGAACTCAGGCTTGCGGGCGGCCTGAGACAGACCGACGAGCCCGCGTCATCGCAGGCCGCATGCATTGTCGTGCAGCGGGTATTTGCTGTGACGAGGCATGGACGTCCTCTTCGTGAGTTGCTTGGGTGTATTGCTGTCCGACCTGCATAGTCTGTTCCAAGTCATTACATGGCATACGGCGACGCTACACACTACTGACCGTATGACGCTTCACGTACGACTCCCGGCACTCGCCAGCCTCCGTTGGTCGTTGCAGAAGCTTCGGGAGATTGTCTCAGATTGGCGCAACGCGCGCGAGTGGCAGCTTCGATGAAACCTGGAAGGAGGAACCGCACGGTCACACAAGGGAAGGTAAAATGGCCGCCTATTAGAGAGCACCCGACATTACCTATGTGTTCCGAATTTTTCGTTTTCTGCATGCTGACGCGAACATCTCGCCGGCTCGTCTGCCTGCATGAGACTGTCATTGCGCGAACTCATCCGTACTACTGCCAGAACTCGCCAAACTTTGGCAGGACGACCAAGGGCTCGGACATCCATCGACGTCACGCCGACCGAACAGCAGAGTTCAAACAGAGATGCGGATGCTCTGGCGCTTCGTGTAACACTAGTGCATGCGGCGGTTCGTCGATCTGGATGACGGCGCGTGCGATGCAGCTTTGACGCGCGTTCGGGAGAATGCAGCAGTAGTACGCTGTGCTTACGATTGACGACGCTGACGAGAACGCCCATGCTGTGTGTTAGTACTAGCAATGAGGAATTGAGGTCGCGTGATCTCGCTGAGGTGGGCGATACGACCCAGGTCCCAGACGGCAACTTGCGTCGATGTCACTGGCAGGAGGAATATTCCTCTAATTCTGTCGCAGTCGCAGTATGGCTAGCACTTAGCAGGCCCATGTTTGCATGAAATCGCGGCCGGAGTTTTGTTTCTAATAGCACCTCAAGGTGTACATGTCTCCGGTATTACCGTCGTGCAATCCTAGTGGGCAATGCGGCGATTACTGGTACAGTTCATACGTTGCTTATTCGTCGTGAATTCGAACATCATTGTATGCAGAGCCATGCCCCGATTGAAGGCAATATTGTCTCGGGCTAAGTACAGGCGTTGTACCGTGACTTGCCACAACTATCCCCTACGCCTGCCAGGTCGCAAACGCATACGCAAAATCCGTTTCCCACTTCACCCAGCGTGCTTCACATTTCTCGAGCGCAGCTTGCACCATCTCTAAGGCGACGTTTGGCTCCAAGTCCTCCAGCCCTAGTTCCTCGAGGTCATAGTCTTCCGCAGCCTGATCGCGAAGATAATGCCATTGGTACACTATATCTCCGTCATTATTTGTGATGTACGCAAATCCTGCAATTATGTATGAGCTTCTCGTGCGCTTCTGATCCTTTGCTTCGTATAAAACTCACTGGGCGGCCAGATCCTCGCATAGTCACAAATAAATCCGAGTTCATCGCAGCCCTTTACTATGTACCATTTTTCAGCAGGGTGAATGTTCACTCCGCATGGGCAAATATGTTTGCTGGCACGGGCGAAGTCAATGATACAAGGAGATCCATCCTCCCTGATGAGTATGTTGCTGGGCCTGAAGAGCTTAGAGAGCTCATAGGGTGACTCCTTTCTTATACCGCATTGGTGTAAAGTCCAATACGCTCGTGCTGTCGCTAACCTGTGAATAGACCCCAAAGCCCGTTCAATTCAGTACATTAGTACTTAGCTGCTAAGTCTGCACAACGTACCGGAACTCCGGAGTCTGCACCAACAATGCGTCCTTGTCATCGTCGGCGCCGATAGTGCTACCACATTTCTCGAGCACGAGACACATGATATGAGTGGTATCCGTGGAATCTCCGCAACGTTGGACCGGTGTTCTGGCCTCGAATAGACCGTAGAACATGGGAATCTCTTTCCCTTGAAGGTGAAGAACTCGCGGATCCTCGTATATCCTTGCCTCGTTCACCAACGACTTCCTGCCTAATTCCGTCGACGCCACTTTGCATACCACGTCGTTCGTAGAAGTGTCCGCGCAACGGAGCATCTCCGTCGTGGCTCCTGCGCTCAGACGATGCACGTAGATCATGATGTTTGTCGGGTCCCATTGACAGTCGCCCTTAGAAGAGTGCAAATGCAAGGGTAGCTGCTCACCCGACTCGGTGCGAGAGGTAGTGTCAAGCATTGTACGTAGCTCTCGGCCCGAAGCGACGTCGTGCATGAACTCGATGATGTCTTCAAAGCGCCAGCCCAATGGCATACTAGTGACGCTAGTTGGTATATGCTGAGAGGGCTAGTGTTTCTCGATGACCAGTGAAATGTAGATGGCGGGTGTATCGGAAGAGGATGAGTCGGCGAGGGCTATTCAAGTGCGCGTTGTCAGTGAACGACACATTTCTGCGAGGGGTACTGAGGGACTGAGGCTCTGACCTCTTCTACAGCAGATGTACTCTTTTTATAGGCCTCGCATGCACGCGGTTCGATCGACTTATCGGTGTCCGTGTTCTGCTCTAGGTGCTCGTGAGTGTGAGTCGTGTGGATGTACAGAGGGTCAGTCTGCAGGACTCGCGACGTCGACGGTGGCGCCTCGCTGGATATAAGCGCCCATGATCTTGGCTTACTTTACTTAATTTCCTCCTCCTCTGCTGTTGTAATTTCGGAGGCGGCTGTCGTTTGATGTTTCGTGCGATCGTAGGGAGCTAAGAGGGAGACAGTCGAGTGTTGCAGTGAGCGATGAACTTGTAAGCAGGTTGGGTGTCGGAGGAAGCGTCCCGGCAAGGTTCGCCGGCCCGGGGAACTCGCTTACCTAATCACGCTCATCCTGGCTGGAGAGCGGACGTTTGCCTGTTCAGCAGCTTGTCCAGTGTCCACCGAGGTCCAGCACTGGCAGTCCAATATAAGGACACGTTTCAGGTTTGGGACACAATTACTGGGGCCTGTGTTGTGCCGCCGTTCAAGACGAACAGTCACTCTAGCGAAGCCTTAATTATTGTGAGCACTACTTATTCTTCCGTCAATTGTCTCTATCGCTCACACGTGCGAGCGGAATCAGCTTCTCTGATAGTTTGACGTTGGTTTGACGACAATAACAGACTCGATACGTACGATGTGTTTCCGCTTACACGCTTCGTTCTTCGGTCACGCGACTTCACACTCTGATATAAATCCGCTGCACGCGCAGATGTATCCCAGCAGCTTTCCACGTCTTGCACCATCTTACTCCAGGACTTCGCACTATTGCTAGCCTCCATCGCATCTGACGACAACATGGAAGAGCTTAGAGACAGCGCATCTGTCGGAGACATGGAGGAGGTTCGAGACAGCGCATCTGACAGCGCATCTGACAGAGACATGGAGGAGCTTCGAGACATCGTCCTCAGAAAGGCGCTCTCCTCCCACTGTATGTCCCGCCTCAACATTCAGGGCGCGGGCCGCGACGACTCGCAGGATACCCGGGTTCATATGCTTCACGACTTGATTGACATCACCGATCATTCGTACCCTAAACACCTACATACTTCAGATGACACGGACCTCATTCTGTACCTACACAAGTTGAAGTCGGCGAAGCGAGATGAGAGCGGGACAGTAATCTGCAAGATGGCTGTCTCGACCATCGGAGGAGTGAAGATCCTACAACACGAGGCTAAAATCTACGAAGCCCCAAATACGCAGCCGCTGCATGGCAACATCATGCCGAAGTATTTCGGACTGTTTCAAGGAACAGTGGAGGGTCAGACCGTGACATGTATGGTGCTGGAATTTTGTGGAGAGGTGTTGTCGCGGCGTCTGCGTGAGCAAAAGGAATCATTCAGGTATTGACTCTACACGTCATGCTGAATTATACTGACGATTTCGACGATACCAACAGAAAAGCAGCAATCAGAGCGTTCCAGGAATTGCATTCAGAGCGAATCCACCTCGTCAAGGGGGATAGAGAAGACTACAAGTATCAAGACATCATTCGCAGGCCGGATGGCACGCCTTGTCTTGTGGACTTCTCAAGGGCACGTCCGCATATTGGTAAATGTCATGACGCCGAATTCGAGTTCGAGGATTACAAGACTCCGACACATTGGCCAACCTCAGATTTGGTTTGTGGAGAACTTCTCGCCGTCGCCGACGATGCGTGGGTTTTCGTAGGAGGTCAGTGTGTATCTTGACTAGCATGAACGATAACTACTCACATCGAGCATTGTTCGTCACTCTAGATATGCTCAATATCCCAGACGCATCCGGCCCTATATACTACTACCAGGGCATTTCACTAGAGGAGCACTGGGAACGGAACAAAGAGGGGTTCGTGAGGTACACGAAGGAGGAGGCACTCACGCTGTTAGAGTCGGTCATTGAGAAGTATGAGGAGATGCTCAACAAGAGACGTATGGCTTTAGACAAAGTGGAGGAGGGGGAATCCATTTAGCCACCGGCCGCTGTCGCACGCACAGCTCACAAATGTATGAAGCACGATCTCACGCGAGTGCGGTAGTGCATGATAGCGTGATCCGCAAGTACCACGGTCGCTTAGGGTTTGCCACACCTCCCGCTTATCGTGCGCGAAGTCGGACTTGTGTGAGCGGACTCATCCTCGAGCGTGGCGGACTCCTCTGGGAGTAAGGACTTCGTGGAGCTTTTGGACGATTCTGAGCCGGATCAGGTGTCAGCGAGGAGCAGGAGACGTTCGTACTGTAGTAGAATGTGAGCGGGCGGGTAATAGAGAAGAGTAGCCGGGACGTACCGACCACTCGTGTATGAGCAATCGATACAGGGTATAGCAAGCATACATGTAGGCCAACGTTACACTGCGACGGGTATGAGTACAACAATACATTCCTTCATTCATCTCTTCTGATCACGTCATTGGATCCGTCAGAAGTCGTCTTCGCCCTCGTCATCGTTCCACCCGACGGCCTCCAGCGCCGCCTCTCCTTCGTCGTACAGCTTGTCGAGCCCTGTCAACTCCTCGAGGAATTTCTGCTCGTTGAATGCCTTGAGGAGCATCTCGAAGCCCTGCGTCTCATATGCCTTGATGACCTATACTCAGAACGTAAGCACAAAGCCGGCCGCACGCACCGCCATTATGACCCACCGTCTCGCTGCACCCGGTGCACCTGTCGTAGGCAGCGCCAGTGATGGGCATGTTCCGGAACTGCGCGAGGAAGCCGCGCAGCTGGTGCGGGACAATGCCCAGCACGCCTTCGGAGCCCTGCGGAGGCTCGCTCCCTTGAGTCTGCGGCGGCGGGGCGGGCGCGTTGATGCTAGACGCCGATGTATAAGATAAGATTAGACCACGGTCAGAGGAAGCGGACGTACCCGTCGGGGTGCTGCAGGAGGGAGACGAGCAGCTCGACGGCGGTGGATGCGGCGATCGAAGCGAGGCCCGGTCGAGTGACGGTGCACATCTGGTCGAGGGTCCGATCCGTCAAGGACTGCATATACCCACGTCAATGAATCGTTGTCGACCGATACAACATGTCAAGAGAAAGTACGCACATCCGCAGGCGCAACGATGTCGTTGCAGTAGTAGCAGCCAAGTCGATCACCCTTCGCGAGCGACGCGCGCACACCGTGGCGCATGACGAGGAATGTGTCGAACCCGAGCGCGGCGTTCATGACGACCTTGCCCTTGGCTGCGCCCATCACGGTTGGGAGCCACCGGCTCTCGCGCGAGTCCATAAGGAGGAATACAACGTCGTGCTCGTCCATGAGCTTCTCGAGCGTCGCCACGTCCTTCTTCGCCTGCTCAACCGACGCGGGCGGGATGGGGTGGCCCGGCATGGGGATGCTCAGGATATGACCGGAAGAGTTCTGAGGGAGGAGTCAGTGATGAGCGCAGTGCGCGGATGAGAGCTACTCACAACGCCAGGGAAAATCTTCTTCAGCCGCTCAGCAGCGCATGCCGCCTTAGGCTTCCCGCCGTTCAGGCAGTCGTCGAACTCAAACAGCGGTTGGCGGACAGGGTTCGAGAACGACACGCGGGCAGAGTCAACAAAGGTGATCTTGCGAACGCCCCATCCCTGTTGCACAAAAGCGGCGTCAGCACGTGTCCAAGGGATTACTAGGTGGACAGACCATCAGCGTGCGCGCCACATAGCACCCGAGCGTGCCCGCTCCCAGGAGGAGACACCGCGTGTTCGCAACCTTCTCAAGGTCGAGCGCAGGCAGGATGCGCCATCGCATCAGCTTCAGGTTGAGATCCACAGCCTGGTCCGCCAACCTGTCGCGCGACGCGCATGAGCGAACATCCCAGTTCATGCCTAGACTGCCGGCTTACCTCGTCGGATCCATCATGGGCGCCAAGTCCGCCACACGCGGACCAAGTTTGCCCTGCACGTTCTTCTCCCAGCCCACCGCGGTCGGCTTCTCCGTCTGCACCGCGACTTCGCCCGCACCCTGGGACACAACGCCAAAGCGGCTCTTGAACGGCGCGCCATTCGGGCGCTCAGAGTCGCGCCAGCATAGAATACGGTACGATGGCACGGGGTGCAAGGTATGGAGGTAGGTCAGGAGGTTGCGGAGGGGCCAGCCGGGGTTGGAAGGCGTCGCGGAGGGGTCGAGGAAGGCAATGGTGCGCTGCTCGGGAGCGACGTTGGCGAAGAATTGTGTGTATTCTTCGACGGGTGCGATCTCGGGCTCGTCACTGCCAGTCTTTGGTCGGACGAGGAAGAAGGCGCGGGGAGATGCTAGTTGCGTTGCCTCAATTGCGGAGAGCTACGACCGGGCCGTCAAAAGGGACATGAAGAAGGGGCGAAGGAACGAGGAACGCACGAAGGAATCGTTGAACTCGTCTGAGGCGGCCCTCCAGTCTCCCTGGATCTCCCATGCAGGCTTGGCCACGAAAGCAGGGAAGGCGAACCAGTAGTAGTACTTATATTTCTTGAGATCCGCGAAGGTGATAAGCAAGAAGCGGTTGAGCTGTGCCGTCGAATGGTCGACGGTGATACTCTTCCATATCTAGTGACGACGTGAGCTTGCGATGGACAACTCAACTACGGAATCAAAGAATGTGAATTGATCATGTATCAATTCAATACACGGGAAGTGTCAAAGTAACGAGCAACATTTGTGCTCGGACTGTTAGGCGGTGAAGGTCGCACCTCGAGGTCATGTGGCATACAGTAGACGGTAGAGATCACAGGTCTCAGCAGTCTAGCCATACTCACATGGACTCCCGTCCTCTTCCTCCTCCACGTCAATATATCGCGTAACCAACAGCATTTCACTGATTATTCCGCCTCCAATTCGTAGGACCTTTCAGGTCGCTCGGCATGACAAGAAGACTTCGATTTAGGACTGGACTTCGTACGGAGTCCCGCTTCTCATGTGCTCATGTTTCGTGCCAGCGGCATACAGACACTGGTGGTGTCTGCCGGTACTGGAGAAAAGACATAACGCGAACAGATACACACCTCGTCGGTGACCTGGGCGAAGAGCGCGGTCTTGTCTGCTGCCTTGAACTCCTCGATGGTGTTGTAATTCTTGAATACTCGGTAACCTGTGCCGAATGCGCAGGTGCCCTATGAAATAACGCGGGTCGCGCGTCCGTTCTAGCGATAACCTTCAACCCGTAACGGCGCCACTCACTTGTCTGTCTTCGAGAACGACTCGCCACCAGCAGACAGGTTACATCCGAGCGCTATCTCGGCGCCAGACTCGCGATCCTTCACGGATCGCCCGGTAGCATAGGAGCCATGAATTGTCACAGAGTCGTCAGAGTCTGTGAGCGCGTGCCAGAATGCGGGCTGAGCGAGAGACGAGAAGGGTGTGAACTAGACTATTGGCATGGCTTTTGCCCAGTAGTTCACTTGGAGCTGAGTATTCAACGACGCGAATCGAGGCGTAGAGATGTGGGAGGGATGGCAGCGGTGGAGGAGGATGAGGAGGATGGATGAGGGAGCCTCAGCCGCGTTGCCCACGCGTCGGGCCACACGCACGTGATAGAGCTCGCTGAGAGGCAGAGAACAGTGAACGTTCTACTGCCAGTGTAAGCTTCGTCCTGTTGCGGTTAGTAAATGCAGACTAGTGTGGCAGTTCGTACTATACGCTCGGCCGCTCAAGTCTAACGCCTTATACTTGTGTCCCACTCGGATTGGTTCTGTATCGAATGCTTCTCATGCCCCTCGAAGCGCATACGCGATCTCTAATTCCCGGCCTGAGGGCACTCAGGCTGGCCGAGGTCATGCGAAGCAACAGACTCAGTCATATTTGTACAGCGTGCGTACTCAACGCGATTCACTCCGGTTCGTTCTACTAAGTATCACTGATGCGTAATGCGTGTACGGCGCACATAGATCGCGGTCTCATCTGCGGTGAAAATCAGATGTAAGCATGTGTCTGCAAGTTTTATATCGAGCCGTACTTCACTCATCATTCCCCGGCTTTCCAAGAGCCTCCATGTCCTTGAGGTAGTTCTTGTATTCTTCGAGGTGTTTCTGTATCACTTCGTGCCCGCCCGTTTCGTTATACCCTCGCGCCATCATCTCGCTACGGGCCGATCTCCAATAATCCGCGATCGTTTTCTTCGGATGATAGTGCATAGGCCCAATACCTTTGATTTCGAAAGAATCTAGAGTGCATATCAGTCTCTGACGTGAGCAGACACATGGCTATCTCGGCCAACGACGTGACTGACTATCCATTAATGCCCCAGCAGCTTTAGAGACTTCGAGTATCTCTCCACAGGACAGGTCTGTGCCTGGAATCGGCGTGAAACTTTTGAAGTCGAATCTGGGTTGATCACAATCGCCCCTGTGCGGTCGTGAAGACCCATAATCAACCAGGCACGGCTGGCCATTCCCCCTGCGGACAATATCTTCGTATTTGTACTCCGAGGCATCGCCCTTGACGAGCATGGCTGGCGCCGTGTGTAGTTGGCTGTACGCATTCAATACTGCATCTCTGTCGGCACGAAAACAGTGCAAGAGACGTGAGTGTCTGCCCTATGGAGTGGAGAGTGCTGATAGTACCTGAATGCGAAATCTTCGTGTATAAGTGGTCGAGACAAGGGCTTCCCGCAGTGTTCCAGTATCATGCACGTCACCTTGAAGAAGCTGTTCACATCCCCTTGAAAGAGGCCGTGGTATTTGGGCATCACAGTGCCCTGGAGTGACGCCGTGTTCGGGGATTCGTACATCCGAGCTTCTTGGACTAGGCGCTTCTCTCCCGTGAGTGATGCTGCAGCCACCTTGCAGAGCACTTCGCTCCCGTCTGACCTGAGCTTGAGTACGTAAATGTATACGTAGGTCTCGCGCGAGTAATGAAATTGTCGCGGATATGAATCGTCGGCAACATCAACGATGTCGTGCAACAGGGAGCCGGCATTACAGCCTTGCGAGTCGTCATGATCCGGTCGCTCGAGGTAAACACGACGCATGAACTGGGACTTGAGTGCATCCCGCGCCAACTTGTCTCGTGAATCCATGTTAGAGTCAATGAGATGTTGAGGATGATGTGAAGGATTGAGGTTATGGGATATAGTAAAATGCTCAAGCTGGAGACGAGATGCGAGACGCAGCTACTAGTATGTAATGAGGAATTGAGGTCGCGTGATCTCGTTGAGGTGGGCGAAACGACCCATGCAGTCAGCTTGGTATACGAACCCCGTACATTACTTCATCTACATACTACTCTACCCCGTAGACACACCCCCGACAGGGGCACCGGTACCCGCACCTCGCGGACCGGGGCCCGCCGCGTCTTAGCACCGTTTGTGTTCGCTTGTTGCGGCTTATAAATTCTGAATTCATCATCATCATCATCATCATCATCATCGATATGAATATATGATGTACGTACAAGTGACACAGCGCAAGGAACACCCTCTCCCGGACCTCCGAGTCTGCACCCTCACATGGATACCTCCAGTTGCGACGCATATTCGAGGGGGCTGCGGGGGCCGCGGTAGCGGCCGCGGGACGGGCTTCTTTGGCTGTTGTAGCCTTACGGCTGATTTGGCGAAGGGAAATACGGTCACACGCCCGGTAAGACGTTCGAATTGAACCCCGGTTGCTCCGATGAGGATTGCTGTACTTGCACAGGTGGCTTTGGCGCGCGGGTCGGTTTCTCCGCCGGGGCAGGGTTCGTATCGTTGCACAGAGGTTAGAACCTCGTGTGGTTTCGGCGTGGGCCCTTTGAGCTCAGGCAAGTAGATGGACACCGGGTTCGCCTCTGTTTCCGTTCTTGTCTGCTCGTTTTCGCCTTCGCCCTCGGTTTCGCCCTTGCCCCCGCTTTCGCCTCGACGAGCCGAGCTGAGGTCGCGATTCCAATAGTCAGAAAATACGTCGCGCGACCAAGTGTTGCCATCGTGGCGTTTTTACAGGAGTTCACTGTCGGCATAGGCCGTGCGAGACGGGCTGGAGAAAGTCACGGTCGTTAGGGACGATACTCTACGTGATGTGTAGGCCGGCTTACAGTGTCAAGGGAACTGCCAGAGCGCGACAACAAGAACGGGCCGCAGAAGGTTGCAGGAGCGCATGTCGGTCGTGAGTAGAGGTGAGGAAAGTGAGACGCAGCGGAACGCGAGAAGGCCATGGTCGTGATAAGACGTGAAAACCAGACTAGCAAGGCACTGATTGTCAGTAAGTTCCGAACACACAGGTAGGCGTGAGCTGCTCGGGTGCTTACCGACCAGCGGACCCGCTTGCGTAAGCTCGAACAGAAAAAATGAGCTGGCCATTGCGAGAGCGACAGACTGAAATTTATGTGGTAGCGAGCCCAGTGCTCCAGGAGCGTGAGCTGTAGGTCGATACGCCCGGAGTGGGGAAGCCCCCAGCCGGGACAAAGGGAGGCGGAGCAATACCAGAGATGACTGAGACACCGAGAATACACTTGCGATTTTCGGGGTTCACTGCTATAACAGTGAAACACGGTGATAATCAAGATTGCAGAGAAACATAGTCCAGACAACATACCGTCTTTGTTCAAGTTCGCGGTCAACGGCCATGGGTTGACCGTAACATTGCAGATACGAGCCGGGTTTCGGCATGGCTTACACCACGTTTGCATAGCCGGCGTCCTGGCAAGCACGGGTAGCAAGGCTCTCTCACTTGATGCTCGTCCATGTCTTAGATGCGATAGGCCCTTAACTTAGCGGGTAGAGCGACACGGTGGTCGAAGAAACGGATAGAGACATTACGCTGAAGCTGGTGGTGGTGATACATACGACGGGCGGGGAAAGCAGTCGTCCACGGTGGTGTTCGACGTGTCCAGCCTTTGTGGTGCGCCGCTCCAGGGCAAGAAAGTCGTGTTCTTGTTCGCGCGATCGTAGGGAGCTAAGAGGGAGCCAGTCGAACGTTGAGCGCGAGCGGTGAATCCATGTATTGCATGTTGTCGACGTCTGTAGCGAGACGCGGCTTGGACGCAACATTGAGCAAGCGCCCCGGCAAGGTCCTCCGGCCCGGGGAACATGCTTACCTAATCACATACCACAGGCTCGAGCCCCGCACTTGTCCAGTACGGTACTGTACCGTACACTGTACGTCCAGTACTTGTTCAGTGTCCAGTCACTCCAATGTCCACCGCCGTCTAGCCGTCGTTTCGTGTCTCTCCGCCTCCCACAGACCGCAGGTGCGTGGCCGTGATGAACATTCATGGACTTGATGCCTGTTCGATGGTAGTAAGTTACCACCGTCCACGAACGGCCTTTAAACAGGCTCAAGTTGCGTCGCGTCGCAAGTCACCCTTCATGCCGGTACGTACAGCATCCCATAGTACCCACGAGAGGCTCTCACGTATTCAATGCTCGCGTACTACAGAACTTGTGCGGCGTTGAATCGTGCTGTCATTGAGCGACGATACGGTGGCGGCGACAGTGAGTACAGTCACAGACACGGCTTGTTTGCATGTAATGTCTCGTTCAACAGGTGATCGCGTTGTGGAGGACGCGCTAGGGGACACAACATATGATCAGCACAACTGGAGTACAAACCGAAGTGCGTGATCGCTGGAATATGCACTCAGCTGTACCCACGCCAGCTAACTGCAGACATGGTCCGATGCAGCCATCGAACAACTTTGGATACTACATACTGGGCGGTGGGTGCTTCTCTCTTCGGATCACAGTTCGTCCGATTCTGCGTTGTCTTGCTCAGGAGGACAACAGATACTGTACAGTCTCCAGATATCCATTAACTTCCGGTCGGGGCTCCCGCAGTACGAGACCACGAACGGCTGTTCATCACTGGTAAATTCTGGAGTGGGCGAGACGGCTACGGATGCTTATCATCACTTCCGTCGAGGAGCACTTGACAGTGCAAGGCGGCAACGCAACCAGGGAGACTGTGTCTCTCTGCGACCTTCGCAAGCTGCAGTTGTGTGGTGTCTGGGAGCAGGGCATGTATACTGTACTCTGCACACCCGAACCTGGCATACCTGGATGTGGGGACCGTGCGGCGGGACGATGTTTCATACAGAATATGAGCACTGCTCATAGGTGACGTCCCGTCTGCACAACGGCAATGACCTGGTGAGCGTGTGGGGTTTCGACATGTTCATAGACGACGAAGTGGCTGATTCTAACCATATTGCAGTGAGCACTGCAACTGTGCGCGCAACACTGCCCATCGTGCTCTCACCAGGGTTCTGCTATGGCTAACCGAATCTCTTGCGTGCGCTCGCATCGGGAATACTTCAAGACGGCGGTGCGGCTGCACTACCTCGACATGCTCATACACGGGTAGTTGGTACATCCCAGCCACTCTTCTTTAATCTCTCTCCCGCTCACATCCCATCGCAGGACCAACGTCTCCCGTTCCTCTCTGGCATCACGATCCGGCTCGGAGTCGGCTCGGAGTCGTTCAAACTCTCCATGAAGTCCTTATCTCTAGAGGAGTCCGCCATGATCAACCGATTCAACGACAGCTTTGCTCACGAGCCCCACTTCAAGCTCAACAAGCGGAGGGTGTAGCGAGCCCTAGTCGACAACGCCTTCGCGATACTTGCGGATCATGCGATCCTGTCCATGTCCAACGTCGCCATGTCGACCTGTTGCATGGTTGACGATCTTGCTGTCGCCACCAGGGCGGTGTCCGAGGGCAGGCTAGTGGTGGTGCGCGTCGAGCGCGATGACTAGTCTGAGGAGGAGTGTGTTGTTATACGAGACCCATAACCCGAGAAAGAGGAGACTGATGACTATGCACAGCGCTCCTTTTGCAGACACTGAGTACCTGTCCCGTCTGACAACACTTTGAGAGTGTTGCTGAGGCTACCCTTGGAGGGCCCGTTGCGGTACTTCCTATGTGTTTCAATCCGTCAATTACGTTTCTAGTTGTTGCATTGTCGGACGAGGGTGTCGCGCTACCCATGGTAAGTAGCTCGAGATTACTCTCCGATGCGCCGGAACATAGGAGCGTATCATTGGTCCGGTTGTACAGTGCGGATACATGGTCTGATACAACGTGCTAACCACTAAGAGTGGAATCAGGTCTTCCAGAGGGCAGCGGCGCACGTCGTCCGCAAAGCTTATTGTACGTAATATCGTGTCTCCTGACCGTGGTATCGCGAGCGCTCTCTTACGCGCTATAAATTAATAGGTGCAAAGTTTAACGTTCAACGTTCAACTTTCATGCCATTTCCCAAGTTGAGCTCTCGCTGCGCGTCCGAATCCTCTTCCTTCGTCATCTAGCTGTCATTGAAGCTTGGTAAGTACAGCCTGTTGTGCATTGAATACCCAACCACTAAGCATGTCTTTGACACAAGTGAACAAGCGACCTATCACAAACAGTACTGCAGTGAGCCATTTTTACCGTCTTCTCTGAAAATCTGACCAAACAACCAGACAGCGAGTAGTTGTATAAGACGAAGTATCTGTCCTGTGCAACGTACACGTCGAGTACGTTCTTGTGCCATTGTTCTGTTTGAAGCATCGCTGACGCCATCAAGCTTACCGCAGATTGTTTCTTCACAATGGCCGTAGCGTCGTTGCAGTCGCTGAACGACGATGTTCTCGGGATGATTGTCGGGCTGCTATCTCAACCTGATACGGCGAATCTGGTCTTTACGTCCCGTGCCGTGAGCTCCGTTGCCCGGCGACACATCCTCTCTTCCCTCGTCGTTTCGGCACCAGCCCAGAGCCTCGAGTTCCACCGCTTGATGCTCGAGGAAGACGATGGCTACAGGATCCAATGCCTCCAAAGGCTCACCATTATTTTCCAAGACTCCGTCGACGAGCCCACGGATGCCGGCGGGTACTCGCCACTAGCTACAGTCCTCGCACGCGCGCGGAACCTGCGGGAACTGGTCATGGGCTCGCTAGAGAAACATCTGACGATGCAAAGCGGGAAAGTTCTGAGCGATGCTATAGCGTCGCTGTCTGATCTGTGCGAGCTGGAGCTGCGCGACATCGGCAAGCAGAGCGTGGAGCTCTGCGAGAGACTGACTTGCGAGCCAAAGGTAGTCTGCCTGGCGGCGGACCCTTGGACGGAGCCCGCACCATATTTGGAGGTGGAATACTCGAGGTTCGCTGGGCTCCCCGTTCTCCGGAATGCATCCACGATCACGCTGCAACATCTCTCTCTCACGCGGAATGGGACTCCGGAATCGCAGCCTGCCCCGGTGACTCCGTGGTCCAGCACACGTACTCTCCGTCTGGAGAATATGGATCCCTTGGCGCTCATAGAACTATGTCCCAATCTCACAACCCTCCGTATGGGGTTCATGTGGTTCGCGGACAACGGTTCGACGTTGTACCCGGACGACGCGCATAGCAAGTACATCACATCACTGGCCCGCGATGTCCGAGTCGACACGCGCGTCCGCGTACTGGACGTCTTCGTCGGAAACGAAGAGCTCGCGCTGGACAAGACGATCATCGCCACGACGCGCGCGACGCTCCCTGTCGTGCTGTCAATACAATTCCACTACGGCGACGCGGCGTTGTGGGCGCAGCTTGCCGAATTGTTCAAGCACACAGATGCACGGCTGCGCTACCTCGATGTGCTCATGCATGATGAGTCTGAGTATGCACAAACGTGGTTTGTACGTCCATCAGCCTCATCGTGTCCCTTCCGACGAACTGATTTGTGCGCTCGCAGGATGAATGCCTCCCGCTTCTCTCCTCCTGCCCGATCCTCTGTGTCCGACTCAAGTTCGTCCAATGTCTACTCGAAGTCATGGCTGAAGACGAGTTCGCCTCAATCAAAGACCGCCCTGAGCCTGGCGAGTTGATAGACAGCGAGTGGGAGGAGCTGCGGGATGCGGCTCCCAAGCTGCTGGCAGAGACGATCCCGTCTCTCCGCTACATAGCCGTATCATCCGGGTACATGGTCGGGGACCTTGCGTGGTCGACGTTCGGCGGTGGGTGGGCTCGTTGGTGGAATGTTGCCCGAGAAGCTTTGGAGAATGAGACTGAGGGAAGCACAGTTGAGTTGGTTGAGATCGATGAAGGAGAGGGACGAAAGGTCGACGAATATATGCGCAGCGCGTGGTTCGCAAAAACGTTGCAATTTCATGACTGAACACTACCCCACTCTGGCACTGCGTAGCTGCTTCCCGACCTCATCCAGCTTGCATATATCTACGGGGAAATTAGCGTCTCCCATGCATTGTTGACCGGGGGATTCAACGCGTGTCGCGTTCTTGAGCGGCATATGCAAGGAACACGCTATTATACAAGTTTGGCAGGCGATATCTTCGAGTGCTCCTCCACTTCGAACTCGTCTCTTCTTTTCCTCCTCTCTATATCATGCTCGTACCGCTCAATCCCTTTCCGCAACACCTCCCGTGCATGAGCGATAGTCGTCACACCAATCTTCTTCAGCGGTCTGTCAAGAAGTTGTTGCACATTGGCGTCCGAATCGAGATCAATGTTTGCGGGAATGTAGCGAAGATCGTGTGTCTTTCCCGCATTGGAGACGGTGAACTGAGCTAGATTAATAGTCTCAATGAATCACAATTGATGGATTTAGTTACGTGGGACCCTCACCTGGATACCATGCATCCGCGAGATCGCCTACGTGGTACAACTCGGTACACATATGGGTCGCTTGTCCAGGTTCTATCCTGTCAAACTGCACGAAAATTTGAGTGCAATCATGCCATTTCCTTGCACGAGTGAAATCGACGAGACAAGGCTCTCCGTTGGGCCTCATCAAGATGTGCCTCTGGAAGACTTGCCGTGTGCTGTCTTCAGGGTGCCAATGCTTGTAAACACCCACGAGATGCAGCGCCTCGTAGGCCCGCACAGTAGCCTCTCTGCATACAACGGTTAGCTAAAGCTGATGCACACGGTGATGTCGTGGTCGAGTGGATACGGACCGAAACGGCCTGTACTGATGTTCTAGCTTGTGGTCTTCATCGAGTGCCTCGCCTCCGTACTCCAACACGATACATGTTGTACGTATTCCACGCACATCTGCTGAGAAAATCCCGAAAAAGTCCGGTATCTGGCGACCACGCAGGGCCGCAAGCTGCGGAAGCTGGTAAATGGCTGCCTCGTGTTCCAAGCCGGTTCTGGCTTCCTCGATCGAAGTAACCTTGCAGACTACTTTGCTGATGTGTCCCCTTGGCTTCCTTAAAAGGCATTCATAGACCTCGCAGGATGACGTCGGTGAGACGTGTATCAGTCTTGGCAACGGCATCGAGGACTCTTCAGGACCGCAGGGAGAGACGTTGATCAAGTCTTGTAGGCCGAAAGGCGAGCCAGAGACATCTCGCGTGTGCGGGACAAGCGCGACAAAAGCACGAGCTCGAGATTCGAGTTGAGTTGCGTCGGGCTCCATGACCTACACCTAACGCAGCCCTTCGTGGTCGCGTCACAGTCATGTTCACTGTGAAATACTCTGTACCGCAAGTCCAAGCATTTCACTCACTTCGGTTTAATCACCCTTGCTCTCCTGTTGTCATACGGATAAGTAGTGCGGCCGCCCGTAGTACTAGCAGTAACTTAGCACGTACTTAGCTATGTACCGGCGCTTCTGAGCTGCACAGTAAGACAGCCCCAGCTCAGCGCTCAAGCTTGAAGGAGTTCGTTCAAAGCTGGTAGAACGTAGAACGTAGAACGTTGAACGCGGCCGAGAGCTGGCTGAGAGCATGCAGCGCGCGGATAACAGGTGCCTAGTTTGCTTACATCAGCTTACGTGATCAACCAGCACAGCGGATGCAACGTTGAACCATGCCTTTGAGCACGATCACCCACTGGCAAGTCGCCTCAGACACTGGGATTTCTGACGTAACGGTACTAAGCATATGGATGCATACAAAGTTGCGCCCAGCGTAAGCTGAAGCCTGTAGTTGCCGCCCTCCGTTTTCCAGGTTCTCCCTGGCGTTGTGTGGAACCAAACGCAACGTTCGTTGCTATCAATGCGGCTCGACATACGCATTGCGTTCATCGCGGCCGCGGTAGCTAGCGCTTTTGCAACTTCGACTACTACTACTACTACTACATCGACGGTGTCGTCGACGGTCACTGTCACTCCGACTGCCTACAACTACCACTACAGCAACCGTGACCACCACAGCAATCTCATCAGTGACTTCGACGGTGACGGTGACTCCGACGCCTACAAACATCGAGGCCGGAAGCTGGACCAAGTGAGTGAACCTAAACTTGATGCGGCGGTAGGCTGAGATCAACCTGTGGGGAGTGGCACTCAGTACTGTGAGTGGCAATACGGGCTTCGCACAGATGCCTACTTAACTCAGGAATCCTCAGATATAGTGAAATCTGGCGATACGTGTAACACGATCGATACAATGTCAGTGACAACAGTGGCTGACGCTAACAACTCGTCATGTTGAATGACAAGTATAGATATGACATAGCCTTCACCGACTTTCTACGCTGGAACCCCGAGGTGTCGACGTCTTGCGCCAGTACGTGGATATTCATACTAGTATGAGTCGGACTCAACAACTATCGTCATCTACAGATCTGCAACCAGCGGCTGTACGTATCATAGTGCTACTTATATCGTCTATCCGCTCGTACATATCATAACACTTCCGGGATTACCGCAGGCATACTGCGTCCAAGCCACCCCAGCTTGCACCAAGACCTATACTGTCGTCAGACTCGTCAGCGGTGATACATGCGGGGGGATCGAGGAGACATACGGGCTCACTGATGCCCAACTACGTGCGCTGAATTCATTGGCTTGACTCTGATTGCTGTGAGTGTCGTCGGCTCTTATTGTTTCAGTAGGCTTGGGGTCTCTGACACGACGACAGATTTGGTGGTTGGTCAGATTCTGTGTTTGGCTGAATGAATGGAGGGCGCATGCAGGATTCCAAACGATTGCGACGAAGACCTCCTCTCCCGTGATGGGCGTAGATAAGAATAGAGTTCAATCAAATGACAAAAGTTCTCCAGCTGCAGCGGCTCCGATGCCTAGGATCAGTCACTGCATGAGATCAGAATCTGGCTTCAAGGCCGCGTTCCTGACACCCTTCCTGGCAAGAACAAAATGCTATAACGGACGTTCGCCGGCTTTGGTGACCATCAACAATGATGACTTTGGGGCATGGCAAGTGTGGGATTAGCACGCATCTGACTCCGAGTCGAACATGCGCGTTCTGGCACTGCAGGAACTTCGTGACGGCTTCCGGTGAGTATGCACATAAGTTGATCTTGTACGGCAAACGCGTACATAACAGTGTCGTTAGATCGCAGCGCTTGCAGAATCAGCGCTCTCCTATGGCGGCCCGTTTGTGGAAATAATCGGATCGCACGAAATGTAATAGTACCTACGAAAAGTATAATAAATGCACGAAATGTGTATTCACGAAATATTTGGAACCACTTACGAAAAGTTTGGATGATCACGAAACTCGGAAGGGTACACGAAATGCATGCTGACGAAAGTCAGCCTGCACGAAATGCGCGCACAGCGTGACGCGAGTGTGATCGAGTGACCGTTTGTCACCGAGTGTGACACGTGAGTGCGTGGCCTTAGCCCACCTCCGGCACTCAGCTTCGAGTTGTAGTGGCCAAAATTTTCTGAATACATTCAGTACACATAAAAAACGCGTTTTGCGCGCGGAAACATCTTGGGGAAGTCGCTCTTCCGCCACGAGTTGAATAAAGACATCGCCCTCGCGCGCCACCGCGCCACCGCGCCGGCGCTTGTGGCTGTGACTACGCGCGTACCACTGCGCGCGGCGGTCACACTGATTGCTGTAGTCCAAGTCAGATCCCCTAGGCATCTAGATTCTAGCTTTGTCTTACGTTCTTGGCCACTTGGCCCTCGCGCATCCATGTATTGAGTGACTAATGAAAGAAATATAGCCGGTGCATGTCATGAAGTTGCGAATCTCAAACATGATCTTTGTGTCTTCTACCTGCTATGTTCGGTCAACAGACTCTCCGTGTATCGCGCTTCTAAAGCATGTGGACCGCTCATAACCTTAGCCTTGCTCTCATTGGCCATCTTCTGGAAACACAGTCCAATTGGTATGTAATATGCATGTACACAAAACCTGTATGTATATAGTATACTATATTATATTGTATATATGCTGTATATACACAGTTTATATAGTATGATCTCCAGCTACAATAGTCATTTCATTTCCCTACTTAATCCTCAAACCATTACAAAAACCAGAGTACATGCTAGTGTTCAAGATGATGGAGAATGTTTGTACAGCCTTAATATGGGTATCTATACTGTACTATATACTGTCTAGTATAATCCTAATACTAGTGAATGATGATTTACTTGCCAGTTTCGGCTAGAGTGACATGAGATGTCACAAAGGTTTATATGTGGCTTCACTTCTCTTGTGAATGTTCAATCACATAGTAGCATCACTTAGTAACATGATGCTCCAGTAGCTGTCTAGATTCAATCACACCAATAACACTCAGGCCTAATCCTTGCCTATGAGTAAGCTTAGACATGCCAGTCTCATACTTTTGTACATCTGCTGTTCTGCATGCTTACACCCACACCAGTTTGATTCCAAGATACTCAACCTACCAGCTGATGCATTGCCATGAGAATCACTCATGTATCATGCATATTTCATGACTTTTTTTTTTCCAGAAAGACGAATGTCATCAAATCTAGTACCTCTGTAGTCAATTAAGAAAGTTTATGTTATATGAACAACTCTATGCCATGTACTCCATGACATATTGAGGATCCCCTTTGCACAAAGTCCAGATATTTATGACCCAAATCTCACTGTCTGATCCATAGAATCAGTGTCTAACTCTGAAAAAGCATCTATGACATCAAGAACCTAAGTCTAATGACTGTTAAAAAGCAACATTGGACACTGTCCTGTTGACCTTAGGCAAATTTGAATTGTAGGTCAATTGTGATAGCATTCGCAATGGTCATAGGTGTTTTTATGAGCATAGAAAACAGCCTAATAAATTAACAGAAGCCTACATGAGTCCTCAACTTATCAGACTGGAGGTCATTGTAGTTCACACAATAGGATTCCACTCCCTAGTATGCTGTAAGCACATGTTTGAAGACAAAAAGGAATACAATGCTATCCATGCTCTCCACAATGTCACCAAATCATTGCAATAATGAGTCCCTGTACTCAATAGTAGGCTAATTTCTACCAATATTGAAGCTCCTTCATTACTATACTTGAAACCATATATACTGTATATATATACAAGATACACAGACCCTGTATGTATATGTATAAAGTATAGGGTAGAAATCGTATATATACAGTATGTATATTATTTTGTTGGAGCCTTAGAGAGAAGATCTCACACACGGTATACTGCACACCTAGTATGCCACACACCGAGTATGCTGAACCATACATCTCCGGTAGTACACAAGACATGGGGTGACTGCATGGCCAATTTCTTGCCGACCTGGTGACCTGAGTAGTAAGAGTGACACCATCTAGTGATGGTGCTGAGGATGCCGTCCCACTTGTCAAGGACATGCAGGTCATGGTGCGCAAGACCCTCCTTGGCTAGTAAGGCCCAGGTCACCTAGTCATTCAAACACCTCATTAGGTGCTGAGCTGTTGTCATGTAGCAGTGAGATAGCAGCTTACCTGGAACACCTGATCATTAGATACAAACACAACGATGAAGTCTTCAAACTCCATCATCAAGCCGACATGAAATGAGCACATCCGAGTGTAAGTATTGGATGAGGTAGTATCCACATTCAATATAGCATCTACTGGTGCACCATTGTCTCGCCCTTCCCAATGTACGAGGTCTCCTTCAAGACCTCCCAGTACTGTTGGTGATAGGTCTGAATTGATGTATGAGTAAGATACTGCAACTACAAGAGATTGTCAGTGAGAGCGGTACATGATCATAATTAAAAATAACAACGACATACCTGGAACCAGCAGTGACCGAAGTTAAGCACTATGCTATGGCTTGTGTAGTGTACTTCTGCTAGAACAAGATCCTCGAGCTTGAAGCCTGCTGGCGGAGCATTAGCGGCGAGGAAGGGTGGCCAGAGCGGAGTCTGATGACTAGTATTGCCGCGTTTTGCTTTGACATTGCACTGAGCTTGCCGACGAGACCACGGGCCCATGGGGAGCCAGGATCCTTTGGCTCATCCTTGGTAGCATCGCAGTATAGCGCCATGAGCTGCCAGTTTTCCACCTTCTTCGCAGCATAGAAGGACTGCAGTTGAAGTCCGCTGCAGTAACATTCCTGTATTTCGGGCATTATTGAAAGGCTTGAAGCCCACACAGACATGTGTAAATAATTATTGAATACAACTACAAGCAAGTACTTACCTTGTACCAACAATAAAACACGTTCAAGACAAAGAGCAAGGACGCGACGACGCAAGCAGACCGACACGACGACGCGTTCAACATCGAACACGGTCACATGAGGGCTCGGGCACGTCGCCATAGCCACAAGCGCCGGCACGGTGTGTAGGTTGCGAGTCTCCCGGGGCTGTATGAGGTGGCAGGGAGCAGGGGTCGATAGTCAGTAGAAACGACGGGTTTCGTTGTCGGACGATGTCGACGTAACTATAGGTAGTCACGGAAGGAAGGGGGAAGAGAAGTGGTTAGGCTACGCTGCCCAATGTTCGTTCCGCTGAACGATGGAACCGCTGTTCCTGCAAAGACACGCAAATACGCAGAGTTCGCTGTACGCACGCTCGCCGCTGTCGCCGCAGATCCGCAAGAGAGAGAGAGAGAGAGATTTATACGCCGCTAAGAAAACAAAGCTGTCCTGGTTCGCAGGAGCTACCTCTAACCGTCCGCTCTCAAAGTGGTGGTGGTACATCAGGAAAAACTTCCCCTGTGAATGCCCAGTAATACCCAGTAATACCGAGTCACATGCGGTAATAGCAGGTAATGTTGTGCATTCCTACGATTTTGATATACGGTGACATTAGCTAGTCCAACCTCTTCCATTGTGAATTACGAGCTAATACTCAGTAATTGTCAAGCATTCATAGAGTACTATGCCCATTTTACCGACATATTCCGTCCACTCATTGTTGCATTTGTCACTTCTGTCATCCACAATACATACAATACACCCATATAGCAGACATATTTTATTAGAGGATAGTCATTACATTCAGTGACATATGTACAATGCCCAGCTGCAAGCATGCCGTGGGTCTGCATCCCAACGAATAATTACCCCGCCCACACAAGCCTCACCAACTGGGCGAATCACCGCATGGAGCCCACCCCTCGTCGCTCCGCACACGCACACCCTCCACGCATAACGCCTCCACGAGCCGGCGCATGCCATCCGCAAACAGCTTGCAGTCACCAAACTGGACCCATACCTGGACTGGCCCCGCATCCTCGCTTTCTTCCTCGCCGCCCGCAGTCTTGCCGCAGCTCCCAGTGCCGATGTAGGCAGCGTCCAGGGGAGGAGGTGCACGAAGACGTGCTAGTCCGGGCGCACGAGCGTAGAACAGAAGAAAATTGAGTCGCGCAGGCGCTCGAGGGCGAAGTGCCGCGTGAGCGTGGGCACGACACGTTTTCTGTAATGCGGGAGCTGGTAGTCTATCTCGGTCTCGGGTTGGTTGAATCGCGCAAGGTAGCATGCCAGCTGTGGGTCATCAGCTTCACGCAGACGTCGGAGCAATGGGGACCGGGGTACATACGCACTGAGACAATGGTAGACCAGCTGGAAGATACGGCTCAACACGTACCAGATGTCTATCATTGAGATTCCGTAGCGCCACAGCGACCGTGATGCATACATAATATGCATACATTGCGTGAGATCGGGACTCTGAGGCGCACAAAGAAATTTCGTACCTGGTTATCTTGTGCCGAGAGTGAGCAGCATCAACCTGGCGTGAAGCAAACAAGCCAGTGAACGGGTATATGTGCAAATGAGTGAGCATGCAGGCCACTTACTGGTAAAGGAACAAGTGAGCCGATGAAACCAACAGACACGTAAACGGGCAGGTCGGTGGTCGCTCGCTTGCTGGGTCAGCGGTGACGTGGTGATGGATAGACGAGACCCACATGTCATAGCGACACGGGCGAGGCTCGGAAGGAGTATGGAGGGAGATATGATGGTGAGTCAGGCTGTGGGAAGGCCAACAGAGCGTATA